ACACTCAAATCCATCAAAAGAAAAACTTCTGCTCATTTGTGCCGGATATTACCAGTTTTTTCCCTGAATGGAAACCCCTTATCAGCGCCCTTCGCGGAGATTATCAAGTGCGACATCGCCCGGGGGGCGCCACTGCCTGCGAGATTCATCAAACTTAATAATCTTTTGTGCAGCGATCCTTTTGTGGATTTTCCGCGGATATGCGGTACACATCACAATCACCATCAGCGCCCGACGCCGCGCTTACAACGCCGGGACGCGCGTCGCGACGAGAGGCTCATTGTGAGGAGCTAGAAGACTGGAACGGCTTAACGAAATTCCAAAGAAATATTTTCAGTGAGCTGTATCACTTCGCATCGGATTTGTTTGCTGATTCGATTTTTCACGTCGGTCGCGGAATGGAAAGGAGAACCTATACAGATAAAGAGTGGCAAATGGATAGGATTTTATCTCGTAAACTATTCACTCCTCTACGTTTCCGGTGCAAGATTTTTAACTGATTGCGAACATTGGCTCTTCGTCTATTTTATTTTCCTCTTCAGGTAGGTAGGTAATAATAATCGAGTGGTATACGCGATATGGTGCAAACAATAAGCAGACTCTGCCACCATTGTGACACTTATACAAGTGAACACGGTCGTTCTATATACTCTATGAACTCTGGATAGGTAGCCGGTTTGGCGGAAACTCGCGGAAACTCGACCCTTTGTTGAACAAATATAGGCTAATGAAATAGCACGATGGAATATCAAGCAGATTCGATTTGGTAAATACGAATAAATGAACTACAACATGTGCATGTTGGTTACAAACAACTCGGTTTTGGGATCTATTTTGTTTCGCTTTTTCGCTAAAAAACTTGTTATTGGAATATCTGGATGAATGTAAAAACGAAAGAATTGAACCACCACTCAATAGGTGAATAGAATTTTATTTACTCCGCCCTTCCAATTTTAATATTTCTACCGCGTAGAAACGTGTGTAATTATTTCGCTGAAACAATAAATCAATCGCTGATTCCGTAATTGCCGGGCGTCTTGTCACAATGAGCCGGAAACACGTTCAGATGACGAATGGAAATGCGAGGACGAAGACAAATTTCTGGGATTTCCTTATTGAGTAAGAGGCGAGAATGAGGAGGTCCATTCAGGTGATTATACGAATATCAGAGATAATGGCAATAAGATAGCGTCGAATAAAGCCATTTGCGGATTACCAAGACTAAGCAATTAAATCAACCGTGTTTGCTTTGCTGTGAGACCGACAGTTTGGAAGGGGACTTCCTTACATCTCTTCAAGAAAGGGTTGCCGGGCGGGAACCGTAGAAATATCATTGTCTGAATTTCTGATCTGGTATTAGATTTATTATCTTTGCGTGTTTCTTGAGGTATTTGTCAACCTTATAGTAATTAATAATTTTGATTGATTTTCGTAGGGAAACGAAAATGTAAATGTAACACATTGAAAGCTGTAGATAAGAAGATAGATTTTGATTGCGGAAAGCTCGGGTTTTTTTTAGAAAATAAAATTGTTAGAAAGCCCCGAAATGAAAACAAAATATCTAGTGAGATTTCACCGAGTGACAATATAAGGTGCGAGACAATTGCCATAGCTTGGAGTTTTAGCGATGCACTTCCAACATTGCCGGAAGACCTTTTGTTGCATTTATTTCCCGAATTTTCGTTTTGTTAGATTTCCATCTCACGTCGCATCTACTTAACAATTATACCGAAACGAAAAACAAACTCCGGCTGTTTCGTTTCGTCGAAACAAAAAGAGAAAAACGAGGATTTTTATTCGAAATATCGATATCTAGAAATCCATCACTCCCAGCTTTTATGATCCAAGCGAGTCAAAAACTCCAATGGGAATGTTTCTGGACACCCTGTGTATGAACAATAAAATTTTCTATCCATAAAAATGTTTAACCAACGATCATCCGCAGATCAAGCACCAGGACGTAATCCGCAAAGTTTGATACTTATATTCTATCGAGCCGGAGCAGCGGAAGATTTAATAGAGAATATTTTGTATAAGAAAGCGGGCAATAATCTCTGGTTTCGAAGGCTTTACCGCTAATTAATTTGCATTCGCTGTCTGCCATTCCATTTTATTATACATTACAAACTTTACCGAATAACGAGAAGGCAAGATGACAATCTGTCAAATTAAAGTTCTTTCGTCAATAAGGGAACGCGAGCGATAGAGGAGCGGCACAGGAATCGAGGATAAACTCCTTGAACAGGAGCGTGCACTATTTTTTTTAATCTCACCTAAACCTATCGTATAAAATAGGTTTCCCATTGAATCATTGTGACGTATTATGAATATAATCTGAGATATCAATGATTAAAGTTACAGGAAATTTGGAGAATAAATGTTCCCAAGTATGTAAATAATGAACATTCGTTTTTTATAAAGCAGGACTTGAAAACTCAATAAAAACGAAAAATAATGATTTTCCAATAAAAGTATTCCCTCTTTGGAAATAAAACGTGTCTGCCTACAGCACTGGCACATTTCAACCAACTTAAATTGAAACGTTCTTCTGCCGGATCATTTTAAAGTGAACATTGGGATTCCTGAAGGTTTTATCCTGTTAAAACGACTTTTAGAGAGTGTATTTTGGTGTTAAGAAGAATAGCTGGAACGAGATTTTGCATATGAGCTTTCCGAATCTATTTCTGTGTTATATAAATTTACCGCTTTATTTCAATTCGCTTTAGTTTCTTTTCAACATGATTTCTTAAAAAAAACAATAGGAATTAATTTTGTAACCATGAAATTCTTTTATATTACTTTCTAATTGTTTTAGAGTAATAGAATATTTAATTAATGAATGAACGAATTATATCCATTACTCACTTTTGATGAAAGCAAAAATATGGCTTGATATATTTCCCAAGTCTTCACTCCCCTTCGAAAGAAAAATGACACAATTACTTTTTAATTATCTAGATTGAAAAATGCATCACGAATTAAGAAATATAATTGAGCAGCCGACAAATTGGCATCTTTAATTCAACTCCCTCTCTCGTATTTCCATAAAAAGTGGCTAATTTATTTCGAAACAACTTCTCGGGTTCTCGTAAGTCATTATTTTAAAATCTCTTGACGAAAATAAAAGCTTTTATTCAAATATCTTTTCGTTGCGAGCTCGTCCGCATTATTTTTCGAAATAAATACAATCCTTGCAATTTAACTCCCGGCTCGGTTGAGATGAGATTCAAAATGAAATATAATTGAGGGAATTCGCGTTCGGAGATTACTATGGCGACCGATTTAATATTCCAAAATTAATTAAACTATATATTCAAATTATATTTCGTCTGTTTAAAATCTAAAATCCGACTATAAAATATTCAACGAAGTACAATCATGTGCGAGTGGTCCAAGATTAAAATTTTAATGCGATAATTATTAGATAGATTAATTGGTCGTCTATGCAAAAGTTTAATGAATTTTTAATTAAATTCAATCAATTTGAGTGCCTCTAATGGAACATTTGCAATTTACCTTTATTTTGGTAAAGGGGGTTTTCGAGTGTAATGAGGAATTTTTTCATGCATTAAAATATTTTTTAATGATTTGAGGAGTTATTTTAAGTCGCTACAAATTTGTTTGTGGTATTACTGGGTAATTTAGAATAAAAAAGCTCTTAAGTTTGTTGCATACTGTTGTACAGTGTTAGTGTCTTTCCCCAAAACTATTTTTATATTTTTCTATAAATACTAGAATAAATACCATTAAGTGTCTTGTAATCCCAAAAAAATGTAGAATGTTCTGAACATTCTGGCGAGCAAGGGGAAACGAAACTTTTATAACCACATGACAACTGTTGTGAAGTCGGAAGTCAGATTGGACGTTGCATGTGTTGATAATATTGGAATAGGAATAGGATAGGGTGGAAATGCCCTTAAAAGGTCAACACGAGTACTGGGTAGACTTTTCGCGGTTTTTGTTACGATATTCTTTCCCTTAACGCAACTAGGGTGGAATAGTTTTATTTGTATTGTAATTCCGGACATGTGCGACGAAACTATCTGTCTAATTGATTTTTTTGAATTCAATTAACAAGCCGAATTTATAGAAAATGTATTCATTTTTAGGAAATTTGTTAACGAACATATTTTATTGTAACACAATTATCAATTAACAAGCTTTTTTTGTATGATACTTTATTGTATATTTCACAATTAATCTACTTTTTAAAATTATGAACACTGGAGGAAAAGTAAATTAAAGAATAAAAAGTATTATGACAGCAAAAAATTTTACGAGTATCAAAATTTTGAGATTGTAATTCATTAAAACCTTCATTTTTGTGCTAAAATAATAAAATATCTAAACAGATTAGCAACTCAAAAGTGATTCTAATACTTAGTCCAAAAATGAAAATATTTCTAACAGTCTTAAATGAATTTAACAAATTACCTAATTAAGATGGAAAAAAAGTAAAGTACTTACCTCATATAAATAAATTCACCAAAGTTAAAAACCGAAACAAATATATTTCATATATCAACTGAACCCGAAGGAGCCTGTTCGCGTAGAGATCAAGTTGCCTCGGCGGCTTTAAACCACCAAACCACGTGTTCCACCCTCGATAACAAGCGAGCGCGTTGTGAGGGGTGGCGAAATGAGATAATAATAACGGGGGTGGGGCGTCGGTGCACGTGGGGGGTGGCGTTTCACAGGTGAACCATGCGGACTGACTGTGCACCGATTTCAGGATACAGAGGCGTCAAAACGAGAAACTTAATATCTGGGTATTGCTAACCGCTCTAATGTCGCGGGGATGCAATTATGTCGGATTGATACGATTGATATGCACCCCGTCTGATTGCGGAAATTTTACAAAGGGCGCGTTCAATAATTATCACAAATAAAACGCGTACAGTTAATATGTAGTTTTTATTTACCATTGGGGTATTAACACAAAAAAATACAAACAGTAACATCACTTATTTATTTCTATATAAAATGATCACAAAAAATTTTACCTGAAATATTAATGTCAGGTTTCGATTTAATCCTAAACACTTGCTTGCAACAGAAGTAGGGATCATCCAAGTATACGCACATTTCTTTAAATAAATAAATATTTTTTTCTATTTGGCTAGAATAGTAGGTACATGAGTCTTTTCTGAAGTGTCCAAAGAATCATCGTTGTTAAATATTAGAGCTTAGTACCATTGGACTGGATGTTGTTAATCCAGCTTAATATAATTAATTCAGCCTTCTTCTCGAAGTTACTGAGGAACACAAACGAATTACAAAATATTCCACTGTTTGAAAACAAATGTTCAAATTTGACAATACAGAAATAACAATTTTCTTCAATATCCATTAATCCGACACCACCATAAGATGCGACCACCGACTAAGCTGCATTAACAGCCCTTTTTAACACAAATTGTAGATATACATATAATCTAAAAATTTTAATAACAATAATATTACAAGAAATTTCTATTTGACTCATGGTCTCGTTTATAGTTTGGTTTTAAAAGTTTAAGTGAAAAGATGGTTAAATTCGTGAAAAATATAAACCTTAAGCCATCAATAGCCACGTTAGAAATACTATAGCGAGCCAAAGGAAAATTTTAGATAAAAACTGTTCTTCCATGTGCTGTTGGGTTCCTTGAGGTGCTGCGTGGGGCCTCTGATCGCCGATATTAAACGTCGAGGTAAAAAAGCCAAATGGAAACGCACCTATACCGAATGACATGTGAAAAGTATTATCGCCAAAACCAAAACCTGAAATTTTTTAAAATTTAGGGTCTGTTCTTTTATTTTCTAACAAGTTCTTTTTCTTTTCTAATACGCACAATCTACCTTTGATTGCTATCGTTTCCCAATAAATAATACTTTTAATCAAATAGGGAAGATCAGTCCAAAAATTTAGAAAATTCAGCAATATTAAAAATAACGGTGCCGGTCTAGTATGCATTGTACCCAAATTAATTTAATAAAAAGTATTTATTACAAAGTATAACAGCAAGATTTTGAAAATTGGCCCTTCATTAAGCAAAAGAAAAAAATTACTGGTATTGTATTATTTATAGAACAGCAAGTTGGTAATTCAATTTACCGAGAATCGGGGAAGTACCAGTATTTATTTAAACGTAATATATTTCATTAAGCTAACAAAAAGATTTTCCAGTATCATCAAGGTATCAGAATTATACAGGGTAAGTTTTTTTGGTGTTAGTACAGGGATCTCGGAAACTGTAGAGGATTAAATAATAAGTTTAAATGGACAAGCATTTTCAGTTTTGTGAGTACCTGTCAAAGTATCTAAATATACTTGGGTGGTGAAATATAATTGGTAGATCGCAAATATTATGGTAGACCGCATACTAGACCGGCACCAAAATAATATTAGGTACCTGAGAAGGAATTCCCAGGCTCTTGTTCAGTTCGTTGGCCAGCCGGCCTCGGTGGTACTTTTTCCCTCGGGTCCTCCTGTTTGCTACTGCCTCTTCCGTACAGCGGTACCACTTTTTCTTTACTTATGGCCGCTTTACATACCGGGCAGACTTGTCTATTCGGCCTCGTTTCAAGCCATTGATGCAAACATGGCCAACTGCAAATAACATGTAAATAAATATTTTATGTTCGATAAGCAGAAAAGCATCAATAATTTGGGTTTAAAGGACGTAGATCTTGTAGTAATTTAAAGTGTGTAAAAGTTAACACATATAGTTAACCAGGTATAACTTTTGCAATGTCTAAATATTATGCAAATATAATCCCGAACTATGATTATTGTACAACAAAATATGAACATTGCATAATGTTTTCACTTACATTAATTAAATATTTGGCTAATAATAAATTACTTATTCCATAATACAGTATTGCGAACGTCCTTGATCCAAAATATATTGCTATCATTTCTTGCTAATCTGATAAAATTTGCTATCATGTGATGCTCCCGATTTTACATACCAAAACAAGTGTCCGCACATGCTGACAACAGCATCTCTAGCAGTATCTAAGCATATATTGCACTCAAACATGGAATCATCCTTCTTATCTTCCTCTTTGGTTTCTGGGTTTTGTGCACCATCTCCTGCATTGTCTTTAACAGTATGCTCTGTACTGGAACTCGAAGCCATTGTTGCGGGTATTATTGTGGTCTAACTTTATACCGAAATAATTAAAATGACGTGGTCCTACAAATTACAATACGTATTTTTCATGTGACCTTCGGGTTAAAGGAATTATATTCATGAATCGATATCGACGCACTAATTCGCCTTCAAACACTAAACCAATTTTACCAAAAAACAGCTGAAGAGATGACAAGATGTTGCAAACGATTTAGAACATTTAAATGAAAGTTACAAATGCTCCACCATAAAAACAAATATAAATCAAAATATCAAAATTTAATTTTATCAGCTGTCTTAACTGTCAGTGTCACCTGTCACTGGCGTCACTGCTTTTCGTTATATAAATCCGAACAAAAAAACGCATAAACTAATACATGTTACTCTTTCTTTCACACCAAATACCCATTAGAACATTAGAGTTAAAAAGAAATAACAATTAAAAATTCTTTAGTGACAAATTGCTCGAACAATTCTGTTGCTTATCGTAATCCAGGTTGACATTTTGACAGTTCTGAGTTCATTAGAAACCTAACCTCAATTTTCAACTTTCTTTTTACACTAAATGCTATTTTAAAATACTACCGGGCCCTAACTTAAATAAAATGATATCGAGCAACTGGTCTCGCTCAATTTTAGGCATAAAGTTTATACCTCGACGCTACCAGCATGGATACATTATACTGTATGTAACAATTGAAATATTTTCACGTTTAAACATTTACCTGAATTTTCAGTGTTCCGGAGATTGGAGAAGAGTCAGACGCTAAGAAGCCACTGGTAAAAAGCGATGGGCTTCCCGAATTTAATAATGTCACTATTGAAAATTGCCGAGCGGCTGTTGCTAAAGAGAGTTTAGAATTTGAGGCGGGAGTTAAAAGTATAGAGAAGGACTTGCAAGATAAACCACCAAAAGATATATTTAAGCAAGTGTTTAACCCCCTGGAAGTTTTGGGGGCTCCTTTAGATTTGATCTGGGGTTTGTCGAAAACGTTGTATTTGGGAAATAGCAGCTTAATGCCAACTTCTAATTACATATCGATACACGAAAGGGCTCGACAAGCTAGAGCCTCAAAATACAACAATAAAACAATTTATAACGCCGTAAGAGATGCATTGCAAACAAAGACTGACAAAACTGTGGAAGAAACTAGAATTTTACAGAAATTTCTAATAGAAGGCAAATTGAACGGGTTAGAACTCGAAGACAAAAATTTTACGATATTTGCAGAATACATGGCGACTTTATCGAAGGAGAAGTCTTCGTTCAAATTAAAAAACGAAATTTCAACGAAACGATTCAGTCACGTTATAGGAGATAAAGCCATTGTAAACGATTTCCCCGATTATGTATTAAAATCCGCTTCACTTAATCCACACTTGCCGGAAAAGGGTCCCTGGAAATTAACTCTTCAGCCTCACATCTACAGAGCAGTGCTCGAATGTTGTCCGGAGCGTAAAATTAGGTGGAACTTCTGGCAAGCCATGGTTAACAGAGGCTACCACCACGGAGATCGAGAATTATCTACGAGTTTAACCGTGGAAGAAATCCGTTTTGCTAGAAGAGACATAGCGAAACTACTGGGCTTTGAAAATTTCGCAGAAATGTCCATGCAAACCAAAATGGCTTCTAGTGTCTCGGAAGTCAAGAACGTAATAAATACTTTGTTGGAGGAGGCGTATCCGGCACAAGAGAACGAAGTAAAGGAATTATACGAGTTTGCTGCATCACGAGGATTCGAACACGAGCAACTCGAGTTATGGGACGTAGATTACTGGAAGAAACAGCAGCAGAAATTTTTATATGTTCACAGTGACGATGATGTTAAAGCTTATTTCCCTCTGAAATCGGTTATGAACGGCCTGTTTGAATTCTGTGAGAAAATGTTTAATATCAAAATTAAAGAAAGGCCTAAGACGACTGTTTGGCATAAAGATGTCAAATTCTACGACATATTCGAGGATTACTCGAGCGCCCCAATCGCAGGGTTTTATTTCGACCCGTACGCACGGGATCAACAGAAAATTGACAGCAGCGGCTGGATGGTTGCCATTCAAAATAAAAGTGAAATTTGCAGTAAAATCCCGTTAGGAGCGTTGATTTTTAACTTCGATCCCCCAACATCTGGTAGAGATTCGTGCCTGACGTTCAAAGAAACGAAAAATTTATTCAAGAAGTTCGGTCATAACTTGCAGCATTTATTAACTAGAGTAAAATATTCCGAAGTGGCTGGATTATCCAATGTCGAATGGGACGCAGTGGACGTTTGCGGGAATGTATTTGGCCACTGGTTGGAAAATAAAACTGTTGTCGATAAAATATCTAGTCACTATGAAACAGGAGAGAGTCTACCGAACGAGATGTTTGAATCGTTGATGCAATCAGAAAAACAATTAGCCGGAGTGGATTTATGCCATGAAATGTATTTAGCTTCTTTGGATTTGGAGTTGCATTCGTCGAAAGACTTTTGGGCGGATATTGTAAAAAAGTTGTGGCCGAATTACAGATGTTTCAAATTGCACAGCAACGACGTGCACACGTGTTCGTTTACTCGAATATTCGTCGAGGAATGGGCAGCCGCTTACTACTCTCATCTTTGGTCGAGAATGATAGCAGCCGATATTTATAGTGCCTTTTACGAAGTTAGAGATAACGAACAAAAGACATTGGAAATTGGTAAAAGATTCCGGAACTCGTTTTTGTCGTTGGGCGGTAGTGTTCATCCTGGGCAGGTTTTTAGGGAGTTTCGTGGACGAGATCCCTCACCGAAAGCTTTGCTCAGGTCACTAGGACTAAAAAGGAAGTAACCGATAAAACTATTTTGTTTCTGTGATGTTATGCTTCTTTTTTATGTTCTGTTACTCCTAAATCTTAAATGTTAATAGTAGTATAATGATTGTGAATAGTTAAATATAAACTATGTATTTGTTAATATCGCGTTCGATAGCAGAAAGAATAAATAATTAACATTTGCCTTTTTTTATATTAAGAATAGATATTCCTTACCTGACTAGTTGTAATTGGACTTTTTAGTTCTAAATATTGAACTGAATACTTACAACAGAATTTTTGTTTTTATATGACACATTTGTACATTTGTAACAATTCCATTGGATTACTCACCATTACATTCTTGTTTTTTTTAGAAAGGAGGATTCTTAAAAACTTTTCGCTAGGATAAGAGTAAATTATCTAAAATGTGTATTTCAATGTTGTATTACAAAAATTGTGAAGAAATTAAGTACAAAATGTACAAAAAAAAACTGATTAAGTACAATAAATTTATGTTAAAATTATTTCCTTGAAAGAAATGAGGTAAATGGCTAAATTCTACTAATTATTGTATTAATGAAACTTTGCAAAACATACGCTACAAGACCAAGATCCTTCAGGAGGATTCACTAACGGAGGGTTTAAGCAATACATGTGATATCCTCGATCGCAGTCATCGCAAAATAATAGCTGTTCCTAGAAATATATTACAAATAATTTTCCCATTATGAATTAATTTTGTATCAACTTTTAAAAATTAGTGCAAGTAACTTACATCATTATCAGAATTTCCACATACAGAACAGCATTTACATTCAATACATTGCCAACGGTATAGTTTTACGGAAATTTTCATATTATCCGTAAATTGTAAACACGAAGGATGCCCTAAAAATAAACGAATTACTGTAATTTTGAAAAACATGTTTTTTATTACATATTGTGTGCTCCATGTAATCACCATTTTTTATTAACCAATTCAAAATATTGCGTTATCGAGCGATTAATAAAACGGACCGTTTTAATATTCTTAACTTACCTTTGCGATTGTTCATTAAACCAATGACCTACTCAAAAAAGTTAAAAATTCAATTACTATCGATATTAATGGGATGTACACGAGCTACAATGAGTGCCGAAGAACAGTGATCTTCCAAGTTACGTGACAAATATAAATAAATTCGTTAAATTAACATACAATTGTAACGAAATATTTGATTAAGACGATGAGAAATAGAACAAACATCGAACTCTAAAAGCATGGTGGCTATTCAACTATATGATAAAAAATGCACATAAACAACATATATTATTAGAAATCTGGATTAGTTATGAAGAATCTTCAGTAATCAAGAAATGAACTATCGAGTAGGATATTTCTTGATTACACCGCGATAACTCCATCGATTAGAGAAGGCAGCTTCAAGAAGCTTATCCTCGACGAATCTTCTCAAGTCGAAAACGTAAAATTATACAAAATATTATTATTCAATGTTTTATTATAATAATATGGTTACATAATTAATAGATAATCTTGGAAAACAACTGTTCTTAACTCAAATCGTCTGAAAGTATTCAATAATGAGTTACAGATAAATAAATAGATACAATATTTTATAAACAAATTATTACTCTTCCAGCACAAAAAAATAAAAAATAATTTATAGTGATATCATACTTAGAAATTAAAATGATATAGCAAAAATACAAATATTTGTATATCAACAAATAGGCAACGTTAACTTTTCGATACCTATAAAATATTCAGTAAATACATATTTCAAAAACTGGCAAAATTACACTAGCAAAATTTTTGGTCAATTGACTAGATGCTTACTTATTTATAATTAATTATTCGTCGGTGCTACTTCTTTACATATTCTCTTTCATCTGAACCTTATCAATAAATTTAATTAGATTTTGATGACAGTAAAGTTGATGTTGCAGCAGATCAGTGAAAAAATCAGAAAATACCTATTTATTATTTTCAAAATAATCTAAGATATTAGAGTACGAGTATGTTAAAGTGAAATCTTTAACAGGAAGGTGCCAATAAAAAAATTAAATTCTCCCTAATAGCAACAAGAAATCTGGATTCCACATTTAAGCAAAATATTTTTTCAGTAAAAAGGGTAAGAATTAAACGTTAAGAAAGCAAGAAAATCGCTTTTCCTATAATTAAATCAGTGATTAGAGATTAATCAAAACTTACAAGTGTGCTATATCTAATTGTTGCAAAGAATAAAAAGCATGCGATAACAAACACTCTACTGTTATTTTCAAGAAAAATAACTATACCAAGGAAGCGAAATATTGAGCAATTCCTGTCGAAACAGGAAAATACAGGGTAAGAAGGGAATTGTTAAGAACAAAATCTATCATTATTTCTTCGTTAATTACTTGCCTAATTACTGCAATAATAGAAACTTTAATTTTAGTCTTCAATCGTTTAAATTTACTAATATTTCTCCTAAAACTAATGGTATGCAATAGAATGTAATACGCTATCTAATCGAAAGTAGGTTGCTAGTACTTTAAACACCTGAAATATACGATATAAAAATCAAGCAATCAAAACAAATATCAATTACTAGATATTTAGTAATCAATGGAGAAGAGTGTGAACACAATTGGTTCTGATTCGCTACAAAATTGTCAGTGCACTTTAGTGTTTGTACTTTGGAATTTGGAAAAAGTCCTCTAATATACACGTTTTTCATTAATTTTCATAAAATAAACAAATCACTATTTATAATAAAAGAAATTAAAAAGAAATTCCTTATAAATTAATGAAAACCCATTCAATTATAAAAAAACTATTTGTACAAAAGTAATTATTGCTGCATTACATACGCGAGTTTAAATTCCACACACTCACAATGTAACAAAAAAAAACAAACAAAATATAATTATTATAAACCAACAAATAAATCAACTCAATAAAAGTGATCAACTTTCGTATTATCCAATATTAAAATATAAATTAAAACTAAGTATTTTACTAACAACGGAGGATTCTCATTACGTTACATTATACCTTGCCTCTACCAATCCTATTCATGATTTTTCCTTACCTGATCTACCACAGTCAGAACAAGATACTAACTCTTCTTGAACGCCGGTTTTTTTATTTTCGCCAGAATCGCCCAAGCAAAAGTCGCAATACGGGTTCCTTTTTCCCCCCGGGACAGGACCTAAAGTCTCTGCGGGCGGCTCAGAAACCGGCGGAATCAACGGCAAGTCCAGAGACTTCTCGGGCACCAACACCGGCATCTGGGGCTCGTCGACCGGCGGCGACGGCTGCTGCGAGGGCAAATTCGGCGGCAAAGTCGGCGGAGCCTGTCCTGGAAGTTGATTAATCATAGAAGGAATCGGCATTTGGAGCGGTCCACCGGGCGAATTGGGCGGACGACCGGCCATCCTGCGGTTTAGGGCGCCTAAGAAATAAACGTTTTATACAAAAAATTATAACAAAATTTAAACATTATACAACTACTTTTCATACGTTTGGTTAAAACTACTACTGGAGGATGACAGATGGTTGTGCAAACGGGTAAACACAAAGCGGTATCAACAGCATAATTCAAATATTAATACTTACTACATATTTCTAAGTTGATGACAATGAAAATACAATTAGCAAAATCATTCCAATTACTCATGCATGCAAAATACAAAATCTAAAAATAAAAAAAACGTAAAAGATTAAAATGCAGTACCGGGTGTTTGATTCAAAAAGGAAACGTAACTGTCTTGATAAACTTGTCCTTGATCGGGCCGGTTGTTGATCGAGGGGGCCAACAGATTGGGCGGGCCGACGCCCAACGGGTCCGGTTGCATCATGGGCGGCGGCGGCGGTCCCACCGGATTGATTTGGCCGAGCATGCTCGGACTGTTCGGTAACATCGGATTCAAGGGATTCAATTGCTGCGGAGGAATGCTGTCGCGGGAATTCTCGTCGCTGGCGCCTTCTTTGTGCGAATGACGATAGTGGTACGTCAAGCCTGGCCTGGTCTTGTAACGGGCCCCACAAACTAAAATGATATCGAAGAATACCGTAATATACAAGTATTATTTCTGTTTTTTTTTAGCTTACTTTCACAAGCAAAAGGTTTATCAGGATCACCCGGAGTCGGTTCGTAATTGTGACTAGACTTTTTCCTGCCGCGACCGCTGCCTTTTTTTCTACCCGGAGTACTCGGGGAATCCGTTCCACTGCGCCCCTAATAAATATAAACTCTTAGAACACAAATAAATATTGAAAATAAGTTATTACCCTTCCAGCTGCTTTACGGCCTCTTTTTCTTTTAGTGTAGCTTTCTTCGTAATCTAAATCTGAATCGGGATCTGGCTCTTCATACGTATCCATTTCTAGCATGTCACTTTCATCGTAAAACCATTCCTTCAACAAACAGAAAACGTTGTAATAAAAATCATTAGGATGAAGTGGGGTAAAATTGGAAAAAACCAACTTTCCCTAAGTTCGAAGAAAAAATCTATCAACTTACTTTTGAAACATCATCTTTGAGAAGTTGACTATCCTTACTGTCGTTATCCTGCGAAGTAGGATATTCCCCCTGAGACATACTGTGACCGTCGCATTCGTTTCCGATCAGTAAATGATCAGCGGCTCTAGCGAATGTTCTGTGATTTAAGGATAGGTACTGCCTTTTCTTTTTCCTCCACCTCTGTCTAGGATAAGAATATATTTGGCCCGGGAACATTCCCGGGATTCGCTGTCTCCTACTCACGAATAAAGAGGAATGATTTTGGGCCACACCTGTTTGAGTGTCAAAAAAAGGCAGTCGGAGTCTCCTTTCAATTGAAAGTCTTGTGTTATAATTGCTAGAGTTTTCGAGTGCTTCATTATAGGCGGCTTCGTTAAGAAAACTAAAAGGAACACTTAATTAAAAAATCAACTACGTGTGCAATATAAGATTAAAGCCATTATTATCATTACGATCATTACTACCTTTCTATTTTTTCTAAATTCGTTTTATTCGAATTATTAGGTGGATCGTCTACAGAAGCCGCAACTAAAGCGGCCATTTCTATATTATTTAAACAAAAATCGTTCGGTTTCGGTTTCCTTAATATTCATTTAGGGATAAATGGATATTATGTGAAGTGTGAAGTTAGGAATGTTTTAATTCCAATTAATCTGACACCTGTCATATAAGTTGTGACATTGACAGATTATTACGAGTGCGTTCCGAAATAATATTATTCAGTGTAATTTTTATTTTTCGAAATATCTTCGGAGTGGCAAAAACGAACAACTTTACACTTCGTTGTTGTGAACATATGACATATGAACTATTTTATTTTGTTTTACATGTATTTTGATAATATCGCTTTTGTATTTAACAACAACTAGGGTACCATTTTATTGATAACGAATAACAATAATTACAAATGGCTCCATTGGGAAAAACTTTCGTTTAGTGTTACAAGTGATAACATTATTTCTGAAACAACCAATTTTATAATAATTAGTTGAAAAAGTAGTGAATCGAAATGACTATAAATGAAGGCTGTAATTTGTTGTTCTGCCTATTATTATGGTATATAAAGATGTTTTATAATGCGTTATCTCTTTGTTTACTACTAAAGAATTGTTTAATTGAATCATCTATGTTAGTTACTGATAGTGTTTAAATTTTGCAGTAGTGCATTTCGTAAATACATTATTATTTTTTAATGAAGTTCTAGTTGCATAGTGCATGTTACCAAATAATTTTGATATTACCCATCCATGTTAGTTATTAAAGAATATCTCAATTGCAGTTTAAACTGATGTCTGTTGTCCCAACAACACATTTACAACATAAGAACTATTTAGAAGGTGAAAAACTATTGAAACAACTTTTAGAATGTGTTAAACAGTGCCAGAAGCGATTCGGAGGTAAATCAGAACTCGCCACTGATTTCGATAGTTGCGTAGCAGGACTTTGTTTCGCATTAGAGACAGTTTTATTATTTGGGTTAAAACCCAGAAGTTCTAACGCCCAAAGTTCGGCTATAAAACAAGTGTCCGAAATTCTTATCAATACGTTGAACACTGGAAATGAGAATTATTGTAAGCTATTATTTTAATCTATTGTTGATTATTTTTGTGCTATCTATAATGTGTGTTTGATTTTAGCTTTCTGGTCGTTTATTTATTGTCATTTGACAAAGCATGAAAGAGAAAGGTACTCAGTATTGAAGCAAATTTGGACTGATACAGGTAGAGGGAGGGCTTGGTTAAGGTCCTCCTTGAATGAACACTCTTTGGATAGGTATATTTATCACAGCATTCTATAATAATGTACCCCATAAATCTAAGACATCACTAGAAAGATAATTATTAACAAAGTGTTCTATTTTAGATATTTCCACACAATATTAAGTAATCAAGAAATTTTAGCAGAACATTATGAACCGTGGTCAATACTTCGCGATGAGGAAAAAAATAGCATGTTGCCAAATATGGCAGCAGGTAACAAACTGAAATTAATCAACCCTTTAACGAACTATTTATTTTTTACTGTTGTAGGTTTAAACTGCATTCTGTTTGCCATTAGCATTGATAAACCCGAACTAAATAGTGGAGTAAGTCTTCATCGAAATAATTGCACCTTTAAACCAGAACCTGTTATAGAAGCCCCCTTACGAGGTGAGTTTTCTATCTAAAATCTATAGCAGTTCTCGAATATAAAAATTTTTAGTAATAAATAAAGAGCCTACCAAAGTAAAACGTAATAGAAAAGTCGCACGACAATTTATATCCTTTGATGACGATGCCAGTGATAACTCAATAAGCGTACCAACCAGTATAAGTAGTACTGACTCGCATACTAAATCGGACAAGGCCAACACTGGACCGAGTCATAGTAAATCGGTTTGTACTGCAGAAGGGAACATTCTAACAAGCGAAATGGACAGCAGCAACAAGAACAGTGATTCCAGTAAATTGTACTTGGACATCAACGAATCTAGAGAAAATAATATTGCTGTAGTATCTGATTGTTTAACTCCGATATTACAAGAAGAAATAGGCGAATTGACTCCCGTGTCTGTAAAAATATCGGAAAATTTCGATGATTCCGATGAAATTTTAGAGGTATCAAGTCTATTAATTAAATTGCAATTTAATCGAAACATTATTATCCAAATTTACATGGTAAATAACCAGAAATCGTCCTTTACAGACACCAACCGATGTGAGTGCAATTCTCAGTACCATCGAGAACAAAAACAAAGAAGAATTGGATAAAAAACAAGAGAAAATCAATTACTTATTGAAAGAAAACGAAACGCTGAAGGAGCAACTCGAAAGGTACATCGGGGCCATTCAAATGCTCAAGCAAGATCAAGAAGTAGACGGTGTCCTCGAAGGCCTGGATATCGAGCATTCTCCTAATTATAAAATGGAAGCTACGATGTTCGAAAAGAAACTTGTTCAGGTCAGTATAAGTGTGTGACTTTATGCTCAATAAGGCTTAATTATTATTGATTTAAGGTGGCTGAAATGCACGCTGAACTGATGGATTTCAACGTGATGCTTCAAGAAAACTTGTGCAAGAAAGAATTGCAGTTGGAGAAAGTTCAAAAGGAATTGGAAACGTTGAGGACGATGAATCCCGCTTTAGATTTAAATAGCGACGGGATCACAGGCAGCGTTCAAATTTGGATACCTTCTGCTTTTTTGAAAGGTATTTATTTAGTACGCAGGGTGGAATAGGCGTTCGGAAATCTCCGATTTTCTCGGTAAATATGGCAACAATGTAAATGATAAATCTACAATCTAGAATAAGCTCATTCTAAATTTTGTACAACTACGAGTAAACTAATAGTGGAAAATCCGATGTTTCTCGGCATATGTAAGTTATTTCTCTATAATAATTAATTGAATATTTAAGGGAGTGGTTCAAATGCATATCACGTCTACCAAATATTCCTTAGAGCGGGTAAAGACGAATGGAACGTTTATAGACGATACGCCCAATTCTATTCGTTTCATACGGAACTGAAGAAGCTCGATCCAGTCGTTGGAACCTTCGATTTTCCCCCCAAAAAAAGTTTAAGGAATAAAGTACAAAACTTGAAATGTATTCTTTCGATAAATGTCTAAATATAACGTATTTTAGGACGCGTATGTAGTCGAGGATCGAAGGAAGCGTCTTCAGGTTTATTTGAGAAAGATTATATCTCACTGGCCCGAATTGGCATCCTGCAATAATCGTGTATTATTAGAACAGCAATTGCCGTTTTTCAAGTAAGAAATTTATTGTTTTATTTGTTTTCTTTTCTTCGATTCATTGCAATTACATTATGATTTATTCCAAGGCATTACCGATCTAGTCGCTTGTAAGAAGCACCATAGTTTTGCCAATTTAACTCATTATTTATAATGTTTATGGTCCCAAGATTATTCCATTTTCTAAAATTAAGTTCTTAAATTGTTGTAGAGACCAACGGGAAGATATATTCAATAAAAACGCTAATAATTCCATAGTTAATTCGAATGCTCCTTCAGGTGTTCATTCAGGACTTTAACTTTTAGTTAAATTCGCTCAAATATAACGTTTTGATTATGTTATGTATAGCCAATTTAAAATACCAAAACTGCCTGCTCGGTTAAAATCCTGTTATGATTGGAGTGACAGGTTTGTTTCAACGAAGGTATTAAATTGTTTTATATAAGGATAAAAGTTGAGATTTGTTGATACCTTACAAACCTGAGATAATTGAATACATAATTATTTCTTGGTATTCTCCATGTTTGTTTGGAAAATTGTAACAACAAGAGATTAATTATAAGTACAAAATATTGAATTTAATCAATCCTGTGGTTGATAATGTATCGGGTCTTTTTTTTTTAAGTGCCGGTGTTTTTTTCTTAAGATAGTGGAATTTTCCACGAAATTTGTACTATCTAGGATTGTACTATACTAAGGTGAAAACACCTGAGCTAAGTAAGCTAAAATATTTGTATTTATAGCTAAAATTTTTACATTTGTATGTAAATGTACACGTGTTTTATGTGTACACTATTATACATTTTTACATATTATATTTAGTTTTTGTACAACGAAAAACATATATGCCCAGTCGCTAAAACGGTAATTAAGAATAATGAGCTATTAATCTTTAATCATCCAATATTTTGTTGTAGTTGATGATTGATTAATAGTTTATCATTTATATTATTAGCTTTTCAGATACCGAACAGAACCCTGTAATAGATTAATAATTTAGATTTACTTTATAATGCTGTTAAAAACTGTGATTGAAAAGTTGCTTATAGGAATTAATTATTTTATAATACTCGTATTTCCTGCTGGTGCATTGGACTATTGATTTTTAAATATTAATATCGTAATGTTATCGAGAAAAATATTTTTTTTGTATTTTTTAAGCATGCAATATCAGTGTTACCCATAATTTTATTAGTTTAATTATAACATACAGGGTGTTTCTGAAATAAGTGTCAAACTTTGGGAACAAGTAGAGAACCTCAACATATGACAAAAACTTAAATGTCATTTTATCGAAATGTCCTCGGTTATCGGTATACAAGGTGTCAAAAATGGATTCTTCAAGAGGGATTTTTATTAAAAATTTCATTAATAGCAAAGGTAAAATGATAAAATTTGGTACACATACTAAGCAAATGAAAAATGAAGTTTTCTACATAAAAAGGTATACTGTTGATTTTTCGCAAAGTGAACCATTTTCAGAAACACCCTGTATATAAATATATAATGTATTAATATATCAAAAGTGGTTACATAATTGCAAAATCGAATTTTATATATTATTTTCAAAAAACGTGAATTTTACTTGGTTTACATTGCCTTTTGTATGACTACTTAAGTTGTTCAACACCAATAAACTAGAGATTATATTTTTTATAATAAATAAATTGAGATTGTCATTTGATTTATTTTCGATTTTATATAAATATATTTTAACACCATTTTAAAATTGTTTGGTATTCACTGTGGTAAGGAAACACTTACACATAAGGAAACACATTAAATTTTATTTAATTTATTGTTAAATGGAATTCGAATTATAATACATATTCGGTAACAGTTAATGGGTAAGGGTTTTGATTAGTTTCTTTTGACAGTGATTGCATCTTTGGTACATCGACTAGGGGATTAACTCTCTAAACAATTAATCAGTCAAAAGTAAATCATCATTATAAAATTGTCCAAAAGTTTCTTCTCATAAACATATATTACAAACTTAATATTTCTAAAATTTTGTGTATAAAAATTTAACCTTTTTTTTGATTAATATACTCTATTAATTATTCATATATTAACTGCATTTTCGGTATATATTGCCCTTTTCGGCAAATAATAGTTATTGCTTTGCAATAAAATTGGAACAGATAACGCTTTTACCCTGATAAACGTCAGATATTTTATGTACAAAAAAAACCTAACTCGAAAGTAGATACTTATAATTATTAGGTAAGATATTGTTGTAAGATAAGTAATAATTGATATTGTCGAAAACATTCAATCACAAGCTTAAAAATACCGATCGTCTAGACGTATAATAAACACACTTCCGCGACTTTCCTTCTCTCATTTTCTCTCAACGAATCTCATTCAGCGATTTTGTAACAGTCGCAATATATATCGAATATGCCAAAGTTTGAATCTTATTTACACAGCGATAGAATAGTCGGTCGGCTGGCCGGAGCCTGCGGTGGCAGGCCTCGACCACAGGCTCGATCTCAATCCAAGTTTCAGTTTTTTGAGCGTATCGATGTCGCACTCCGCCTCGCTCAATTCAGGTCGATCCGGCGTGGTTTGATCGGCGTTCAGCCTCTCGGTGAAGGGCGTCTCCGCCACGGAAAGGTGACTTAGAATCTGTCTCTGGGAGTTGCTTCGACCGCCTTGAGCCAACCACCTGCCAATGCAAATTTAATGAGCATACTAATAGAACTCCAAACGGTGCTTACCTATTTCTGTTTCTCCGCGGGAGCGATTTCTGGTCGGACATTGGCGAGATATCCGATGAGGTGCTCGACTGGGCACCGTGGTACAGGAAGTCTGGAAAATATGCGGGATTTCTGATGGTTTAGTTAAATAGGACCGTGTACCATGGGGCAGTGTATTATGTGTACCAAGCCAATTAGTTATGAAAAAATGGAGACAATTCGCACTTGCTTATGGCAAATGTAAGTTTATGCATCTATTGCTCTGCAGAGTAATAAAACTGATGGAGTATTGGTATATAATTTGATGAAGTAGTGTAAAACTTCGAAATATCCTCGAAACTGCCAGCCTCAGGGAAATGAAGTAAATAAAATAAACCACTATTTCTTCGATTACTAGATAAGAATCGCGAAAAATTGAAGTTCATATTGCCGAAACCGGAACAGCTAAGAACGTAAAATAAATTGGATCGTTAGAGAATGAAGTGTTTCCCATTAAATGAACCACGAATAGTTATTAGAATAAACAGTTTCGAAGTTACACAATCTCCATTCTCCCTATCAGCATGTAATGAAATTTTATATCTTACTATGCTTATGTTTCAAATCTAATTGATTGGAAGACTCTGTCCTACTGGAGGTTAATTGGTCCTGATCGGATTCGCTGTCTTCGCTATCCACGTCCGTTTTTCTGCTGGTACGTCTTCTGTGGCCTTTCGCACTTTGAAATTTTTGCTAAACGAACAAACGTACAGGATTTTTTAACATTTTTCGAATTCATTAGAACAACTTACGATGTTGTAATATGGCGAGTTTCGTTGAACAGAAGTAGCCGGCGGTGGAGAGGCGCAACCTTCGGTCATCGGATGTTCGTGGTACATAAAACTGTGAAGCATCGTGTTCTGCGGCAATGTGCTAGGCTCTGATAATTGAAATGTCGCGTACGGTGATATGTCCTCGGAAGTCTCTGAAAATACAGTGGATTTCAATTCTGTTAACGATATTCATTAGAAACGAGTACCTGGTATTTTCTCTCCAGCTTGTAGAGCCACTTTATGAATCGTTGCATAATATCTCTCCCTCTGTGCTTCGGCGTTGTGCCGGTTTTCTAATTGCTCCTTAGCGGACTCGTTGTTACCTAAACAAGCATTAATTTTCGTAATCCTTGTTTAATCCGCTTTTTTAATAACTTACGACGTTTCATGCAAACAGCAGCTCCTATTGCCGACACTGTTATCGCCACGAACAAAACTACTAGGGGTATTATAACTTTCAAGTCCGAGTAAAACGGCGAGTCTTCGTTACCCTGTTTCATTAAATCGGGAGGCGGCACGTCTGGAAAAATATTTAGCCGTCAAGAAATCGGTCGAAATTTCGCAGGGATTTATTCACCTCCGTCCTTTGTGAGAGTCATAAAATGGAATTCTTCGGTAGAAAAACCAGCGACATTATGCGCTTCTAGTTTAACGATGTACTGCGTTGCAGGAGTCAGTCCAGTTATTGAAGTTTTTCGTTGTGGCTTTAAAGCGTTTGATACTGAAAGAAATCCGCAAAACTTTTCTTACTTGTATTTTGAATATTCTGAATAAACGCGAGCGTTTGTAGATAAAACGTTTAAGCAAACCTATAATTTATTTAGCATACAATTTGTACAAAATAGAGATACAACTAACTACAAATAGAAATTTCGATAAAAGTAATTTCTGAGTGCTGCTTTTCAGTTTTACGGCTTTAATAAAATTTAAGTAATCATCCACTCTCGTGTAAATCCCCGGGTTTCTGCCCAGGCAATCGAAACTGATCGACAGGATCCCGTATTGCGTGTCTCCGCACATTAGAGGAGTTCCCACTTCTCCGAAGCAAGTATCTTCTATTAAGAGGTTCTCTGTGCACACGTTATACGTTGAATCCATCCAATGAGACTGGCAATTTTGTAACAATATTGTGTCTAAATTCACGCAGCTTAAAGAGAAATCGAATCGATTGAGAAATGAAGATTCTAATTGAAAAATGGAATATTTGGTGGATGTTTTAAACAAACCTTATTCGCAAATCGGTGGTGTTTTTATAGGTTTTTTTACCCCATCCCATTAAAGTAGCTGTTGGGCAAAATAAAGGAACTTCCAGTGGTTTGTAGTCCGGAAGTTTAACGTATGCTAATTTGGCATTGTACAAAGGTTCAATTAATTTCATTACGGCTATATTATGCAGAAGTTTTTCTTTTTTGAAACGGGGATAAACGAATACGTGACTGACTCTGGTTGTCGGGCACCAAAAACTTAGCACTCCGTTGTCTTTAACGTATTGATCTATGGAGGGGTATGAATAATTAATAGGAAATTAGTGTCAGATTTTGTATAATAAAACTACCTCTTGTATAAGCATCGCTGGCGTACAATTGGCTTTTTTTATCGTAACAAATGGCCGCCGACAATATCAGTCTTTGACTGAGAAGAGTTCCAGTGCATCTGTGGTAGCCCCAAAAATTCGTCAAAGCTACCAAATAAATCGGATCTATTTCGGGATGATTGTCACACGAATGCTTCTTCTTCGTCGGTATTTCATCAAATTTCGAATCAGATTCATTACCACAGAAAACAGCCGATGCGATTACCAATATTAATAACAATATAAAAAGTCTTTTAACGATCATCTGTTTGATTTCATCTTTAAACTGCCACTTTCTCTCTGACAGAAATATAACACGTCAAAACATAAAGTTTATAGTTGGGTACTAACCCGCTATATATTTTTGTGCTATAAGTATATTTATTTTGTTCGTTTTTATTCTTACCTACGGTCCACTGGGCGTCGGCGAGCTTCTTGTACTGCAAAATAAAATACAATATCGGACATCCGTTGTCCGGCCAGACGTGAAGTCGCAAAATGACCGAGGTGGAGTTGGGGGAGATGAAAGAAGCCAAGGAAGGAATTCCGGGAGGGTGGCCCTGAGTTCTGGCTTGGAGCGGGTGACTAGCTGGAGAACTTCCGATTTTGTTGTGCGCGATCAAGTAGAGGTGATATGTCGTTCCGCACGAGAGACCCTGAAATATACTGCTGCTTTTACGGTGTAATAAATAGCGCGAAATATTTCACGTTTTTTCGATAGGAAAAAATATCTCTTTCACAGAAATATATCTTACTTTCAATTCGTAGCTAGTCGCGTGCCTCGAGAGGTTTATCGAATTAATATCGCCGTGTTCTTTTTTGTAATTTAGAGTGAAACCACTGATGGAGGCCCCTCCGTTATTACCCGCTTTCCAATGAAGAAGTACGCTACTGCTGGTAGCGCTAGTTACATAGAGAAGGGGTGCCATTGGAGGTACCTAAATAACAATTAAATATGTAAGCTGCATGCGACAAAAGTCTATAAAACATCTACCGACCTGAACAATCAAATTGTATATAATCCGGTCTGTGCCCTGCCCGTTATCCACCTGGCACGTATAATTGCCGGCGTCTCCAATTTGAAGCTTGGACAAAATCAACTCGCCCGTATCCAGTAATTGAATATTGTGATTAGCACCGCCCTAAGACAACACCAATAACTATTCCAATCGATGCGGTCAAAGCGAATTGAATATTACCTTAAGTATTTGATCGCCTTTGAGCCATTCGCGCTTCGGCACTCCCACGGCCTCGCAATTAAAGGACACCGAACTCCTCCACGGACGGACGATCAGGCCGCCGAACGACGTGATCCGAGCGGGTACTGCAAATAAAATTTCGATTTCTGGTTGATTTTGTATTTTTGTAAACGTACCGCGCGCTGTGGCGATCTGCGACACCACCTTAGAACTCTGCCCTTCGCCGATTCGAGTGGAAGCGGTCACCCAAAATTGGTACTCGATGTGCGATTGGACGCTCTTCACTTCGAACATGGTATTTTGGCTGGATATCGTCTGCCTGGCGTTGTCGATTTCCGTTCTTCCGTCCATGCTTCTGCGGTAGAGGTTGTATTTGGATATGATGCCGTTCGGTTCCATCGGCGGCAGCCAGGAAATCTTCAACGATTGCGAGGAACTTACTACCACTTTTATGTCGGCCGGGGGACTGGGCACTAAGAAACGTATAACGTGTTAAAAATTAAAAATCGAAATGACCATTCGAAACGCATTTTTATAAAATACAATTTATTCAGGTGTTACCTTTAAATTAAAGAATGAAAACGCGCCGAAGCGAAAGGAAAATTCGCCGGGTCGTGCCGGGCGTACACAAAAAGTCGCCCATCGGCGAGAGCGTAATTACTTTTAAAAGTAGTTAAATATTCATTAAATCTTACCATCTTCCTCGGTTTGACAATAGGAGGGTGCGGTGAACACACCGTCCCCGACTTTCGTGAACGCCAATACTTGTAAACTGTAGTTGGTAAACTTTCGCAATCCCGTTATTACCGTTGTCAGTGCAGTCGTTTTCCTTGTTTCCATTTCGTCATTCCCTGGAAGTTTGAAGCTCCCAATTATCATAGGAAAGCGAGTTTGAAAGCGTTTAGGTTTTATTGGGAGTTTCGTGATTGCAAACGGCCTTTTTTTTTAACTTTTTTAACTTAGATTGAATTAAATCCCAATGCTTTATTTTTCCTAAACAAAACAGCTCTATCTATTGTAGGACAAATCATTTTATTTTTTGTTAGATAAAGAAAAGTAAATATGATATTTCTACGATTTCCTTTTGGTTCAAATATTTAGGTACATGCGAGTCAATTTCCTACCTTTCCAATTATCATCCAATACAGGTTCGTAGGTTAGTTTGTAGCCCTGCAGGAGGCCATTGCAGTGCTCGGTCGGAGGCGGCTGCCAACTAACTTGTAACGATTGTGACGTTAACGCCGCACACCTAACGTCTTCCGGGGGCATGCTGGGAACTGCAAAATCGTTTAATCGTCTAACATTATGGAAGTGACAGAATTCGTCGTGGGAAATATCTTACAAAAATCCACTGCGTTCTAAAATGTTTTACATTTTGATTTACAATAGACTGCAACACTTGAATGCTAAATGATTCGGATAGTCAAAACTAAAAGAAACTCGTATTTAGGCGCAGTGAGGCCCTCAACTATTCCACTTTTGAGGCTCTTTCATGTCCCATTTTGAAGTCTGTATAAACTACATGGTAGATAATAAAACACAACAGTAACAATTAGAATGTAGACATCTCTTGATCATCCAATACTGATTCTAATACTGTAATATCATCGACCTAAATTGGTATAAAAATAACGAATAAATTTACCGTCTTCCATGGTTTGCGCCGTCACTGGTTCCGATAAGGGCCCAGTTCCGACTTCATTGAAAGCTTGCACAACGATCGTGTAACGAGTAAATTTACTCAAACCGCTCAGCAGAACTTCGCCCCCGTCTTCCCCGTCGCCATTAATCGAAGTGAAGTTGTAACTTCCCATCGAGGCCGTCCGATAACCGATGTTGAAACCCTGCAATTCCAATTATCCGTACCGTTCTAGCATTGTACTAGAATGCCGAGTTTACCTGTATGTCTCCGTGTCGTAGTTCTGAAAGCGGAGGTGTCCAAGTCACCAGAACTTCGCTGGAGGAAATAGGCCGTGCGGCTAAATTCAGCGGTGGCCCAGCGGGTCGTTGAGGCTCGGTCCTCAGCATGAGATCTTCGCTGGGCGAGCTCTTACCAGCGGGTCCTTCTGCTATTACGTGAAACGTGTATCTGGTGGCTGGTTTGAGGTCTTCTATAAGCGCTGTGAAGGGCAGCGGTGAGTCAATCAGCTCGAGCTGATGCCAAGGTCCTGAAAATAACACCCACTTCTCGCCTCCGCACTTTCATTTATCACGCATAGTCCACTTACTATCCGTTTCTCTATACTCGATTATAAATTTGAAGACTTCGTTAGAATCGCCGGACTTGTGTTGCCACTTCAAATTCACCGATCTGCTTCCAATCATCGCCGCTTCGATGTTCTGCGGCGGCACCGGGGGTTCCTGCACCAGCAATTGCACCAATTGCTGGTCTCGACCGTACATGTTGCTGGCCTGGCAAAAGTAAGCCCCGCTATCCTTCGCGTCGGAGTTGACTATCTGAAGCTCTGCCGCTACCTGTTAGCAACGAATAAAAGTCTCGCTGTAGCAGGACTCGTCGCGGGAAACGACAGAATTGATAACAACTTACGCCGTCGGGTGTAACGTCCTGTTTCACGTTAACCCGATAATTATTGGAGGGGTTCAATTCGGTTTTGCCGCCTCGCAACCATACGACGTTAATCGGTTTGTCGCCGTTCACGTCGCAGTGCAGCAAAGCGGTGTCGCCCTTTTTGACGGTAACCAGTCTTGAAGGGGCGGCGAAATAGGGCGAAGCTGGAACGGAATGCGTTGATGTAAATTATTGAGCGCTTTACGCTGGAACGCTCTACATTATTCATTTCGTAGAGCCGATTTGGCGGTTTGTTGCGTTTGTAAGGAAAGAATTTTTTGGTAAAATGTGTTCTCACCAATTTATAGGTAACAAGGCTATTTCGTTTTCTAACACGTTATAAATGGGAGGTGGTAGATATGTGCACTTGGTGTTGCAGTAATTAATGCGCCATTACATAGAGTGTATTGATTTTTATAGCATCTTAGCATCTTGCATTTGATTATAGGTGGAAATACTGATGTTATTTGAGAAAATGTTAGGTTTTTTGAAGCAATATTTATACTCTTTTTGAAATGAAATTGAGATTTTAAAAAGAGCTTCTTAAGATTTTTATAAGTGAGCTTTTTCATGTATAAGAATAATTAAAAACTATTTTGTAAAAGATTGTAAGTTGTAGAATTTATCATCAATTTTTATTCCATTCATGCGAACACTAACAAATTTAATGTAGAGATCATTTTAAATTTGATCTTAGATGAGGCTTTCCAGGTTTCATGTGGCTTCTTAGGAATTAATCGAAAGTATCATATTTTGCAAAAAGTTTTAGATTTTTTTAACGATTTCGAAAGTATTTCTTAAATACATCTATAGAATTTCAAGCATACATACAATTAACTCGCAGCTGTATGACTTTGCCGATCCCCGTACCGATTCCATTATCAGCTTGACACAAATAATACCCTTCGCGATCCTCTTTGACGTGCTGCAGTAGAAGGGTACCGTTCCCTAACAGTTTCGTGTACATATGGTCTCTAACCTCTTCGTAATCGCCCGATTTGCTAGCTGAAAACGATATAAATTTCAGCGCAAATTGCCTCGTGTTAATTTGGTCGTATTAAACAAAGCGGCATGCACTCTTGGGCGTACGATATAATTATGTAGTTAAATTGATGAAGAGACCTGTTGCTTTTTTCCAAATCACTGTAGGCGTCGGAACACCTTGGGCCTGACAATGAAGCGCAACGTGTCTGTTACGTTCAACGCTCACGTCTACAGGCTCTACCAGCCATCTTGGCGGCACTGAAACAAAGCCGGTTTTATTGAGTAAGGAGGAAAATGCCGGTGCAGGACAAATAAAAATGGTGCCATCGTGGGTGGGAACATTTACCACTCTCTACACGGTTTGGGTAATCTCTGCCTAAAATGGTCACTTTAGTCACCTAATACTAGAGAAATACTGACATTTTTGTTTGTATGCTTAATATTTTTCGAAACGTCCAATTGGTATTGATTTGGGGTTTCCATATTCTCCATTTCTTCTTCGGGATTATTTAATTTTCTTGAATTGTGTATAATTAGTACCAATTTGGATTTCTCAAAGTATTACGGGTAAATTAAAGCACATTTTTAACAGAGGTGGGTGGCTACTCGATACTGGATTTTGCTGCAATAAGCAATTATCGTGAGAACTTTAATATTATTCAAAATGTGGCGGTGTGAACATATTAAGCAATATTCGTTATGTGACGTACCTTCTATAACATTTAATATAATTTGAATGTTAACTGGTTATAAATTGTTGCTAGATGTAGGTAATAATTTAAAGAAATATATAGTGAACCAGTGAACAATCAAAGAGAACAACAGCACAAAACACTAAAAAAATAATATCATGCAAACATCAAAAGGAAAATAAAAAACTATAGGAAAGTGAAAGTGAGAGAAGAACAAAAGTTGGTGCAACAGTACCTTGACCACTGGGTCCAATCGTCGCGTGTGCCAAAGCAACGGTAGGTGTTCGGGTCGGGGATGGAGCATGTGAAAAGGAAAGAGGCTTGGGTGGTTACCTTTGACCTGCAGTTTCGCAGTGTACCTAACCTCAGAGGCTGGATTGCTTGCCACGCAGGTAAAATCGCCGGAGTGTCTCGAATCAAGGCTAGAAATGCTCAGGAGGCTAGAGTAAGGGTCAAGGGCTGAAACGTTGACGCCCAGGTTAGGCGTCAATGGTTGACCGTCCTTGAGCCAAGAGACCACAAGGGGAGGATCACCTTTACTCACACCGCAGACGGTACGGGTGCGCATGCCTTCTGATAGCCCGTCTTGGAAGGAAAAGGGCTCAATTATAGGGGGAACTGAGAGAAAACAAGAGAAACAAACATCAGAAAGAGAAAAAGAAATAAAAAGATAAAAAACGCGCTGCACGAGCAAGCGCCCAATTACCATTCACGACCAAATGTTGGGTGTGGGACACCTCGGCCGCTAAGTTTCTCACCACGCACGAATAGTTGCCGTTGTGCTCCGGCGACAGGCTTTCTATTACTAGAATGCTAGTGAATTGGTCCACCTGCGTTATCGACATCATTTGCGCCGGTTCCACCGAACGACCGTCCTTGTGCCAAGATATCGTTAAAGGTTGATCTCCTTTAGTTACCGAACAAGTAAGACTCACACGATCGCCCACGTGCAACGTATCCTCTGCGTAGAAAGGGCTAACTTTTGGAGGAACTGTAATTAAGAGTTTTATTAACTTATGTATCAAATTCATGTTTATCCTTTTCTCCTTCGACGACGCTCTGCAAATGTTGTTATTGTATAAATCACTCCGTGAAGAACACTCAAATGCGGCTATTTTGCTAACGAATTTAATAAAGTTACCCACCTATTACGTTGACTTCGCCGCTCCTCCTGGCGCTGTGGCCTTGCTTGTTCCTCGCCCAGCAGGTGTACACTCCGGAATCGGCTTTTTTCTCGACCGGACTGATAACTAGCGTGCCGTCGCCTTGGACTTTCTGTCGCAAATCATCGGGTAGCTCTCTGCCGCCGCGCTCCCAGTGGATTTCGTCTATGGGGTAGCCGGCCACAGGGCACTTTAGTTGCATCGTCTCGCCGGCCACTGCGGTCACCTTCGGGATCAGGCGGATGTAAGGCATTCCTGCGGGAAACGGAAGAGCGTCGATTCAATTGTCCCTCTCCGGATTCTTCTCCGAGATAATTTTAATACAGTTCGAAAACTCCACGGTTAGTCGATTTCCTGTTCCGTAATAGGTATATTTTTATTTCAGACGATAATAGCGGTCGTTTGATTGAAAATCCGTGATTTCCGCTTTCGGAGAATCGAAATTGGCTATTTCTCGCGCTGCTACCAAACGCTATTCCACAATAAAATCAATGTACCATTGCAATACAGGGCGTATAGTGTGATGAAGTACGCTGGGGATTGATACATTCCTCGTAATCTTATCAAGTGCATCTACCCGATTTCGTCGTCGCCGCGGGGGAATTTAAATTGTCGAAAAATAAATAGTTGCATTGGATATAAATGGGAATTTTTATGGAATGATTATATTTCGAACTATCCGATTGAAATTCAGTACCTGAAATTATTTAGGTAACAACATTGTAAAATACCTCCTTGCATTTATACATGAAATTTCCGTTCAAATCCACCGATATTAAAAAAACCGGAATTTTATTCGAATCGTAAAGAGTGAATTTTCTAGGAAATAGCGATCAAAAGACGCATTACGTCTTTATCTAGTTTTAATGTAACTCTACGTGTGCAATGGAAAACCGAATAAGGTTTTAAATTTCCTCTATAGAAAAGGTGGAAAACATTCTACAATTGCACAGTGTTAAAATTCCGGACTGCTGTATACTTTGTGCGAAATCACTCACGAGGATGCAACCGTTGAAAGAGGAATCCTAAAGCCGCATATCGAGCTTTGTAGAAACGCCATTGCGCTACCGAAGATTTCGATTTTATGAAAATGTTTCGTGGATTAGGTATTTCGAAGCGTTCGTTTATGCAATGCTCGCAGAACGCTTCTTTCTCACGGAATATGCAGCAGCGAAAATGAACGAACAACTTTTTTATTCGCAATATAAAAAATGGCATCTTTCATATATTTTTATTTATTCCGGATACGGAAAAATTGAATGTAGTAAAACACGAATGTTCGCAACAAGTGCGAAGGAGAAGAGTTATACGATTTTTAAATTGCACGACAATATTTCAGCCAGTCGAATTAGCGGCACTCGCTCTAAAAAGTCGAGCCGAAATAATTTTCCATTTGCGTGGATAGCGTTTAATTCGAATAAAATGACCTCGAAAATGTTTGCAATCCGGCGAGAGAACGAGAGTAAAAAGGAAGCCCATTAAGAAATCCGAGCCAAATTCAGCTGGATCACGTTAAGATGAGGGTTAATGCCCTGCCACGAACACCACACGAAAATATAAGCTATCTCAGCGATTTGCAATACCACTTATATCCACCCCTCTGGATTTTTACCACTTATCTCTCCGCCCTACGATCACCGCACGTTCGGAAAGACGCTACTAAAAATTACCTCTCTACCAACTTTAAATTATTTACACACCTCTCGAATAATATGTATGCGTAGGTACACGTTTAGCAATTGAATTGAAACAATATTTGCTCGTATAATGAAACATTTCTACGCTAACATACTGAGTAATTATAAATCATCGGTGAAGTTTGTATTGATTCGGAATTTAATTACCGTAAATATTGAGCCTGGCCGAATGCGAACTCTGGCCGGCCCGGTTCTCCGCCGTGCACATGTACTCTCCCCCGTCTTCTACCATTACATGGCTGATGTTAACGTGGCTAATTACATCACCGTGAACTGTCACATATTGTCCAATTACGAATCTGCGAACAAATTTAAAGCATTATTATATTATTATGGATGTAATTAATTTATGAAGAGAGGCGCTGAAAAAATGTTACAACTCTCACTACAAAATGCGCAAATATTTTTGGGACAACCGGTATATAGAGCTTTTATCAGGCACTTCGCTCTGCTTTCGCGTACATTTCACGATAAATTATCGCACCTACCCGCCATGAAAATGCGGAGAATGTGTATGTCGTAATTAAGTCATATTTCAAATTATTGCCTTACATAACAAGCTTAAGTCCAATGGGAGTTGCGCTCCCGTCTGAAATCTCCAACTATTTTCTAATTAAGTTTCACAAATGGTGTGTTTTCCGGCGGAGCGCGGGAGGCTTAATGAATAAATTAGAGGCTTTTAATTGATAATGAAATAAAATTATTTTGCAGATCAGAAACGGGGTCGGGCCGACTTTGATGGTACATAAATTGAGTCCCTTTTTTGCCGGATGCTTTCCCTAATTTTCGAACTTCTAATAAAGCATGAAACAGGCTGGTGCCGAAATAATTCACAAATGTTTTGAATGAGAAGGGTAAATATACCGAGTTTATGGAAAGCGCATCGGATTAACCTTACCCGAGTTTCGAAATTTCCAGGGATATACCTACTCAAACTTCACTTTTCGTGTTATTTAAATTAATATACAGCCACTTTTTTATTTTCCAATTTTCCTCGGCCGTGTTACTCGGAAGATTCATTTCGTACACTTTTTCAAGCGCCCTACATAAATAATACTGCAGCATTCTTCATTTACATAATTCCCGTATGATGTGATTTATATTTCTTTGAATGATATTGCCAAGTTTCAGCGCATTTTTAAGTGAAAAAATGCGGAAAAACGATTAATTTTGAATGATACTAATGTTATAATATATACAAAATTTAAATTGCGATCAATATCTAAATACATTAATATTTTACACTCTAAATGCCATCAGCAATAATTGTAATAATCAAAATTCGGAATTAACATTTCGAAATGTTTAACACAACGTCAACAATGTAGCGCAATAAGCCAATGTTAACTACATATTAAACTCCGGGATGCAGCTTCACCCGAGATGAATAAATCATTAAAGTGGCTGAATGCATGTGTTTCGAGATTCGTTTCCGGTTAATTAGAAAGCAGTTATGGGTTCATGAACTTCAGAAAACTAACTCCAGAAAGTTTCTCTCCGGCGCTACGCCTGGATCTCGGGGAATTTGCATCTCCTGGAAACTTGCCGAGGGATTGTTAGGAGAACAATAAACTCACTTAATCGCATTTTCGATTTTAAAATATTCCCTTGGTTTCCAGAAATCTGCGATAAACGCTTGTTGAATCCGAATTGTTCGCGAACTTATGCGCATTATTCAAATCAATCGAATTAACGAAAACAAATATGTGTAAAGTTAGAGTAATCCTCTTACCTTCCGTGGCTAGGCAAAGAGAATCCGTCCAACGTCCAGGATATTTGCGGGGTGGGATTGCCCGAAGCGCTGCACTTCAACGAAACTGCAGGACCAGGCTGCAGCGTTTGCTCGATAAAACTATAAAGCAAGACAGGAGGAGCATCTGAAAAAGAAAATGAATTGATCCCTATGCAAAAAATTGAGCATGATTTAGCTGTACCTCCCAGCTGTAGTTCAGCGGCGGCTTGGGCAGTATCTCCTTCGGCTCTTCGAACGACGCATTGGTACATTCCTCTATCTTCTCTTCCTATGTTATTTACCACCAGCGTTTCGCTGGAGCCTCTTCCTGTGCTGGGCAACTGCCGGCCATCTTTGTACCAAGTCACCAAGTGAGGCCCGCTGCTTTGCGAAGATACCACACATCTATAACAGAGTGTATTGTGTATTAGAAAAATACATAATTTTTTTGTTGAAAGGAAAAAAACGGGTATTCTTTTTTATTTTTTGTGCTTTTAAAATGGAGAAAATGCAGAATGGGAGTATTTATGGCGCAAAATTCGCTTCTTATGCATTTTATTTTTAATGGGATTATTTTCTTTCCGTTTTGCATTTCTAATTTAATTCGCTCACGTATCTATTCGCCCAGGTTTTTAAACTACATGCATAATTTATTACCGACTCTATCTTAAAAGCCCACGTTAAATGATACCAGGATGATTTTCTTACAAACACCGGTAAATGGAGCCATTACGGAAACAAAAAATCAATAACGTCCGCGTATTGGAAAAACGTAAAAATGAGGAATGCAACGAGCGTAAACGCGAATTTGATTGATTGCAAGCGATTCAGGCGATCCCGGTTTATCGTTAAATTTTCATGCCAATTAGGCAAACTCAATATAAATATAATATTTTTATGTTGATTGCTTTGACTGGGTTTAATGCAAAATTTATCTAAGTAACTGCTGTCAAAGTGGAGTGGATTCAGTTTGAAATTCTATTCGAATTGTACTATAAAAACATAAACATAAAAGTTGGGCAAAAGTACCTTGACCACTGGGTTTAATTGATTCTTGACAATTCCAAATGGTTCTATGATCGTTCTGATCGATAGTTCCAAATGAATCTGGACTGTTCTAAATGAATCTAGACAGTTTTAAATGAATCTGGACAGTTCTAAATGAATATGGACAGTTCTAAATGAATATGGACAGTTTTAAATGAATCTGGACAGTTCTAAATGAATCTGGACAGTTCTAAATAGACCTGGACCGATCTAATTAAATCTGGGCAGTCCTAAATGAATCTGAACAGTTCTAAATAAATCTATACAGTTCTAAATGGTTCTAAGATCGTCCTGAACTATTTCAAATAGTCCCAGTCGTGAATGAACCGGTTCTCAAATGATTCTAAACGATTCTGGGAGGTTTTAAATGGTTGTAAACAGTTCTATATAATTCTAAAACTATCCTGAACAATTATAAAACTGGAGCAAGTATACGTTCATTTATAATTCCACCTTCCTCCCTCTTTCCCTCAATTACAATGATCAAAATACACTCTCTTCCTCGCACTTTTTTTTATTCCTGTAGCCGTATCATCGCGGTAGGACCCGGTATACTTCGCGATGATAACGATAAAGAAAACCGCGAGTCGTTAAATGACTTAAAAATATCCAGGCGGCATGTAAATTTACCTGAACTCGGCGCTGCCGCCCATGTGAACGCTGAGCAGCGGCGGAGAAATCTCCACGTGCAACGTAGTGGAAACGATTAATCGCAATTCGGCACTGGATTCACCGCCGGCATTCGACGCCGAACATCTGTAGACGCCTCCTGCGAAAGAACAGACATTAATCGAGGTAATTCCGAAGATTCCCTTTCGCGAGCAAGCTGTAGACAAGACGGTCACATTTCACCGCATTATCCCCATCATAACGATTACCTGCAGGTTGTAGTTGTTAATTGACTGGAGGCGGTCTCATTAATTCACTGCGTGGCGGAAATGAATTAGCTCTATGGTGCATTACTCGATTATAAATGGGCGATAATTTCGTTACAATAAGATAGCAAGGTGCGTAAGTATGTAAATTAGTTAGTGTGGTTAGGTATTTAATAAAAATCCTACTCACCATCTTCTATATTTACGGCCTCAATTGCTAGGACTGGTCCGAGTTGTCTAACTCTAGGGCCGGGAATTATTAGGCTCGGTTCGAGGCCGGCGTGGTTGTACCACCTGAAATTGAACAATGAATAATAAATTAATTACAATTGCGCGTTTAATTTGCAACTCGACCACATTTCACGGATTGCGACTGTAATGAAAACTTGCTGAAAAAAAATAAGTAAAACGTGAAAGAAACGCGATTTTCCGACGGTAATAATGTCGGGTCGAACTACGTTAGATTTTTCAGTGAATTCTGCCACATTTTTCAGAAGTCGTCTAATTAAGGACTTAACTGCCTACTACGGGTCATATCTCTGCGGAAATTTTTTAATTAAAGCATCAAAAGTATTTTCAAATCTCGGTTTTCGCAAAGTTCATATTCTCCGTTATTACTCGCATATCGCAACGAGTCTTCGTTAGTTCGAGTTTCTAACGTAAATTATTTCGGCGAAATTGGATTTTTTGCGTTTGAGTTTCAATGAAGAGCTGCCTACTTGTCTCGACATGTATAATAGTTCTTTCGCATTTTATTTGCACACCAGTTGCCTTAAAATTTATTTTCAAATTTAATTTTGAACGGGATAAACCTCTCACTGCCTGTAGAAAATTCTTTTATCGAAGAAAATTAAAAATCCCATTATGAAAACTCGTGGACTCGTCCATTGTGTAATTCCAGGAAAATTGGTGACCGATTTCTTTTTTATTTAATGGAAAATTTCTCGATGGCCTCCGCCTAATCCGGTGTCTTTTAAGAAATTGATTACAATCGAGCGAATTTCCGACGGCATTTCATCGTGTCTGTTTCCCCGCGGGACGAGTCAGGAATTTTCAGATTAATAATTATCGAGTTTGTCGTCTCCAGCGTCCATTCACAAAGAGACATGTTCACCAGATTCCCGGAATCCCTTTTAAAATGCTATAACATCATCCACGACAAAACAGAAAATAGAAGGAGGAATTCCATTCGCATTTCAGCGTCAGATAGGACCGTTGCATTCTTCAAAGAGAATTTATTACCGACGCAATAAACGTTGTTAATTTATCTAGGAATGCTCGGAATAAGCTAGGCAGGTATTTACTGTAAATCATGCCTTTTTTGTGTATGTACTTTCGAAATTTTCGATTTCAATCTTACGCCACGTCCTTGAACTGAAAGTATCTTATATGTTCATTCCATTTTATGCACCGACTGGAAAATTGCTTCACTTACATAATATTCGGGTCATCTCCTGAAACTCGGGAAATTTCATTTGGACGTAATATCGCAGGAGATTCGATGTAGTCCGATATATTCTTCAGTTTGATGGGGACTCGGGGTTTATGATGTAGCTGCAGCTCGAAAAAATGCCGCCGATAAAACCACTATTTAGGCTAATGTGATCCTTAAAATGCGAAATTTTATCCGCAATACCGCGGTTTATTATCTACTCGAACTCACACTGTTATGTGACCTCGCCGATAAAAGTAAACGGTAAACAAAAATGGCTTTTGCCGTGAGATATTGGAGCTTGGAGCAGCGAGAAATTCTATTGCAAATTGATTTGTACCTGTATTCCGGCGCAGGACATCCCTGAGCAATGCATATCAACGCAGCACCTTCATCTTGGGCTACGTTTACCGCTCCAGAATTATCAACGATCACCGGCGACACGATACCCCGATGTTCTGTAACAAGAATCATTCGTAAACTGCCGCGGAGTAAATACACAACACTCCGCAAAGCAAACTTTCCCAACTTGGCGCCCTGAGTGTTGGCTTGAAATTCAACTACCTATAAATTGGTGTGTGCGTAATTAATTACCTGTGATTCTAACATTGGCAGGACTGCTGACCACAACTTGCCGGCTGAGTCTATGCATCGTCCTGCAGCGATAAGCAGGAAACTGGTCACTGAACTCCAGGTTATGGATGAGGAGCTCTCCCGAGGGAAGTTGATGGAACTTGCCGTCTGGAAATGTCAGACATGTATTAAGTTGTTTAATGGCTTGATAAAAGTGTACGGGTCGGGTCGACTCGAAATACAGGTAGAGAAATGGCTAGAGAATTCGATATTTTTAAGGGGATCTCAATTACTAGAATGGTTACATGAATTAATCCCCAGAAATACAAGCTTTCGTGTAGCGATTCGGGTTTAATAACTGTTTGCTTGGTTTAAATGGTTTTTCTGGCTCGAGTGTTCAAAAAAGCGCGCAATTTTTGAAAGCCGGAGGGAAAATAAAAATTAGAGTTTTCCCGTTCGGAGTCTCATTAAGAGGGATTTGGTTATTCGTTAAAATACTCGTCGACTGACACTTGAGAAAACTGGGTCGCCAGAGAGAGGATATTTAAAATTAATGAATGTAAATATCAACACGGAAGCTTCTTTATATCCGATTTTTACATTTAACAAAATGTCAAATAATTGGACATTGCCAAAGGAAACTTCGTTTTGATCATGAAATTATAGGAAAATATTCGAAAGTTTAGAGTAGTATTTACGCTTGAGAAGGAGGTGGAGAAATCAAATACTTAAATAACTTTGAGTAATAGATATAACTTCAAATACATCCAAATAGCTTGCATTTACGGGAAAATATATTATATTCCAGCGGGAGTGGAGCTCTTTTTCTAAAAACTTCCGTTTCCGCAAATCTTTTCTCAAGAGAGCAACTGTATAAACAAGTCCGTCGTATATTTTATACCATCACTTTATGGACAAATGGATTTCTATCTACTGCAACTGAATGTGTCATATTTATACAATGAAATGGATGCATTCAGATTCAAATGCATATTTTGCGCGCTGGTAAATGCGAACTTAAAATATTCACGGCTATTTGGTTTCTTTTTAAACTCAACTTCGTAGCATTGTTTTATCTATTTGAATTTTTAATATTTATAGTGTGAATTTGTGTTTCAGAAAGGAAGTGGATTAATTTCCATATAAACGAGGACACCCTTATAGGAATAGATTATCCCAAGAGGGTATTTTATGCTTGAAGCAGGTTTAAGGTACATTCTACGTACAAGGAACTTACGCATATACTAATTAAAGTCAATAAAGTGGGTTAGTAGTATAATTACATTAACGAAGTTACATCGAAACGAAGGCCGCAAAATATTAGTAACTATCTGGTTTCCAATTTGGCGTAATAATTAGTCCGGCACTGAAGTGTAACAAAATACATAACTCTATCGATCATTCTCCAACGTCGAAGGAATTTCCTATTATAACATTATACCCACTACACTCTGGTTCATTTTTCATGTAGATTATCATACCATTTGGTTTTATTGCCTTCGCTGTAAAGCGATCCCTTATTTCAAAAATTTTCCGAGGAAATTCATTTTTTAGGAGTTAATTTTGCATTTTAAAGCGCCGCGAATTTACACTCGTAATTAATCACTCACCTCCCTGCAACGACGGGTAGATGAAAAACGACGGTTCTTGCACCCACGAAATAATTCTCACTAAGTCTTTCACGAAGTTCGGTACTATGCATTTGAGTACCGCTGTGCATCCCCTTGCGGCACCAATTACCTCCACATCTACCCGGAATGATTGAGTCACAACTAGAAAAAATAAAATAGTAATTGGGTAGGTATGTCATCGTTAAAATTGCATATGTAGTCAATGCAAAAGTAACTCAATCGATGGACGCTGTAATAATTCGTGCGTAATAATACTCGATTAATTTTTTGCTCGCGCGAATCGAGTCCGAAACAAGGCAACGCTTTTTAATTGTTCGCTGTTAAAGCGAGCCTTTTTAATGCTTCTAATTTAAATTCTGTCCGGGTGGCAAATTGAATCCCAAACTCGATGCGACACCTAATAATTAAAAATCGTAATTTACTTTTAGGCGCTTTGTTACCCAACAAACAACTCGCTCGAAGAATCAGCGTATAACTTGGCAAACTCACCAGCTCTAACTTGCACGTCCCTACTGATGATGCGGCCCACAGCGTTGCTCGCGATGCACCTGTACACCGTGCTGTGCACGTCCTGCCGGTACGATTGGGCGGCGAACGGTTGCAGGAACAACGTGCCGTTCCTGAGCACCCTCCTGATACCGGATATGTCGCCGACGGAGGTCCCGTCCACCGATAGCCAGTCTATGGACGGTTGGGGACTACCAGAGGCCGAGCAATCCAACCAGCCGCCGCTCGAATTGGAGAACTCCAAGCGCGGCGGCGGCTCCATCACGAACGATGGTCCACGAAGGTGAGAGTCGAAGGCCACTGTTAATTCTGAAACAAATAAACAAACTTAATAAGGCCATTGCGAATGAAATTAAAATGTGTCGGAAATTATTTTTAATTGGGAGTTGTTACATCGATTTACATCTTCCTTCCATTAAATTTCTTAATAGGAATTTTATATTTGGAATCTCTTAACATGTACCCCAAGTAAATTATATATCTCAGGTTTTAATAATATTTAGTAGGCAATTGTCTATCTTCGTTTGCTCTTCTTCACTGCTGATATAGTCCACCCCGAAAGTGCAGTTTATGTGTTTTTATTGCTGGTTCTATTAAATTCTCTACTCCTTTGAAATCTACTTTAAAACTTTTGGAACTGAGAAGATATTTTTTTGGATGAAACTTCTGCTGTGCAATGTACGCGCGTCCTAATTCGTAATTCAATATAATAGTTGAGAAATCCGCGAGACGTCACCGTTTTTGCCGGGAGAAAAATCCGGGCGACCGTCGCGAGCTAGACGAGACAATCCATTTTATAAGTAATCGGAAGCTAATCCTCGAAAATCACTGAAACATCATCGAAATTAAAACTTTTTCTAAAGGATGAACGAGACGGGGAAGAACGGAAGAAGCGTCAGGCGTCATTATTTTTTTATTTCCTTTCTGTTCGTCTGCATTAGCGACAGTGACGTTCTCGTTGTTTTTTTTCTGTAAAATGCACATAACCCATTTTATATCCTTGTATGCTTTTTGAAATAACGTTTAATTATTGATGCAATCATGAGCAGCTTGTTAAAATTCTTTGGAGTTTATTTGTTTGCAAATGGCGTTATTTAAGAACCTTGATGCATTATTAATTGCATTATTATTTCCTAGAGAGATTATTAATTTTTTTGAAAAACAGTTAATTAATAGTCTGGTATAATTCGTATACCCGTCTATGCTTCGACAATCGGACGAAACGTCGGATATTGGATTTTTTTCCTTTTTAGAAGTTTACGTGCATTTCCAAGATGAACGTTCATTGTTTCGCGGCGAGGATTATATTCCAGAGAAGGCGTGGCATTCCGCACTTCCTCTAATAAATGAGATGTTCTGTAATTGAATGCTTAATAGGACGAAAGATATACTGCGACACAGATTAAGCAATTACTCGTCGAGGGGCGTAGGTAATTTACATGAGTGCTATTCATATATTCATGACGAATAACTGACAGCTATACATATTACCCCCGATAATACAAAGCAAGAACATATTATATGAATACATATTTAAAACGCCTATTGTTACAGGCATAATTTAAAACCGTATCAACTAATCACTTCTATACACAGCAGGATTTAATCACTCCGAAGTGACTTCTACCTTCCGGATTTAAATAGTCGTTTCTGACTTTAGTAAAACGTCTCCGAAATCGTCGAACATATCAAAGAAGAATGCAAATGATAGACACATCCGATAGCAAACACTATTTCCTGGTTCTACGTTCGACAATCAAACGTATTCAGTATTATCAATCAGGTTCCGAGACAGGCGAAAGGCGGATGAGAGCTGCCCCAAATCCCATCAATTCTGCTTTTGTCCGCGCGCCGATGTGATGAAATTTTGCTGTAGGTACTGATGAAAATATCTGATCGCTGTGAACGATTAGATACATAAATCTATATTTCTTCCCTTAATGCGGAATAAATCGATTTTTTGATTTATAGTGCCAACATTTTAGTTAGAGCTATGGAAATTTAATGGTAATTTCGGATCAAATTTAAACCACAACTCGTTTGAGCTTTACGTATAATATTAAATTATATTATTTATTTAACATACACTCGATTCGTTCGTTACATTTATCTTTCCAATCACGTACCTACTTATTTATTAACCCGTAAATTTTAATAATTTCAAGTTAATAGCTCCAGACTTGCGCTGGAAGTCCGATAAACGCCCCTTTTTATGTCGAAGGTAGTAAATGCTATATTTACTTTGAGAGCTGGATTTTATTTGAATTCGATATCTGGTTCTGTTCAAAAAGAGGAAAGACATTTTTGACTGGCACTGTACGCATTGGGAATCAGGCTCTAAGTGTATTAAAATTGTTCACAAAGCAAATATGAATAAGCGATATACATATTTTTAATTGCGCGAAACGTTTGCGTTCAATATAATATATCACAAGTAATTATCCTGAATATGCGGAGCTTACCGAACAGCTTGATTTATGCATTCAGGAAATTTCGGCCAGTTTTGGAATAATTTGTCTCTATGTGCGATGACCTAATTTTACACCAGGATCTATTGATTAATTGGTCCTGGCAATTCAGCCTTCATAGAATAGAAATCGTAAACGTAATGCATTGATTGAAACAGTTGTTTGCATGCATCGCTATGTGTACACCCGTTACAAGTTGGAAAATCGATAGCGAAAAGCATTATTGATGACGTCAGTATGCAAACCGTATTTCGCCTCTCCTGCTGTCTCGTCCACGGTGCTATTTTACCCGGCCACATAAAAATGTTTTATTGACCCATTGCTCTACACTGCGCCGAATTATTTAGCACCAACGATCCGGGATTATGTATTTTAAACTATAAAAACTTTTTTCTTCATATTATTTCATCTTCCAAGTAACGGTATGTGCAGCATTTAAATGCCAGTATAGAGAGCGATCAATAATCACAATTTTCATAAAGCGTACTGTATAATTATTCATGTGATACATTACTGTCTGTTGATAACTCGATGAATTAAGTAGAATCGTGAAAAAAATTATCGTCGTTTTAAAAAATCGTTTAGTTCGGCATCGAAACAAGTCGAACGCGTAAGTTTCCGGCGAAGACGCGTATTTCATGGCGCACCGAATACTTCCATTTCCTTTTATTCCTTCGATATTAAACTCCGGCAAAGGAAGATCAACAAGTGGAATAAGAGATTAATCAAGTGAGCGGAACAGAAGTTCTGAATTCGGGCGCGACTAAAATATATGGCGGCAATAAAACTACGAGATACAATACATTCCTCGGGGTAAAACGGGGTAGAACAGGGAACAGGAGTTAATGGTCGCCGTTAGAGTCTTTGTTAAGGGTAACTTTGTGTTCAACTTTAGTTTCGGGCTGATAGCGAGACCGTAGTCAATGCGCTAAACTTTTTTGCACGCTATATTTCACTAGTGGAATGTGTGTTTTTTGTTGCCAATATGTACTCACTAGTCGCAACTTGTTTCATAAATAGATTTCGCTGATATATTGTGTTGGGTAAACTATGTTGTTCTATTTAGGTGTAGAAATCTGTTGGTAGTTTAGTGCTTACAAGGAAAACTAATAGGACATTCCACTTCTATTTTTCATTATTTTTTTTAGAAGTTTTCATTTACTTTTGTGTTATAAATGGACCTTGAAGATTTTTTTCATGTGATGGAAGTTGAAATTTCTCTTCCATTTTCAGTACTCTTACGCCGTTATTGCTATTCAATGTATACCTCGTTTATACACACAAAAACAAGTTATAACAATTTTTAAATAGCATTATTTTCTATTGATTCTATTAATTGACATTATTAAATCCGATTGCATTGAATAGATAATATACTTGTCAAATGCATACATAGATCGTGCGATAAGGATATCATTGTAGTTTCAAATATATTGTATAACAAATTAGTTAAAATCTTGATAAATAATCATCGATAAAAAGTACAGATGTAAAGTTTAAATAGGATCATCAATAGTTCGACTCAAAAACCCTCTCAGAATGCTTCTCTACGTTTTGGTTTCGGTAATTTGTGCGATTTGCATCTATATCAAATGGAAACAAACTTACTGGAAGCGAAATGGCGTTGATTACATCGAGCCGGACTTTTTTTTCGGCAATACAACGGCGATAACGAAGAGAAAAGAACACAGGGCTGTAGTGTTTCAGAAGTTCTACAACTATTTTAAAGGAAAAGGCGAACGGTTCGGTGGAATTTACGATTTTTTCTCGCCTGTAGTGGTGGTTACTGATTTGGAGTTGATCAGATGCGTTCTACAGAAGGATTTTTCGCATTTCGTCAATCATTTGGGGTACATAAACGAAGAAGCCGATCCTATTTCCGGAAACCTGTTTAATTTGAAAGACGAAAAATGGAAGAATATTAGAGCGAAATTAACACCAACTTTCACGACGGGTTAATTACAATTCCTTATTCATTAATATTGTAGTGTAATTAATATTTTATTTTAGGCAAGATAAAAATGATGTTTGAGACACTCATCGATTGCTCTTCAGGTTTGCAAAAAGTCCTAGACAAATACGCCATTATCAACGAACCTGTCGATATAAAAAAGATCCTATTATTATTTAGCACGGATGTAATTACATCCGTCGCCTTCGGTTTGCAAGTAAACAGCTTGGAAAATCCCCAAACGGAATTTAGGAGATACTTCGAAAAACTCTTCGAACCATCATTGACGTTGCTGATAAAGCGCCTGATATCCCTGTCTTTCCCGCAATGGCTGCTGGTCAAGATGCGCTTCAGGTTGTCCAGAAAAGAGGTGGAGGAGTTCTTCGTTAAAGTAGTCAACGACATCGTCGAGCACCGGGAGAAGAACAACGTTTTCAGGAAGGACTTCATGCAGCTGCTGATCCAGATAAAAAATTCGGGCACCACCACCAACATCGAGAACATCAACGCGCACAGTGCGGTCAAGCACTTGACTATTAACGAAATGACGGCACAAGCTGTTACGTTTTATATCGCCGGGAACGAAACATCTTCGGCCACGATGTCTTTCGCTTTATTGGAGTTGGCCCTCAACCCTTCCATTCAAAACAAACTTCGCGAGGAGATTCGAGCGAACGTGAAAAAACACGGAAACGAACTAACATACGACGGCATTATGGAGATGGAGTATTTAGATTTGGTGGTTCAGGGTAAGTTTTCCCAACGTGACTGCTGTAATTATTTTCCGCAATTTTATTGTAGAAGCGTTGAGAAAATACCCTTCAGCCTCTGGATTATCAAGGGCTTGTAACAAGCCATATCGTATCCCTGGTAGTGATGTGGTAATTGAGCCGGGTACCGAGGTGATGATTCCTCTTTATGGTCTTCATAGAGATCCGGAATACTATCCAGATCCGGATAAATTTGATCCGGAACGATTTAATGCGACAAACAGGAGCAAAATACCAGTCAGTGCGTATTTGCCCTTCGGAGAAGGCCCTAGAGCTTGCATAGGTAAAAAAGATTTTCCTAATAGGTTAATATACCCCGTTCTTCTAGTTGCTTAATTTGATTTTTACAGAGCATAATTTTTAACTTATCAGTTGTTGTTAATTGTGTTTATGAAACAACAAAAATTGTGAAACACCTGCTTATTGGTTCTTAATGAAACTCAACCTTTAAACTGATAGCAGACGATAAATTGATATGATAATTGATAATATTTACAATTAAGTTATTTAACAATGGAATGAAATTTGAAAATATGCAGTCATAAATATCCTTAAAATTACAAGTAATCTACGAGTAGTATTTAAGATAAAACAAAAATGTGGGATTAAATAATTTAATTCTGGCGTGATTTTTTTAGGATTAAGATTCGGGAAATTACAAACCAAAGTCGGAATATGTGCGGTTATCTGGAAATTCAAAGTAACTGTGAATAATAAGACACAATTACCAATAAAATTGTCTTCGTCGCGATTTCCAACCGCTCAAGGAGGCATATGGCTGAATTTGGAGAAAATTTAACTTTTGAAATGTCTGTTTTTTTTTCAATAAATACAAAAAATCTTAATTAAATATGATTTACTCATCTTAAAAGAGAAACAATATAACGACAAAAAATCAAAAATTACAATATTGTACAATTTCATAGGCGACAAATCGAATAGATAGCCAGGTGTGAGCACTTGACACGATAACAATTACGATATAAACACGAAATTTAATCGTATTTATATCAGTAAACTACACTAAGAAGATGCTAAGTTCGTACATATTTTACGTTGTCATCTCACTCGTTACCGCCATTTTTTTGTACTTCAAATGGAAGCACAGCTACTGGAAACGAAAAAACGTGGATTTCTTAGAGCCTGAATTCTTCTTCGGCAACATCGGAGATGTGTTCAGAAACAAGCAGCACAGGACTAACTTGTTCGCAGGATACTACCGGCATTTTAAATCTCGAGGACAAAAATTCGGAGGATTGTACGAATTCCAACGACCGCAATTGGTTCTAACGGATTTGGAACTCATCAGCAACGTTTTCCAAAAAGATTTCTTGCACTTCGTGAACCGCGTGGGTTTCATAAACGAAGAGACCGATCCTTTGAGCGGAAACCTGTTCAATTTAAAAGACGAAAAATGGAAAATCGTTAGAACCATGCTGACACCGACATTTACCTCAGGTAAATCTGACTAATTTTTAGCATAAAAATGGAATTTTGTAAATTTTATTTCGACTTAACATGCTAACAATTTTTGGCACATGGTTACCATATGTTCTGGAGGTTAAATTATACCAAAAGTTAACGAACATATTAATTATGGGCGATTAGAAATGTTTGCAATGGTAATAGTAAAATTATTTATTACATTGTACCAGTTATTGAAGTGGCTTTTTTAATGCTCTCATTTTATCAAAAGTCGTGACAAACAATTCCAGACTAAATACATCTACTTAATCTAATTCGATATATCTACAACTATCTTAATGAAATATCTATACAAAAATCGGATTAACTACCTACTATAATCTATTGAGTGTAAAGACATAAAAAATTTGATTTCAGGAAAAATAAAAATGATGTTTGAAACCATGGTCAATTGCACTCAAGATTTCGAAAAACTCCTAGATAAGAGCCTGAACGAGCCGGTCAACATTGGAGCGAAATTATTGTTATTTACGACAGACATTATCGCATCTGTGGCTTTCGGAGTGGACGCAAAGTGCATGGAAAATCCGAACAATGATTTCCGAAACAAATTCGGTAACGTATTAGAGACCTCAACGTGGAAACTAATCAAGACGTTCGTTTTCATGAGCGTTCCGAAATGGATAATAACCCGCCTAAATTTGCGGCTATCCGATAAAAGAATGGAAGATTTCTTTTCTAAAGTCGTTAAAGACCTCGTTGAATATAGAGAGAAAAACAATGTCTACCGCAAGGATTTTATGCATTTGTTGATCCAATTAAAAAATATGGGGGAGACGTTAGATAACGAAAAACTCACTAATACGACGACGAACAAAAAGCATCTAACAATCCAGGAAATGACCGTACAAGCTATTACGTTTTATATCGCTGGATTTGAAACAGCTGCGTCGACTATGTCCTTTGCTCTGTTGGAACTAGCCCTTCACCAGGACATTCAAGATCGCCTGAGGAAGGAAATTCATACTGTTCTCAAAAAATACGATGGGAAAATCACGTATGAGGGTATTATGGAAATGGAGTATTTAAATATGGTTCTTCAAGGTAAGCGCAATAAAATAAATAGTATACTTACCCAATTCCTGTATTCGATTAATTTTGTAGAATCAATGCGCAAGAATACTGTAGGAGGATTAATAACGAGAAGTTGCACTAAGGCCTACAAAATTCCTGGAACGGATGTAATCATTGAACCGAATACAGAGGTTCAGATTCCTGCTACCGCTATTCATTGGGATCCTGAATATTATCCGGAACCAGAAAAATTCGATCCGGAACGATTTTCGGCTAAAAATAAAGCAAACATCCCGAATTGCGCTTATATACCGTTTGGGGAAGGTCCCAGAATATGTATAGGTAATTTATAACATCTAATTTTTATTATTATGCTTTTAAATTTGAATTAAACTTTCTATTTATCTAACGATAATTTCTGTTTTCTAGGTTTGAGGTTTGGAAAAATAAATACGTTACTTGGAATATGCTTCATAATATCCAAATATAGAGTAACATTAAACAATAAGACTCGACTACCAATTGAGTTAATAGTATCGAAATTTGTTCACACTCCAAAAGGAGGAATATGGCTTAATTTGGAAAAATTATGAATTTATTATTTATATTTAAATTTTATTAGATGTAAATGAATAATTTGTGTTTTGAAAAATCTAGCTATCTTCTAAATCTTAGTTTAAATTTAGGCGATATACTCAATTTTTTAAAAAAAATTTAAATATAATTTAACAAAATTAACGGTTTATGGATTTTATTTAATTGTTCCTAATAAAATTTACATAACAACAGTTAAGTGAGTTTTCATTCATTTACACAATTCAAATTTTATTTGTTTGATAGGTTTATTTGTGAACTTCATACTTTGTTAATTGTACAATAATTTAATCTCGCAAATAATGGGCATTATACATATATCATTTTTATAATAACGTATTATATTATTATGTGGTCGGTTTAGTCTTTGTTTTCAAACGTTATCCTATTATTGTGCCCACAGGTCACATTCAATGGGTGCACTTCAATTATATTTTACAACAAAATCGTGGGCATCCAAATTAATTAAACATCAGATAAATTTTCAGGCCAATGAACAAACCTTAAAAATTTTGATACGGTTATTTAAGCTTCTTTATATTTGATTAAACATCTGAAACAACTGGAGGTTTAAATTAAACCTAAAAAAATTACATTTTGTTTGTACATTTAAATTTTTTTTATTGTATTCTCAAATGCTGGTGTCTGAGAAATCACTTCGTATTTAAACTGATAAGATTAGATAAATTTAGACGTAAACGCTCTTTTTAGGAGTGAAATTTTTGATTTTTTTGTATTTAGATGATTTTGAAGTGATTGATGGTAAAGTAAATAAAAGTAACATTTAAATTTTGAGAATATTTAAAGGTTAGGAAAGTTCCGTACTTCACTGAGTGTATGTACGTAAATAGTGCGTAATTTAATCTAATCTGCGTAATTTATGTAATACCAATAAAAATGGTAAAAATTACTAATAGCATGCTTAATAACAAATCGAATATTAATTATAATGAATTAAATAATATTAATTTCATATGCTCATTTAAAAAAAATCAGAAGTGACCAACATTTTAGAAATAATTCTACTCACAATCAACATTTTAAGCTGATAAGCCAAAGAAATAATCATATACATAGATAAAATACAATACGACATTAATCTTTTTTATAAATATTACTAAACTTAAGACAATTACTTCAATTCAAGATATAAACTCACAAGTACGAAATTTCTTCGCATTTACAGAAAAAGGTGCCTAAGATGATAGGTGCTTATTTATTTTACGGTGTTCTTTCGTTGGCTGCGTCCGTTTATTTATACTTCAAATGGAAGCACAGCTACTGGAAACGGAAGAATGTGGACTACATCGAGCCCGAATTCCTCTTCGGTAACACCGGAGACGTGTTAAAGAAGAAAGAACATAAATCCACGTTATACAAGAAGTACTACGAACATTTTAAATCTCGAGGCCAGAAATTCGGAGGTTTGTACGATTTTCAAAGACCTGTTTTGATGGTCACCGATCTGGAACTGGCAAGAAATGTCATCCAAAAAGATTTCTCGCACTTCGTAAACCACGTGGCTTTTTTAAACGAGGAAAACGATCCTTTGAGTGGAAATTTGTTTAATTTAAGAGACGAGAAATGGAAGAATATTAGAGCCTTGTTAACACCAACATTTTCATCAGGTATATACAGTTTTTACTATTAAGTACCAGTCAATTTATTAATATATTCCTTATTGTTATTTTAGGAAAAATAAAAATGATGTTTGAGACGATGGTTAAGACAACCGAGGGCTTCGAAAAACTACTTGATAAAAGTGCCAAAATAAATGAGCCAGTTAACATTGGACCACAATTATTGTTATTTACAACAGACATTATCGCTTCAGTGGCCTTCGGAATTGAAGCGAATTGCATGGAAAATCCGGATAGCGATTTTCGAAAAGTATTCACTAATGTATTAGGAAGTTCCCCGTTACAACTAATCAAGCTTATTATTGCCTTATCACTCCCAAAATGGTTACTGGTTCTACTGAAAGTGAGACTAGCCGATCAAAAAATTGGAAATTTCTTCACCAAGGTGGTCACTGATATCGTTGAATACAGGGAAAAAAATAAAGTCTTCCGAAAGGATTTCATGCATTTGTTGATTCAATTGAAAAACATGGGAGAACTGGAAGACGGCGAAAATCTAGTTAATTCAACGACAAAGAAGCATCTTTCAATTCCAGAAATGACGGCTCATGCTGTAACATTTTACGTTGCTGGATTTGAAACATCGTCATCGACAATGTCGTATGTTATGCTGGAACTTGCCCTGCATCAGGACATTCAAGACCGCCTACGAGAAGAGATTCATTCAGTTATCAAAAAATACGATGGCAAAATCACATACGATGGAGTTATGGAAATGGAGTATTTAAACATGGTCCTCCAAGGTAATAAGTTGGCTAAAACTAACTATACTTTTACAAAACTAACTATTCTTTAATAATGTTGTAGAATCAATGAGGAAGAATGCTGTGGCAGCAAATCTGTCAAGGAATTGCAATAAAGCTTACAAAATTCCTGGAACCGATGTAGTCATTGATCCAGATACAGAAGTAATTATACCAGTACTAGGTTTTCATTGGGATCCTGAGTATTATCCGGAACCTGAAAAATTCGATCCTGAACGATTTTCTCCTGAAAATAAACATAAGATACCCAATTATGCCTATCTGCCCTTCGGAGATGGTCCTAGATCATGTATAGGTAATTCATCAATTTATTTATCCACTACTTATTATTTTAAATTTGAGGTGCAGATAATGAAAGTATATTGGCAAGAAATGTTGCTACAAACGCTATTTTTGAATTATTATATTTTATATTTTAGGTTTAAGATTTGGAAAAATTCAATCGCTACTGGGAATATGTTTCATAGTATCAAAATATAGAATTACATTGAACAACAAAACACAACTACCGGTCGAATTGGATTTATCAAAACGAATTCCCGCGGTGAGAGGCGGAGTGTGGTTGGATTTGGAGAAGTTGTAAAATTTATTATCCTATTATTCAACGTTACCATTACAAGTGATTAAAATTTGTAAATAAAAAAAATATAAAAATGCGTAATCTAGATCAACAATTTTAAATCTGTATTTGCTTGTTACAATGTTGCAATAAAGTCTAATTACGGTCGTTAAACAGCTTCAAATGCTTCGTTTACATTAGTGTTATGTTTTTATGATAAGAGCCTGAACGAGCCGGTCAACATTGGAGCGAAATTATTGTTATTTACGACAGACATTATCGCATCTGTGGCTTTCGGAGTGGACGCAAAGTGCATGGAAAATCCGAACAATGATTTCCGAAACAAATTCGGTAACGTATTAGAGACCTCAACGTGGAAACTAATCAAGACGTTCGTTTTCATGAGCGTTCCGAAATGGATAATAACCCGCCTAAATTTGCGGCTATCCGATAAAAGAATGGAAGATTTCTTTTCTAAAGTCGTTAAAGACCTCGTTGAATATAGAGAGAAAAACAATGTCTACCGCAAGGATTTTATGCATTTGTTGATCCAATTAAAAAATATGGGGGAGACGTTAGATAACGAAAAACTCACTAATACGACGACGAACAAAAAGCATCTAACAATCCAGGAAATGACCGTACAAGCTATTACGTTTTATATCGCTGGATTTGAAACAGCTGCGTCGACTATGTCCTTTGCTCTGTTGGAACTAGCCCTTCACCAGGACATTCAAGACCGCCTGAGGAAGGAAATTCATACTGTTCTCAAAAAATACGATGGGAAAATCACGTATGAGGGTATTATGGAAATGGAGTATTTAAATATGGTTCTTCAAGGTAAGCGCAATAAAATGAATAGTATACTTACCCAATTCCTGTATTCGATTAATTTTGCAGAATCAATGCGCAAGAATACTGTAGGAGGATTAATAACGAGAAGTTGCACTAAGGCCTACAAAATTCCTGGAACGGATGTAATCATTGAACCGAATACAGAGGTTCAGATTCCTGCTACCGCTATTCATTGGGATCCTGAATATTATCCAGAACCAGAAAAATTCGATCCGGAACGATTTTCGGCTAAAAATAAAGCAAACATCCCGAATTGCGCTTATATACCGTTTGGGGAAGGTCCCAGAATATGTATAGGTAATTTATAACATCTAATTTTTATTATTATGCTTTTAAATTTTAATTAAACTTTCTATTTATCTAACGATAATTTCTGTTTTCTAGGTTTGAGGTTTGGAAAAATAAATACGTTACTTGGAATATGCTTCATAATATCCAAATATAGAGTAACATTAAACAATAAGACTCGACTACCAATTGAGTTAATAGTATCGAAATTTGTTCACACTCCAAAAGGAGGAATATGGCTTAATTTGGAAAAATTATGAATTTATTATTTATATTTAAATTTTATTAGATGTAAATGAATAATTTGTGTTTTGAAAAATCTAGCTATCTTCTAAATCTTAGTTTAAATTTAGGCGATATACTTACTCAATTTTTTAAAAAAAATTTAAATATAATTTAACAAAATTAACAGTTTATGGATTTTATTTCATTGTTCCTAATAAAATTTACATAACAACAGTTAAGTGAGTTTTCATTCATTTACACAATTCAAATTTTATTTGTTTGATAGGTTTATTTGTGAACTTCATACTTTGTTAATTGTACATACAATAATTTAATTTCGCAAATAATGGGCATTATACATATATCATTTTTATAATCACGTATTATATTATTATGTGGTCGGTTTAGTCTTTGTTTTCAAACGTTATCCTATTATTGTGCCCACAGGTCACATTCAATGGGTGCACTTCAATTATATTTTACAACAAAATCGTGGGCATCCAAATTAATTAAACATCAGATAAATTTTCAGGCCAATGAACAAACCTTAAAAATTTTGATACGGTTATTTAAGCTTCTTTATATTTGATTAAACATCTGAAACAACTGGAGGTTAAATTAAACCTAAAAAAATTACATTTTGTTTGACAATTTAAATTTTTTTTATTGTATTCTCAAATGCTGGTGTCTGAGAAATCACTTCGTATTTAAACTGATAAGATTAGATAAATTTAGACGTAAACGCTCTTTTTAGGAGTGAAATTTTTGATTTTTTTGTATTTAGATGATTTTGAAGTGATTGATGGGGTAAAGTAAATAAAAGTAACATTTAAATTTTGAGAATATTTAAAGGTTAGGAAAGTTCCGTACTTCACTGAGTGTATGTACGTAAATAGTGCGTAATTTAATCTAATCTTCGTAATTTATGTAATACCAATAAAAAATGGTAAAAATTACTAATAGCATGCTTAATAACAAATCGAATATTAATTTTAATGAATTAAATAATATTAATTTCATATGGTCATTTAAAAAAATCAGAAGTGACCAACATTTTAGAAATAATTCTACTCACAATCAACATTTTAAGCTGATAAGCCAAAGAAATAATCATATACATAGATAAAATACAATACGACATTAATCTTTTTTATAAATATTACTAAACTTAAGACAATTACTTCAATTCAAGATATAAACTCACAAGTACGAAATTTACAGAAAAAGGTGCCTAAGATGATAGGTGCTTATTTATTTTACGGTGTTCTTTCGTTGGCTGCGTCCGTTTATTTATACTTCAAATGGAAGCACAGCTACTGGAAACGGAAGAATGTGGACTACATCGAGCCCGAATTCCTCTTCGGTAACACCGGAGACGTGTTAAAGAAGAAAGAACATAAATCCACGTTATACAAGAAGTACTACGAACATTTTAAATCTCGAGGCCAGAAATTCGGAGGTTTGTACGATTTTCAAAGACCTGTTTTGATGGTCACCGATCTGGAACTGGCAAGAAATGTCATCCAAAAAGATTTCTCGCACTTCGTAAACCACGTGGCTTTTTTAAACGAGGAAAACGATCCTTTGAGTGGAAATTTGTTTAATTTAAGAGACGAGAAATGGAAGAATATTAGAGCCTTGTTAACACCAACATTTTCATCAGGTATATACAGTTTTTACTATTAAGTACCAGTCAATTTATTAATATATTCCTTATTGTTATTTTAGGAAAAATAAAAATGATGTTTGAGACGATGGTTAAGACAACCGAGGGCTTCGAAAAACTACTTGATAAAAGTGCCAAAATAAATGAGCCAGTTAACATTGGACCACAATTATTGTTATTTACAACAGACATTATCGCTTCAGTGGCCTTCGGAATTGAAGCGAATTGCATGGAAAATCCGGATAGCGATTTTCGAAAAGTATTCACTAATGTATTAGGAAGTTCCCCGTTACAACTAATCAAGCTTATTATTGCCTTATCACTCCCAAAATGGTTACTGGTTCTACTGAAAGTGAGACTAGCCGATCAAAAAATTGGAAATTTCTTCACCAAGGTGGTCACTGATATCGTTGAATACAGGGAAAAAAATAAAGTCTTCCGAAAGGATTTCATGCATTTGTTGATTCAATTGAAAAACATGGGAGAACTGGAAGACGGCGAAAATCTAACTAATTCAACGACAAAGAAGCATCTTTCAATTCCAGAAATGACGGCTCATGCTGTAACATTTTACGTTGCTGGATTTGAAACATCGTCATCGACAATGTCGTTTGTTATGCTGGAACTTGCCCTGCATCAGGACATTCAAGACCGCCTACGAGAAGAGATTCATTCAGTTATCAAAAAATACGATGGCAAAATCACATACGATGGAGTTATGGAAATGGAGTATTTAAACATGGTCCTCCAAGGTAATAAGTTGGCTAAAACTAACTATACTTTTACAAAACTAACTATTCTTTAACAATGTTGTAGAATCAATGAGGAAGAATTCTGTGGCAGCAAATCTGTCAAGGAATTGCAATAAAGCTTACAAAATTCCTGGAACCGATGTAGTCATTGATCCAGATACAGAAGTAATTATACCAGTACTAGGTTTTCATTGGGATCCTGAGTATTATCCGGAACCTGAAAAATTCGATCCTGAACGATTTTCTCCTGAAAATAAACATAAGATACCCAATTATGCCTACCTGCCCTTCGGAGATGGTCCTAGATCATGTATAGGTAATTCATCAATTTATTTATCCACTACTTATTATTTTAAATTTGAGGTGCAGATAATGAAAGTATATTGGCAAGAAATGTTGCTACAAACGCTATTTTTGATTTATTATATTTTATTTTTTAGGTTTAAGATTTGGAAAAATTCAGTCGCTACTGGGAATATGTTTCATAGTATCAAAATATAGAATTACATTGAACAACAAAACACAACTACCGGTCGAATTGGATTTATCAAAACGAATTCCCGCGGTGAGAGGCGGAGTGTGGTTGGATTTGGAGAAGTTGTAAAATTTATTATCCTATTATTCGACGTTACCATTACAAGTGATTAAAATTTGTAAATAAAAAAAATATATAAAAATGCGTAATCTAGATCAACAATTTTAAATCTGTATTTGCTTGTTACAATGTTGCAATAAAGTCTAAATACGGTCGTTAAACAGCTTCAAATGCTTCGTTTACATTAGTGTTATGTTTTTAGATAAATTTAGATGCTCAACAAAAATGTAGCAACGTAAGAAATAAGAAGGATAGGTGAAGCATTTAATACAATATGTTGAGAATTTTATTTCGCACGTACGTGCAACGAAATATTTGTTTAGTGATTAATATTCATGAAAGGCCGAGATACGTTTCAATAAGAAACGATATTCAATGGAGCGAGGAAAAAGATTATGCTGATGGAAGTGAAAAGTCTTATTCAGCATTCCTGCCGATCAAACTCGGTCGACCTTTATTTTTTAGCAGAAAGTGTTCTGGCGGAATATCTGATAAAACACGCCTCGGATATGAATAAGAAAATCAACGCCTGTGCAGGTTGGTTCTTTTACAAAGCGACATTTTTTAAACGAACGCGAAATGTAATAGCTAAATTTCGTTATCTATTTTTGCATTTGCATTTCGCAATTTTATTATACGTAGGTGCAATCATAATGCATTGGTAGTGTAAAAAATAAATTAAACATCTATGAACCTAAATAAAACGATGTACGTACATTTCGTTTAGTTCATAATCATTTTTTATGGAAGTCGGTAACTTCCTTCCACTGCTTAAAATAGGAGTAAATTTCCCGCAGCATCGTTTCCGCTGTGGTTATGGTAAAGCATCAGGATAGGTATATTAAATAATGCGCATCACAATTCAACACGCATATATACAATTATATTTTACAACAAAATCGTGGGCATCCAAATTAATTAAACATCAGATAAATTTTCAGGCCAATGAACAAACCTTAAAAATTTTGATACGGTTATTTAAGCTTCTTTATATTTGATTAAACATCTGAAACAACTGGAGGTTAAATTAAACCTAAAAAAATTACATTTTGTTTGTACATTTAAATTTTTTTTATTGTATTCTCAAATGCTGGTGTCTGAGAAATCACTTCGTATTTAAACTGATAAGATTAGATAAATTTAGACGTAAACGCTCTTTTTAGGAGTGAAATTTTTGATTTTTTTGTATTTAGATGATTTTGAAGTGATTGATGGTAAAGTAAATAAAAGTAACATTTAAATTTTGAGAATATTTAAAGGTTAGGAAAGTTCCGTACTTCACTGAGTGTATGTACGTAAATAGTGCGTAATTTAATCTAATCTGCGTAATTTATGTAATACCAATAAAAATGGTAAAAATTACTAATAGCATGCTTAATAACAAATCGAATATTAATTATAATGAATTAAATAATATTAATTTCATATGCTCATTTAAAAAAAATCAGAAGTGACCAACATTTTAGAAATAATTCTACTCACAATCAACATTTTAAGCTGATAAGCCAAAGAAATAATCATATACATAGATAAAATACAATACGACATTAATCTTTTTTATAAACATTACTAAACTTAAGACAATTACTACAATTCAAGATATAAACTCACAAGTACGAAATTTCTTCGCATTTACAGAAAAAGGTGCCTAAGATGATAGGTGCTTATTTATTTTACGGTGTTCTTTCGCTGGCTGCGTCCGTTTATTTATACTTCAAATGGAAGCACAGCTACTGGAAACGGAAGAATGTGGACTACATCGAGCCCGAATTCCTCTTCGGTAACACCGGAAATGTGTTAAAGAAGAAAGAACATAAATCCAGGTTATACAAGAAGTACTACGAACATTTTAAATCTCGAGGCCAGAAATTCGGAGGTTTGTACGATTTTCAAAGACCTGTTTTGATGGTCACCGATCTGGAACTGGCAAGAAATGTCATCCAAAAAGATTTCTCGCACTTCGTAAACCACGTGGCTTTTTTAAACGAGGAAAACGATCCTTTGAGTGGAAATTTGTTTAATTTAAGAGACGAGAAATGGAAGAATATTAGAGCCTTGTTAACACCAACATTTTCATCAGGTATATACAGTTTTTACTATTAATTACCAGTCAATTTATTAATATATTCCTTATTGTTATTTTAGGAAAAATAAAAATGATGTTTGAGACGATGGTTAAGACAACCGAGGGCTTCGAAAAACTACTTGATAAAAGTGCCAAAATAAATGAGCCAGTTAACATTGGACCACAATTATTGTTATTTACAACAGACATTATCGCTTCAGTGGCCTTCGGAATTGAAGCGAATTGCATGGAAAATCCGGATAGCGATTTTCGAAAAGTATTCACTAATGTATTAGGAAGTTCCCCGTTACAACTAATCAAGCTTATTATTGCCTTATCACTCCCAAAATGGTTACTGGGTCTACTGAAAGTGAGACTAGCCGATCAAAAAATTGGAAATTTCTTCACCAAGGTGGTCACTGATATCGTTGAATACAGGGAAAAAAATAAAGTCTTCCGAAAGGATTTCATGCATTTGTTGATTCAATTGAAAAACATGGGAGAACTGGAAGACGGCGAAAATCTAACTAATTCAACGACAAAGAAGCATCTTTCAATTCCACAAATGACGGCTCATGCTGTAACATTTTACGTTGCTGGATTTGAAACATCGTCATCGACAATGTCGTATGTTATGCTGGAACTTGCCCTGCATCAGGACATTCAAGACCGCCTACGAGAAGAGATTCATTCAGTTATCAAAAAATACGATGGCAAAATCACATACGATGGAGTTATGGAAATGGAGTATTTAAACATGGTCCTCCAAGGTAATAAGTTGGCTAAAACTAACTATACTTTTACAAAACTAACTATTCTTTAACAATGTTGTAGAATCAATGAGGAAGAATTCTGTGGCAACAAATCTGTCAAGGAATTGCAATAAAGCTTACAAAATTCCTGGAACCGATGTAGTCATTGATCCAGATACAGAAGTAATTATACCAGTACTAGGTTTTCATTGGGATCCTGAGTATTATCCGGAACCTGAAAAATTCGATCCTGAACGATTTTCTCCTGAAAATAAACATAAGATACCCAATTATGCCTATCTGCCCTTCGGAGATGGTCCTAGATCATGTATAGGTAATTCATCAATTTATTTATCCACTACTTATTATTTTAAATTTGAGGTGCAGATAATGAAAGTATATTGGCAAGAAATGTTGCTACAAACGCTATTTTTGAATTATTAAATTTTATATTTTAGGTTTAAGATTTGGAAAAATTCAATCGCTACTGGGAATATGTTTCATAGTATCAAAATATAGAATTACATTGAACAACAAAACACAACTACCGGTCGAATTGGATTTATCAAAACGAATTCCCGCGGTGAGAGGCGGAGTGTGGTTGGATTTGGAGAAGTTGTAAAATTTATTATCATATTATTCGACGTTACCATTACAAGTGATTAAAATTTGTAAATAAAAAAAATATAAAAATGCGTAATCTAGATCAACAATTTTAAATCTGTATTTGCTTGTTACAATGTTGCAATAAAGTCTAATTACGGTCGTTAAACAGCTTCAAATGCTTCGTTTACATTAGTGTTATGTTTTTAGATAAATTTAGATGCTCAACAAAAATGTAGCAACGTAAGAAATACGAAGGATAGGTGAAGCATTTAATACAATATGTTGAGAATTTTATTTCGCACGTAGTACGTGCAACGAAATATTTGTTTAGTGATTAATATTCATGAAAGGCCGAGATACGTTTCAATAAGAAACGATATTCAATGGAGCGAGGAAAAAGATTATGCTGATGGAAGTGAAAAGTCTTATTCAGCATTCCTGCCGATCAAACTCGGTCGACCTTTATTTTTTAGCAGAAAGTGTTCTGGCGGAATATCTGATAAAACACGCCTCGGATATGAATAAGAAAATCAACGCCTGTGCAGGTTGGTTCTTTTACAAAGCGACATTTTTTAAACGAACGCGAAATGTAATAGCTAAATTTCGTTATCTATTTTTGCATTTGCATTTCGCAATTTTATTATACGTAGGTGCAATCATAATGCATTGGTAGTGTAAAAAATAAATTAAACATCTATGAACCTAAATAAAACGATGTACGTACATTTCGTTTAGTTCATAATCATTTTTTATGGAAGTCGGTAACTTCCTTCCACTGCTTAAAATAGGAGTAAATTTCCCGCAGCATCGTTTCCGCTGTGGTTATGGTAAAGCATCAGGATAGGTATATTAAATAATGCGCATCACAATTCAACACGCCGTGTGGTTACCTCCCGAAATGAAGAGTTATAACGACGTTTTTATTACTTGCTGCAAATGGGAAAAACGAGGATCCGTCTTTATTAAAATCAAAATTAAAATTTACACCTTTATTAAAAAAGTTTGACGAAAGTGTACGTTCTTGGGATGAAATAATAAATATTTTTTTGTTGTACAGTTGGAGGCGATCTTGAAACTTCCGACCTTCGTTAACGAAAAAACACAATTTTCATCTGTTAGCAGAGGTAAATAGAATGTTCGCATTCACAAAATGGCCATTTTCTCGTTTACTCCAAGAAGCGCAGTTCTTCAAATATATATTTTTAATAAGTTCATTAAATTTTTCCTACGTTAATAACGACAGAAGTTTTCCGCATAATCGTTTAGAAAATAATGTAATTAAAAAGTCATTCATAATCGAAAACTGGTCGTTTCTCAGATTTGTTTTTTTGTTAGGAAACTTTCGAACAGAATTCGGCATCTCAATTAAATTTATTAATTGCTCCAGTGTTTCTGACAAAATAATAAATGGAAGTTTAGAACTTTAAGGCTGAGCGTTTAATATTTTTAATAGGGACAAGAAGCTCAGATGTCTTCCTGTTCATCATTGAATCGGGTCCGGTTATAAAGTGATATATAATTTTTGTTTAGTAGGTAATAAATAACGGTCAAGTATAAAAAGGGAGCATTTTTCAATTCTTACGTATGACAAAAACACAAGAATCGCCACTTTCTCAAGCGACTCTATCTCTAAATCCCTTTCATTTATCTATCAACTAGAGCACTCCGTTACGCCTACCTACTAATCAACTGCTCTTTCTTTGCCTTCCTTTCAGAGTGCTTTCACGTCTAACGTTCGGGTTTTCTTTTCTTTTCGTTTGAAAATTACACACCTATTCAATTCCACTGTTCTAGTGCGTGAAAGCAGTTTTCGGTTTCTTTAATACCACCCGTTTGTTCACAGTAAATGAAAATTTGTAGTAAGTAAAAGAAAGCGAAGTGTGCGCCGAATAGTTATCTTTGAATTTAATCCCTGGAAATCGAAATCCTTCAAAGAACGTGAACGTTTTTTCAATCACCAAACGATTAAATTGAGATATCGCGTAGTCAATTTCGCTCGAGACATTATGTACAACGGTTGAATTAAGTATGCAAAAAGTGTTTTGCTGATTGCATTCGGACACCAGCGGTGACAATGTTGTCCTGGACAATACTGTGAAATAGGTCAATGTGCTTCGCATTATGCGCAGGTTTCAATCCCAGTACCCTACATTGATCCTATTAACAAACCATTGGATGATTGTTCCGTATGTATCGGACCATATAGGCATAGGCGTAATAGGGGTGTTTCAATGGTTTGCTGATTTATCGCAATAAAGGTATCGAGTTAAAAATAAACGACGGATTTAGTACGGGTTCCCAGATTAATTATAATTCGTAAAAAGGTATGTAATATTTTGCCTATATACCTCATCATTCGAATAATGATATACAAGAGAATCCATTAAAAAATATAAATATTTGAACCCGCTTAATTACATTCTTCAAGAGTCAAACATTCATTCAAAAGACGTTTCCCCAAGCGCGCGGATAAAATCAGACAAGTACTAATGGCTTTTTTTATATCATTTTCAACAGTAATTCCCGCTTCATTTAAATACTATCGCAATGTAATACCTGGAGACGCCCGCCGCCGGCGTCCCGCCTCGTTACTGGTTGCCGATTTCTTTTGTCAACTCGTGCACTTGTAGCTCGGGATGATATATGGGGGAAAGCAACGGATGCTTTTTGCGTTTGCTATCGATTTTTCTCGAGGTAAGTTCCTCGTCGGGCACGGCGGAGAACGTGTTCTCGCGGTGAATTCATTTCAGCAACAGTAAACATTCCAAATGTATATACATGAAGCAATATTCCATCGAATAGATAATATTGAAATCCGGGAGATACGATTCCGCCGCCGGAGGCGGCTCAAGGTGTCTCCGGTGAGATACGATACGTAGAGTTCGTGTTGTCCGCGTTGATACGTTCGGAGAATTTTGTCTCCGATGTGATAATGAGGTTAGAGTGGGGTAAACATTTCTATTTCAACAGGATGATTCCAAAGTATATAAAATGTAAAGCTAGAATTATTATTGACTTTACGAGTTAGCAGATGGTGAAGTTATGGGATTAATGCTTTTACAACTATTTTATATTCTTCCGTAGCTTCCTATAAATGACTAGATATTAAAATTTTATCAATAATCGGACTATCAGAATGAGAACCAAGCCTAAGATTATTGATTAAGCTGGCGCATGCAGCTTTGGATTAATTAATAGCGTTGCATAATTAATTTACTGATTCGAGAGGAAAGTAAAGTTTTTTTTTGCCCCGCTCTCCATGATTGCTTCCGTCCGTTGGTTCAGAAAGCCATCGAAATGGGTTAGGAGCCAAATCGACATCGACAAGGAGGCGGATGATTTCCCTCGGGATTGAATTTGCTGTCAAGAGTTTACCTGATGCGACGCGTCCTCTCTTATTTGCCATACAAAATACAAACAAGTTTTACCCGGCACGTATTTTCATCAATAAATACATACAGAATTATTGTTTTAATACATGTGTTTAATTTACTTATTCCACAAGCCTGCATGTTAGAAAATAAAATTCCTAAATAAGTAAACACCAAAATTCGATTAGATATGCTATGAGCATAAGCACCTATAGTTACACCATTAATGACCAATATGAAATCCGAGCTTCGTATCTTCTGGAACAAATACTAAAATATCGACGTAGTCATAAAAACGGGATGTGCCGGATTTTGACCGAGATACAGGCCATTCGATTTTATGTTTCGACTCGACTCGTAATATAGATAAGGGAGCAAGAGCAGGCTCAATTGTGAACCTTCATTCGCCTACTGCGTAACGTTTGATGTGTCAAAAACGGGGAGCTTTTAACATTTTAACAGAATTAAAAAGCGTAGGTGCATTTACGAGCGCAACAAAATTCTGCGCGTTAAATTAAAAGCGAGCGAGCTGTTACGATGTTAAATGCAAAACGAATTGCACTTTTATTTTATCCCAAAAAAAAGGATTAACATTTACAACAACAATTAAACCTTAATCAATTTGGTATTTATAAGTCAAAAATATTCTGTTAAGGCTTGTTAATTCACGTTTTCACGTAAATTTAACATATTTTCTTAAAAAAAATCTTTCTATTATCAACTGTAAAAACTTTTTTATATGGGTATTGTATATGTATAAATAATTCAAAAACATCGAAGTTTCAGTCTTTTTAAAAACGATTTTCCTTTTGGACAATTATGGAAGTTGTGAAACCTTGTAAGCGGCTATTTGAAAGTCAAAGACCCGGCTTCTGCTTTGGATATGTAAAATTATTCCCTTTCGCCTCTGAAAGTTTACATTCTTTCGCAGATATTTCTGTTTCCACAGGGGCATTAAACTTGCTAATATTATGTTTACGGGAACTTGTTTCGCGCGAAGATTTCCTCGTAAATAGTCGCGGACCGTCTTAGATTTCCCGGCGGCCTCCCTTTTAGCTCAAATCTCATTGACGCGTTCCTTTATTTCTCTCTGGATGGCGGTATTTTCGAAATAAAAAGCCCATAATAAAATTATTAAACTAAGAAATTTCCTCGAGCGACTTTCGCACTTGTGATGTTTTATTTTTTTACTATCACTCCCCAACACCTAATTTTAAAAAAGCTATTATTATATTTTTTTAGATAAGTTTTTCATGGAAAAATATTGTACCGAGTGATTATAAAGTCCAAGTACCTACTTTTTATACATTACGTGTATTTAATTTAAATCGTCAAAACTGAAGTAAATAACAAATATTTTCATAGCCCAGTAAGTACTTTTAAAACTGAATAACTGATTTAAAAAAAAAATAGGATCCTAATGAAGCCAGCATGACATGATCACATTGTAATCATGTAACATACTATGTATGTACCTACACATGGAAATTTATATTATTATAGTAAAATTCCACACAAGAGAGAAACCTATATTCTATACAACTCTAAAACAAAGGATTCATAGGTGATTTCGATTGCCTTTGAGGGCATTATTCCCAATCATGTGACGTTATTTTTTATCAGAGAAATACGACATCGATGTTGCATAGCAATGGAAACGCCGAAGCGTCGTCGGGCGTCGCTCCGGAGAGCCAGTGCAGCACTATCTTTTTGTTTTTGATGTCAGTGGAACAATGAGCCGATCCTTTCCCCTTGATAACGTGACGTAAACAACCATCGGATATGGTCTGTAATGTTCCTGACACAAAAAAGCCGTCGTCATGCTGCTGTTTCTCATCACAGGAGTCACGGATTTGCCTACAGGAATTTTTAATAATAGAAATATTCGTCCCAAAAACAATAATTTAAATGTAGAGGAATTATTCTTGCATGCATTGAACCTTGAAAAGTGCTGTTATATTCACTCATTGTAATAATTTTGCATTAAAATGTAGGTATCCAATTGTGGTTTATCTAATCACAATTAATCGAAAATACTTAAAAGATAAATGCCATTACAAAATGTACTATATAAAAACGGTTGACAAGGTATGAATTAATTCTATTATTTTATCATAATTTCAATATGTGGAAAATTGAATTATTGATATATTCGCTGGTTATCGTTGGCACGTGAGTATTATATCAATATTACCTCAATTAACTTATTAAAGATTAATTAATATCTACTTAAATCTCATAATTACTTGCAATTAAAATTCAAACAAATTAACACCTAATTCTTGTGATCAATGTGTATGTTTTCAGGAGCTGCAGCAGTGTCAACAACAAGAAGTTCCCGGATTCTTTTCTTCTGGGAACCGCAACGGCAGCTTACCAAATAGAAGGTATATTTCCGAATTTTTGGAAATTTTACAGTAGATATTTATGCAATTAGTTAAATTCCAGGTGCTTGGAACGAAGATGGCAAAGGCGAAAACATATGGGACAGAACCTGCCACAGCGATCCAACAAGAATTTTTAACAACGAAAATGCGGATATAGCTTGCGATTCATACCACAAATATAAGGAAGATGTCGCTCTGTTGAAAGATCTGGGAGTTAGCGTTTATAGATTTTCAATTTCTTGGTCCAGAATTCTACCAACTGGTAATACCAATTTTTCAATGATTTATTCAAATCCTAATGAAACAAATTACAGGTTACCTCAACGAAATTAACCAACTAGGAATAAACTATTACAAAAACTTGATAAGCGAGCTCAAAGCCAATAACATCGAACCGCTAGTGACGATCTTCCATTGGGACCTCCCGCAGCCTCTGCAAGACATTGGCGGTTTTCCCAACGACAGAATTATTAGGAGGTACGTCGAATACGCCAGAGTAGTATTCGATAACTTCGGAGATGACGTTAAGTACTGGATAACATTCAACGAACCCAAACAAACCTGCCGTGGGGGATACGCTGCTCTAGGAGATGCACCTTTCATAAACTCCTCTGGCATTGGAGAGTACTTGTGTACTCACAACCTTCTTAAAGCGCACGCAGAGACTTATCACATGTACAACAAGGAATTCAGAGACAAACAAAACGGTATGAAAATGTGTACAAGCTATGGTAACGTTATAACTATTAATCATGTTATTGGTTAAAGGACACATTGGTATTACCATTGATACTGTTTGGGCTGAACCAGACAGCAAAGATAAGGCTGATGTGGAGGCTGCAGATAGGCTAATACAGTTTACGGTAAGAAATATACAATTACTTTCCATACAATTATATGATAAGCATTTATTCATAGTATGGTTGGTACGCACATCCTGTTACCCACGGAGACTACCCAGAAGTAATGAAACAGTTCGTTGGAGAAAGAAGTGCCAAGCAAGGTTTCTCTGAATCCAGACTTCCTAAATTCTCTAAAGCAGAAATTCATGGTATGAAAAATACAGTCGATTTTCTCGGACTGAATTACTACACCTCAGTAATGGCTAAGCACAAGAATGATGAAGAAAAAACGGCAATAGACTGGGATCAGGATTCCGAAGTAGATACTTATTTCAAACCCGAATGGCCGAGTACTGCCTCCAGCTGGTTGAAGGTATATTTTTTGTAGAAATCGTGTAATTACCTTTGAAAATACGAATTTTCAGATTGTTCCGTGGGGCATGAGGAAAATATTGAACTGGGTGAACAAAAATTATGAAGGCCTTCCCATAATTGTTACAGAAAACGGGGTATCAGAGAATGGAACAACATTGGAGGATGATGTCAGAATCGATTATTATCGGGTAATATTATAATTTGTTTTACCGTATTGAAATTATCTAGGAATGTTTAAATATCAATATCATTGTTTAATCCAGGACCACTTGAGCGGAGTTAGAGATGCTCTTGACGATGGCGTCAATGTTATTGGTTACACGGCTTGGAGTATGATGGATAATTTTGAATGGACTCGTGGTTACTCGTAAGTATTGATTAAACTATAAAGTGGTGATAATTATTATACAATTGATTATTTTGCAATTGCAAAATACACTATTGTATCGAGAAATAAGTGCAATTCCTGAGTAATAGTAAATTCTTATTATAATTTGTAGAGAGAAATTTGGACTGTACAGTGTAGATTTCAATGATCCCGAGAGAAAAAGAACACCAAAGAAATCTGTATCATTTTTCAAGCAATTTTTGGCAACCAGATGTTTAGTAGAAGAATCAAAATGTGTAGCAGCTTAAAAATAAATTGAGTAAATACATCCTTTTTAACGCAGAAAGTGTTGAAAATTCCGTTAAACAAACCAGTAATTTAACCTGTTGATACCTTTACATTAGCAAAAGTTTTCAGTTGAGGTAGATGTAGTTAAATTTTCATAATATCATAAAATGTATCAAATTTGAGCAAAATATCTAGAAAATACCCGTCGAAAAAGTAAAGTAATTATCGCAAGTTTGAATAATTAAAACTTTGAACAAACCGTATCAACACAACAACTCACTCGGAAGGGGCTACTGAATAATTGTTGAACCATTGAGATGCTCTAATCTCCACAGAAGGGACGTGTATTTGTCAAGTCAAATTATCTTTGAATGACCCTCATAAGTACCTTTTCATTCTTAGCTGCCCTTTCCTCGTACAAAGGGAAACGGTCTAAGACAATGCCCACTCTTACCCACTTCTATTTGCAAATAGCACCCCTTCGTACGCGATATGTCTGCTGTCTAGTCGCGGCGAATAAATGAAAAGTTTTTTTGCATTTTAAATTCACTGCGATTACGCCCGACGAAAAAATTTATCTGACGATAGTAGAATGTAATTTATGCATACGAACTTTCCTTTATATTGGGTGTTAGGGGGTTTTGATTTAAATATTTTACCTCTTTGTCCAGAAGCACTAACTTTTTTCTGGATTATTAGAAGGTGATAGCAGAGAGGTATTACAAAATACAAAATAGAAACTTCTAGTACAAAAATTCTTGTACAAAAAAAGTTTTCTAACCAGGGAACTTTTAGGACTACTCTATTTTAGCATCATAATACACAATATTTGTTCCAAACGTTTTTGCACGCAAAATTGCTTAAAAAAATAAAAATAGGTTGACGTTAATGTATAGCGTATAACGAAAACAAAAGACCTAATTAATAGTTTTGTAAACATTTTCAAAAATTAGTATGGGTTATTACAAAGTTGATTGACAGGAAGAAATTATTAGGATTCTTCTAATTATTTTTTGTTTTTACTTTGACATTGTCAGTATAAGATTTTTTACGTTGGAAAAAGGACAGTAAGAGTTAAAATTGTTAGTAAACTTGTATGGAACGAATTCCAATGAAGTTTTCTTAATTTTTAACGAATATTAATTTAATAGTATAATTTAATATTGTTGCATTAATAAAAAAGCCTGATTTTTGAAGCGTACCTATTAGTTAATTATTGATTATTGATTGATTAATTCATTCAAAATTCTAAATTTTTCCTTACAATTCAATTACAATTACAATTTAATTTACAATTTATAAAACTAACAATTTCCCTAACTAGATTTTTATTCTAATTAATGAAATGGCTTTAAAGTGTTTTTAATTTACTACACACTTATTGTAAAATATAAATTGAAAAATAAAATGCTTTTATCAACCAAATTACCAATTTTAATAAAACTAATGCAACTGCATACATTTATACACCTCTCATTAATTTAATCTTTAAATTAATTAAAATCTTCATACAAAAAAAATATATGCTAAAAAATTATTGCTCAAAAAAACTAATTAATTACATAAAAGTAAATAAATGTAATAAAAAACTTTTTTTACCTGTAAGTATTCCCAAGTAGATCCAACATAACACCATCGTGGATTTTGAAGACCAGCTGAGTGGTACCTTCGAAAAACCGCCGTTGAAATCACAACCGAATTAAATGTAAGCGGCGTGCGAACGATCCGAAACCGCGGAAGCGAAATTTTTCCGGATATGTTTATCAATCAGAAGATATTATCAGCATGTCAACATCTTCGGCGCGTCGGCGGTTTGCGTGTTTCCAACCATTCTCTGAGTGCGCCACCACCATACTGAAGCGTCGGGATGCTGGGACTTGCGCATCTCTTCATCCCCGAGGGGGCGGCGACCCTTTTCGCAGATGGACTCACTATGCCCACTTCAACTGCTTTTTTATACGATTGCAGCGCACCGGTCGATTTTTTACTCTTTAAACATTCCATTTCTGGTCTTATTTAGCAGAAAGCAGTATTTCTGGTTCGTGTTCGGGCATGGCGATGGCTCCTCTCTGAAATGTAAATGGACGCTGTAAAACGATGCCGTACATCGGGTATCGCCTTTTATTTTTTCACTTTACAGATGGGTTTTCTACGGGATGTCACTCTATCGATTTCATTCATCCATTATGTAGGTCTATTTGACTATCAAATTTTCTTTTAAACGTGGTTTATAGCCAGCGGAAAAGCTTTTGAAGCAGTCACTGATTATTTCTTTGAAATTAACAAACAAAAAATATGTGTGGGTGTAATTTGTATTACTGTACATCCTTACTTAGCTAATATAATAAATTTATTTTCAAAATCACCAATTAAAATATGTACAATTAGAATAAATATTTGTGCAACTATTATAAAAAAAAATCGATTTACAAATCTTGTCCCATCTTTTCGATTTGCTCGACGAAGTAGCGCATATCGGATTTCTCCAAGCCGGAACTTTGGAATACGATCCTGAAAAAATTAGGATAATCTTTTTGAGCCTGATACGTGATCATCATATTTCCCGCCTTCATCATCCGCTCCTTTATCTTCGGCGCCACTTTGTGCAACTTCTCGTTGTACTCGGGCAACGACTTGCTCAGTTTCCTCAAGCTGGGCGGGATGTACCAAAAGCAAACGTTCGTGCACTCCGGTTCTTCTAATAACAATTCGAATCCCGTCCGGTTTTTCACCAGCTCGAGGAAATACTTGGAGTTTTCGAACACTTTGTCGATGTGCTTCTCGAGGCCTGTGGTCCCCTTGGCTTTCCACATGAACCAAAATTTAAACACGTCCGCTCTTCGGCCGCACTGTATATGCTTGTCACCTTAAAATTGCGTTATTGATTTGTGCAAAATTATCTAGCAATTTTCAGAATAGTAAATGATTCTGTATAGCTTACCTGTGTCGTAAGATGTGTCGTAAAATTTATCTTTTTGGAAGAGATACGCCGCTTGAGTACCGTGAGCTTCACTTAATATTCCGGTGTGGCGTATTAAGAGGGTTGAGCATTGCTGTGGAGCTGATAATAACTTGTGCGGATTCCAAGTAACTGAATCTGATCTAAAATCGTGATGAAATGATTGAAAAAGTCAATTTCCACATGTTCTGTATAGGTATGAGATTTTATTTGGTATACAAGATAATGTCTTTAAGCACCTATGAATGTGCAACAAATGTCCATAAAGCGACTTTCTAAGGGAAATAACAAACGTTAAAACGAAAAAAGGAGTAATAAAACTAACGGTAATTGTGTACGACGGTACGTTAACTAGGACAATATTAAAATAAAACGGAATTGTCAACATTAAGAGATCGTAACTTAGAGGTAGGTACGTAAGGTAAGTAATAAAATTGCACAATCCATTTTTTTTTCGTTTCGTATATACCAGTTCATTAAGTTGAATATTTTTAGATGAAATGAACAATACATATCTGCAATGCATACTAATAATGATGATGATTGAATGGCTCTAAAATTGAGTTAGATTTCTTCTTCTTCTTCTTTTCTATGATAGCTAAATACCTCAAAAAGTGCCGGAGGATTAAAGGTATACTCTTCTCGCTTGGGGGTAGATCCAAGCTGATCACACTTGAGTTAGAGTTTAAAGTTTACATAAAGAAATTCAATACCACAGAAAAGTGTACCTAATTTTCAGCAACACATGTATTGTTGAAAAAATACATTGAAAAAAGACTTTTAATATCAGAATAATAATTTAGGACCATACCAATGTTACACAAACTCAATTGATTTGCTGCGCCAAATTCAAAAATTAGGTGGTTTAAAAGTTTCGGATTTTATACAGTATCTATATTTTCTAATAAATATAGCGACTTTCACTATCCTTGCCATTTTTACTAAGCCACAAGCTACAATTGATTTAGTTTCATTCATTGAACCTTGAAACTAAACAATTCAATTTGTTTAGTATTTTTTTAACCACCAATTATTATCAAAAACCATTGATCAATCAATCATAAATTAATCTAAAGTACCTTTCGATGCTCTTCATTAAGTGCCTGTACTTCCTAGACATTAGGGCACCACCGCCCCAAGCAGCGTCCACGTGCAACCATAGATTATATTCTTTGCAGATGTCTGCTATCTCATCTATGGGATCGAAGGCTCCGAATACTGTGGTACCCGCTGTGGCGCAAACCATAAAAGGTACTGCCGATTCGGATAGAGCCCTTTGTATTTCCTGGCGCAAGTGCTGGGCATCCATTTTCCCTTTGCGGTTGGATTTAATCGCGTAGACGTTATCAGATCCAATTCCGACGAAAGAGGCTAATTTTGTGATGGAGTAGTGACTTTGATCTGAAGAGAAGATTACCAATCTTCCCACGCAACTGTTGCCTTTTGTCTAAAAAACATTAAGCTTACAATGGATTATGTTTATTTTGACGTAAATATTTCATACGTTCCTTTGAGGATTGGTTTTAACGGTAAATTTAAAATGAAATATTCATAGGCTAAAATATTGATTCGCATGGCATTGGTATTAACCTTCCGGTCTAAGCGGAAATTGATTTACGGACTTTCAGGGTTAAAGCACAATCATATTAAATTAATAACTTTTTATTGGACATTCACTAAATGCCATGGAAAATAATCAAATATTCAAATATGAAAAAAATTTAGTAAGTATTTCATCATAAAAACGATTTGTTCTATCTATAGGAATGTACTCGAATTTTGTACATGCCTATTTCAACGAAATGATAGATCATATGTATTAAAAATTGAAAATTAATATTGAATGCAGATATAAATACTACACTAACATATCTATCGAAATAACTTGGCCTGTATTCACCGCTCCTTTTTAAAGAGAGTCTCTTTACTAACATGACAGTTTGACATTGTTGTTATAGCCTTTGTGAACATTGTTTACGTTAAAGAGACTCTTCAAACGATTGATTAGCGTTAAAGAAGAGCGCCAAACAAGGTTATTAATAGCGATTAGTTTGAAATGAAAATACTCGTATCTCAGCTACAATGGCAAATGCGGTGAATTTGCAAAAATATGGGTTTTACAGAAGATTACAAAGAGTAAAATATCCATATAAATAAACCGAAAATTCTGGTTTCGATGCAAAAATTAGGTGAAATACATGGGCGGAAGAATTAGGGCCTAAATAGCGGGTCGATAATTTAAAAAAAATACACCAAAATATTTCTCCAAACAGAGATATTCTGTACAAATTTTCACGAAAAAGAGTTAAGCCAATCTGACCCAATAACTGTAACAAAAACTCTTTTTGTACATATTGAACTTTTTATATGAATTTTCTTTTCTTTTCAAAAGTCTGAACTGAAGCCATGTTCGAACAATTTTACACCCTGTAGAAAGCTTTATTAGAAATTAATTTCCAACTCACCTTTATCTCCGGGAAAAATTTATGCCTGGCACAACTTATAGCATATCCATTAGCAATCGATCCACCAGGGCAAAAAATACCATCGCCGTCGCCGTTCTTGTAGCCGACGATTTTTCTCATTTCCCTCAGCACAATTTCCTCCATGATAGAGAAAACCGGCGACACTTCGTACGTGTACACGCTGGAATTCAACGCGTCGGTCAGCCATTGCCCGACGAGCCCGTAGGGATCCACCGACGAAAACAGCTGATTAACAAAGTACGGGTGACCCGTCTTCACCGAATACTGGACGGTGTCTTTCAGGATTCTAATCAAATCCTTGTGGGTGGAAGGCGCGTCGCGCAATTCGAAATCGAACTTCGACGGCAGCACCTGCGGGTTCTGGAAATCGAGCACTTTTCGGTCCCTCTTGGTCGCTTCGAACACCGCGCTTTTCACCAGCAACTCCAAGCAATCCCGGAAGAATTCCCCGTGGTCCTTCTCGGTGGCGTAGCTTTGGAACGTCGCCGTCGTCGGGTGAGTGCTGTCGAACGCTTTCGCACTGATCGCCGTACATTCTTCGTCCGAAGAAGACGCCACAGCATCGCTGTACGTAGCTGGCTCGTCCATAACGCTCGGCGTAGTTTCGCTACCGGTGGCCGGCATGGTTGAATTTTTACACTGGTGAATGTCAAATGTTTTACAATGGGTTGTTGCCACGCTTTTAAGAAGAACGGTCACGTGCAGAACCTTGTTCGTGACTTTCCATTAAGAAGAATTGGAATGAGAATTCGCTATTTACTCAACCGATTCACTACGTAAATTCTATATCGATTTCAACAACCCAATTTTCGTTTGTTTGATCGTCAAATCCTTTCAATTAACTGTTATGAGATTTTAGTTTTTAATAATAACACAACTTAAGCAAATAGGTAAGTACATACTTCAAATACGGGTGCTTTAACATCATTTGATTTTATTAAAATTTTTAATAAGGAGTGCCGAATTTAAGTCTCCCTTCTAATTACAGTTTACAAGGGAATCGATTTTTGCAAGTAATATTAATATTTATTAAAGACCTGTATTCTCGCAAGTATATTTGCAATATCTTGAATGTTATAATTAATAATTTGTCCTAGATGGTAAATTAAAAATCAAAACGAAGGCTGTTGTTAAATATCCAATTTTAATTGTCGGTGCAGCCATCTAAGAAATCGTTCTTTTTCCAAGGTTATCTGTGGATAAAATCAAATCGAAACAAAGTTTCATAATTTCCTTTTACACGCCATTACTAGCTACATTATATTGCATTAATGAATAGATTATATTGATGAGAAAGTCGCAAGTGTGCAGTGTGCCGTACGAATATGGCACACTAATTTGGCCCTGTATAAAGACCTTTAAATCAATTGATACTGTTACGTACGAAATTAATATTATATAAAAAAATCTAATATCTATTTTTATATACTTTTATCGGAAGATAAAATAATGCGAAAAACAGTGGCTATGGAAAATAACACTTCTCGATAAATACAATTATCTAAGATAAAATAAATAAAAAAATTGGAAAACAATATTCTGTTCGTTATAAAAGAGGAATAAAAATTTACAACATTACAGAACAATTTTACGAGCAACCATCATGTCTTATTACAAGGTAATATTAATACTGAGCGCATTAGTTTGCTCTGCGGTCGGTAGAGTAGCATCAGAAACCGGTAAGTTCCTTTAATTAATTGCGATTAATTTATGTAAATAATATCAATATTTTTGTAGGAAATAATGAGTGGTTTCTCCAATTTAAAGTAAACGATCGCAATTTTTTTGTTAGCAGTGAAGAGGTAATTTTTTTTGTATTTAACACCCAACAATTTGCTCAATTCCCAACCAAAAATTGACTATTTCAGAAGGTGCATGTTTCCTTTCTGTTTACCCTTGGCTTCAATTAGTTACACTTTAAATTGTATAATTATTATATTTAAGGTCAGCGCTTCTAACGCGTACAATTTATGCAAAAAACAAAACCTAACATTAGTTGCTCTGGATGCAGCTTCAAATGATGCAATTATCAAGTCTTTAACAAACTTGGGTAAGTACCTATACGTAATATAAATCCACCATACATTTCCAAAATGGTTCCAAAATGTCTAATGTTCAAATTTCATATTTTTAGTAGGCAGTACACAAGTTGCCTTCTGGACTTCGGGAGTCAAAGTTTATGACAAATGGGTTTGGGGGAGTACCGGTGATCATGTAGAATATTTCGATTGGGGAACCGGCGAACCGAATGATAATGATGGCAAAGAGAATTGTTTGCAGATATGGTTAAACGAATACCAATCAGGTCATTGGAATGATAAAGATTGTAGTGCTACATTTCGTGCGCTGTGCTTTTACAAATAATGTTATACATAGTTCTAAAAAATTGACAATAAAAATTTAATATCTTAAAACATCACTCTTGTTATTTAGAGCCTCACAATCTACGATTCCATTTCGATGGATGCGCCATCGAAAAAAATAGAAAACAAAAGGAGGACATATGTTTTCGGAATAACATTTTCCAGGATTCCAATTGATAATAACTTACGCCATTTTCGAACACTTATTGGTATCTATGTATATCTATGTTTATGCCACTATCAGGAATTTTTTAACGTCAATCAACCTCAAAAAATTTATTTGAAACATATCAAAAGATTTATTTTGTCTGAAAATACTCATTCGACTTAAAAGAGGGGTGTATTTGTTTATTATTGGGTGTAAGCCTCAAATTTGTGGTCAAACTAATGGGTTTATATTCGGATTGTGGTAAGATCAATGATAGTTTAAATTAATAATCGTAATTTTAATCGAGAAAGAATTCGGTATACATAGTATATTCGGTATACTAGGTCCATATTTAGTACCACGAATTTAAATAATGTTATTACATATCTATGAATTTTATCTAATAAATATGGAGGATAATGTAGATATAAAAAACACGAAAAAAGTAAATAGTGAATAGAGAATAGAAAAAGGATAGATGATTATTATATGATTAATCAAATTAATTATTTGACATTTGACAAATTATATGAAAGACTGAAGAAAAAAGTTTTACAGAGAGATGTTTATAAGTTTACTTTTCCTTTCTATTAATTATTTTACAAGATTTACCAGCAATGATTGAGGAACCTATCGAGTCGTTTGAAAAAGAAGACGGACCTGATACAGTCGATGGTCAAACCAAAAGGAGTTATTATTCAATAAGTACTTTTCAAAGACATTTGTAAATTTAATTGTTTCTAACAAAATTTCAATAAGAGTAGTAAATTAAATATAAAACTTATTAGCATAATTATCGCTTTTATCAGTATGATAAACGTTTCAAGAAAATCGTATTTCAGGATCGGACACCAGCAAGAGAAAGCGCGAGAAGCGCACCCTCCTTGCTGGCGAAACCGACATGGACTTGGAATTCATGGAATTGGAGATCAGAAAATACTGCCCGAAAAAGATCTTTGACATCATAGTGATCAACGAAGTGGACGGGCCGTCGCAGGAACAGATGCTCAAGACCATCGACTCAGCTAGGAGGTACGAGGACTGCAACTTCAGCGTCACCTTCATAAAATACACCGAGGTCATGGGCATTTTAGAACATTTAGATACCACCATTTTCCCGGAGAGCATACGGAAGATGGTGGAGCAGGTATAAATGATACAGGTCAGTTACAGAGGAGAATAAAGTAGAGTTCATTTTCTAGATTTTGGATGATTTGAGAGCGTATCTTGTTGCTAAAAAAGCAGATAAAATTCCGTTTCTTAAAATGGCTATAATGATGAAAATCAAATTGATGGAAGTTATGATTCACCATTACCAGAGGGAATTAGATAAAATGAAGACGAGAAAGGTGTTGATTGAGGAATTAGATCATTTAACGAGAACCGATAAGAAAGGTAAGTACTTGATCGATGCAACTTTTTTTTTAGTAACGACAATCTTCCGTATCGGTTTAATTACAGAAAAAGGCGACAAACAAAGGAAAACCTCCGATACTGGCGAATTGGAACATCTGGATACCGAAAGCGACGTTATCTTCGACGACGACATCTACAATCACGTCTGGTTCTACGCCTTCGAAGGCATCTACAATATCAAAGTGTTGATACTTCTCTTATCCTGCAGGGTGCCTATCACGGCTCTGATAAAAATCAATACGTCTGAATATTTCTACACGCTACCCGATTCCGTGTATGCGAAATTCTGGTCGGAAATGGACGATTTGCTATTCACTCACAACAGATCGGAGCATTTCGAAAACACGATGTTGATGCAATTTACTATGAAAGGTGATGATTACAAAGACATACTAGAGGAATTCCTCTACACGATCAAATTCATATCCGAAATCAAATTTCAACATTTGAATTACATTCGACACATTCGGATATATGAAATGGACCAATTAAACATCTATCACTTGCCGTTACACTGCATGCAGGTTTACAACAAATTGGTATCCAAAATACCCATTGAGTTGGTGACAGAAGCGGTCATATTGAGCAGCATCTTGGAGGAGACCTGCTTCCAATTGGACGGCAATAACATCGAGGAAAAATTCTCGATTCCTAATACCGAGGCCGTTAGACCCCCGAATTGCCCCGATCCCCTCGTGGCCGAAATGCAGAAAGCCGCCATGTCGCAAACGAAACCCGACAAACCCGTGCAGAGTTTTACCTGCTACCACAAGGATCGACTAGGCAGGATTCTCAAAATGTACAAACCTGTTGGAAAATTAGTCTACGATCTCTCTTTTAACGTGCTAAAATGCATACATCCCTTCAATTTACTCAATCGGATGATCACCGAGAAAGAGGATAATCAGCCGCACAAGCACGACATCGATCCCAGCAAAAAAATCGATCGTAATAGAAACACAGAGGTACTTAACTTTTTATTCTCCTGCATCGAGACTTTGTCCTTAGTTTTGCTATTTCTGTGTTGGTTTTGGTTTAGTGTTTCTTGGTTTATAACACAGTGCATGTGTTTCAGATAATTGACGATTTCCTCAATTTGATGGTACTGAGCATGTTTGAACACCAAGACGAGACCACCGAAAACTTCCAACAACCTGACGTCGATAGACGGGACAGTTACATGGAGAACCTGATTATGTACGATCATGTAGCGTTTTGCAATAAATTAAGGCCAAAGTTGCACACTAAGCAGGACGATTTTGACCGCTTCGATATGTCCTACAACGTAACGCCGGTGGATTTCTACTGGAAGCAGCACTATCCTTCGCACGTGCTGATGCAGGAGATAGGCAAAGCACAGAACAATTTCTCTTACGTGGACACAACCTATTGCCCGGAAACGGATCGCGTGCTGGTCCAGTTTTCCGATTGGTTGGATGAGTTTGGACTGAATACCAAAATTTATTACGACACCCTCTCGACGCCTGTTTGCCTTAGGGACTTTTGCAGGTAGTTTTCCTACCGATTAGTTTAAATTCTTGTTATTGACTGTTTAAATTCTAGGTACACCGTGATGGAAATCGGCGATTGGCTGCAGGAAAATCCACCAGCGAAGTACGTGCGTAAAAGCGAGGAGGCGGAAATATGCAAGGGGGCTAAAAAATTAAAAACCCTAGACATAGCCGATGAATACAAGTATCTATTAGAGACAGAGAGCGGCCATTTCGCTACCACTTTAGCCCCTCACCAAACGGACGACCTCTCCAACGAGGTGTCCTTCGACGAGATGATGCACGAACTCGAAACCTACCCGACCAACACCAAGCTGAAGGAGGAATACACCAAAGAGCGGTACTCTAAAGACTTTTTAGCCTACGACTTCGGCACGAAGTACTTCGCACTCAGCGGTGCCCGCACGATATTCGTCAGCCACGACGGTGTCAAAATCAGCATAGACAATTGCAAGTTCGTCGACGATTGCGACAAGTGCATGGTGACGTTGATGTACGGCAACAACAACTTCACGCTGCATTCCTCGGAGAACTTTCGCACCTCCTACGCCTGCCACTGGATCCTTGAAGACGGCTCCATCATCGTTTTCGAGATTCAGAAGAAACGAAAAGCCGTAAAGATCGATGTCGAGGTAGGCGACGATACCGACCGAATCAGCGCTCAAGTCGAATCTGAGAAAACTAAAGTTAACATTGGTATGTACACGCATATTTTAAATATAAAGGATGTTTGATTAATACTGCGCATTTGTAGCAAACTATAAAGTGAAACGAAAGACGGTAGTCGAACCCGTGCAAAAGGAAGACGACAAATGCCCGATGAATATATATCAGGGTATCTGTGAAGCCATCGAAACGAACAGCCCCATTTATAAAATCAAGGAAGCTTACCAGGAGGTGGTAAGCGAGAAACCTGTAGACACAGTGCCTCTGGCGGCAGTTTTAGAGCGAATACTGGCGCACGTGCAAAAAACCTCTGTGAAGAACGTCGACAATGATCAGACTAAGAGCAAGCGTTTCGTTCCTATCCGATCAATAGGAGCCTCGATGCCAGCGTTCGAGAGCGCCGTGTTCAGAGTAACCCTACCAAGCGGCGTCCACGTATCCTGCCACCCGTCGTTTTTGAAAGAAACACTTGTCGAGATCAAACAAGAGCCCCTCAACACTAACATACCAGACATCAAACACGAAGAGTTTCGGTTGTTCACCAGAGAGGGCTACATACTGATCAAGAAAGTGGACGGCACGATCAGAATTCTAATGTCCAACGGCAACATCATCGATTTCGAAAAGCTCAAGTCCGACAAGGAAACGATCAGATCGTCGACCATCAAACCCCAGCACTGCAAAACGACCAGCGATTACAGGAAACGTCTGAACAAGTTCATGAAGAACGCCGGCAAAACGGACGGCGAATACTACATCAGCAGGCGCAGCAACTTGGAGACGAAACGAGGATACGTGGTAAACGAGGACTTATTCAGAATGCTGGACAACACGAAGATACCCTATCTGAAAACGAGCCTTTTGAATTTCGAAGGCACCAAAACCATCTTGGAGGGCAATAAAATCAGCCAAAAGAAACTTTACTACACTGTAGCCGAAAACGATTTCTGCGAGGAGGAAATCTTCTACGAGCGCAGAGACGGCTTCAAATGCATTTTGTACAGAACGGCGGACAAAATCGTCGAGTTCGCCGACGGCACGAGGATCACCACCAACGTGGTGATCGCCAACGAGCTGGTCGACGGCTACGTCTACGTCACGCTGCACTACAAATACGAGCACCCCCACTACGCCACCGTTATCTACGGCGAGGACGACATCCTGCAGGTGCTACTCAATAACGCCCTTATCGAAAAGACCAAGGACGATAAATGTTTGCTGCGCCTGGACGCCGAAACTACCACCACCGTCAACGCCGACCACGTCGTCTTCGAGAAGCGGTGCAAGGAATGCGACGTGCCGTTCAAGTGCACCTTCGACATTAGCGTGTTTCACTGCAACCTGCTGGAGTTTTCCAAGCAGTTCGTGCACGTCGAGGACAGCTACCTGAAGCACCTGTTTGTAGACTACGCGGGCATTTGCCGGGTCAATAAAAATTTCATCGTGGGCAACCTGAACTCGGCGAATTGCAATCACAGAGATAAGAACGTGTACAAAAAGTTGTACGCTATTAAGAAGACGAGATCCGGCGAGGAGTATTTCAGAGATAAGCTGGTCAAATCGCAAATAGAGAAGTGCCTCCTTCAAGAGGAAAACGCTACTGTAATCAAGACGGGAAAGACCTTTCCTAAAGTTAGGATCGAACACAAATATTATCAAAATTTCGTCGATTCCTTACTTACCAAAACGACCATAAACAGCCCCATAGCATTGACCAAGTACAAAGAGAGTATCTCGAAAACCTTGTATTACAGTACCATTAAAGTTTTAAAGGAAGTACTCAACCCGAAATACGTGCAAATACTGCTATCGTACTTAGTCAGCCGATTTTCTCAAATCGATCTTGATGATGAAACTCTCGATCTGATTAATTGGCTGGCTAACAGGAAAAAAGAGGAAGCGAACTTGATAGCCAAAAAGGAGCAACAGGAGCGGGAAAATCAACGGAGAGAGGAAGCGAAGTATTGCAAATGCATCAAGGACAAAAGGACGTTCGCCAGGAAGATTTCCCAATGGTCGCAGGAGTACAAGAGATTATCCAAACTGGTAAAGCAGAAAAATATACCATTGTACTTCAACTCAGACTTCTGTCAGCGTATTAATAAAAGATAGTGGGGAATTTTTTTATAATAATTAGATATAAATAATAAATGGTTTTACAAAACAAAACTCTAGTCTATTTTATTAATCGTTAATCCAGATTTTTTTACCATATTATAAAATAAACCATTGCTGTTTCTTAGCAAATTGGCGGGTGTGTCGAATTCTTTAATCTCTCCTTTATCCATAACAATAATTTTATCGCAATCGATGACTGTATGCAATCTGTGAGCGACAATCAGCATCGTGCAATCGTTGAAGTTGCTGTTAATGCTCTCTTGTAATAAAGCGTCTGTTTCCGCATCTAAATTAGCAGAAGCTTCATCGAAAACGACAATTTTGGCCTTCGATAGAATCGCTCTTGCTAAGCAAACGAGCTGCTTCTGACCAACGCTGAAACCTTCCCCATTTTTACCCACCTTGCGTTCCAAATTATGGACGCTGTTGGTCAAATGCGCTTTATCCAGGGCTTTCCACACCTGCTCGTCTGAATGTTCTCCGAACGGATCGACGTTCGATCGAATCGTGCCCGAAAACAACGCGGGATCCTGGGGAATGATGGCCAGGCCCTTGCGCAGAAAGCCCAGAGCTACTATAGATGTATCCACTCCGTCGATGAGGATTTTTCCTTCGATGCGATACAGCCTGAATAGCGTTGCTATTAAAGAGGATTTTCCCGCACCGGTTCTTCCCACAACGCCGATCTTCTGTTTGGCCGCCACGACGAAGTTGAGGTTCTTCAACACGGCGGACCTGTCGTTGTAGAACATCGACACGTTTTCGAATATTATCGAGCCGTACTTGGGCCATTTTCTGATCGTCTTTCCGTCTTTGCGCTCGGTTTCGATTTTGGTGTAGGCCAAGGTTCGCTCGACTGAGGTCATCAGGTTCTCCAGTTCGGACCATTCCCGTACGCCCCATTGCACCGTGCTACCCAGATGCATCACCTGCGTTAAGGCCAAGCCCACGTTTCCCGCGCTCGTATCTAAAACAGATGAATTTATCGATAGAGACTACTAATAATCGATCCTTTACCTGCGTCCAGGAAGATGAATCTCGTGAAGACGACGAGCATAAATGTGGAGCATATAAGGTCGGTGAAAAAACCGAATGCTCTAATGGCGTTGGCTGACATGTAGTGAGCTGATGTGTGGAGATTTTGATGTCTATCGAATTCATCTCGCAGAATATTTTCGACTTTACTCGCCCGAATTGTCGTCAAGCCCTCCAAACTAGCGTTAAGATGGCCAATCATCGGACTTCTAGCTGTTTAAAAAATGAAAATTTAGAGTAATGTTTAGGAAATAAGTAAATTTTGCACGTACTCGATGCGTCCAAACGCTTCAAACTTCTACCGGCGGGCAAGTACGCCATTCTCATTAACACCAGCATAATGAATATGACTGCACTATACAAGAGGAAACTGGTGTTTGTTGAACCTATCACCAAGATGATTCCTCCGGCTGAAAATACAACCTAAAAACACCAGGACATGAAGGATTCTCGAATTAACTAGTAAAAATAATGGAATGCTCACCCTGTAACATTCGTTGATGCAAATGGGCAAGCGTTCATCGACGTTGATCAAATCCTGAGAGAACCTGTTCAGCACGTTACCAATGTAATTCTTATCGAAAAATGTCATGACTGCGTTAATGATTCTTTTGATGATAGTTTTGTGTAAATTGATGGATGCTCTTCTGCAAAAGTCGAAAAGGGCGTAGGTTTTTATTAGATCTAATAGAGCAGAGGCGACTATCATGATGGTGTACAATTTGAAGGTTTCGTGTCGTTCGTTTCTGGCTAAATCCAAAGTACTTGAAATATTTGTGTAGGTGAAATTATCGGTGGTATTGGTGTAGAATGTTAAATTTTTTTCAATGTTTAAGACGTTTTCTTGCTTATCTACCCTGTAAGAAATTATTGTAAATAAAGAAGTATAAATACACTAAAACGAAAGACTAGAAATTTTGAGAAGTTTCTACTTACCACGACGTCAATAATTTATCAGAGTAACTCTCCGATGCTTGAGTTACTCCACCTAGAGATAAATTGAGAAAAGCTAGCAGAAATCCGCCACCCATTAAAAAATATTCCTTATAAACCTCCGTATCCACGGATCCTTTCTTCTGGGTTTCCTGGTAAACTGGTTTGCAGTACGTTTCGTCCATTCCCAAAAGCTTGCTGGTTTCGTCACATTCCAAACTATCGCTTTCATTTTGTTTTTCACCTTCTGCTTCTACTGGAGTATATATTTCGGTGAACTCTTCTTGGATTTTATCTGGTGTGGTGAAACTTTTGATTTTTCCATTTTCCATGATTATGACGTTGTCTGCCCTTTTGATATGGGCGGGCGTTTGAGTGGCTAGTAAAACGATCTTGCCTTTCAAAAATTTCTGGATGCACTCCTCGAACAAATAATCCTGCACGGTTTGATCGAGCGCTGTCAGTGAGTCGTCTAAAAGGTAAATATCACAATTTTTGTACACAGCCCTGGCCAGATTGACTCTAGCTTGTTGGCCTCTGCTCAAGTTGGCTCCTCTATCGCACAGCACCGTCTCGTCTCCGTCTTCGAATAGTTTGAGATCGTAAACAAGGCCGCATACTCGAAGCACTTCGTTGTACCTGAAAATTAGCATTGTATGTAGCGACACATGCGGCAGTATTCAGTGCATAAGTACCTAGCTTCATTGAATTCTTCTCCAAAGAGTATATTTTGCTTGATAATGGAAGGGAACAACCAAGGATCCTGCGAGGCGTATGAAATATCGCCCTGCCTCACGAAGCTTCCTCCAGTCAAGGGATAATCCTGGACCAGCATCTTCAACAGCGAGCTTTTGCCAGAACCCACGTTTCCCGTCACCGCGGTTAAACCGGTGGAAAGCTTGAACGAAACGTTATCCAAAATTAGTTTATCATCGATGCACACTCTAGCATTGGTAACTTCTATCATGGGATTGGCAGTTTTTTCCGTCTTCTTCAGCCTTGGATTGATCTCCTCTGATTTCAATAGTTTGGCGATCCGTTTGAAGGACGATAAAAACTCACCGGCTTTGCCTATTCTATTCGGAATAGAATGACCTACGATCAAATAATGTAAATTTGCTTTGAGTAATGTAGATCAGTTTATTTACCCAATGTGCTCTTGAGATTCTTAAAATTAGTGAGAATGTAGAAGAGTATACTGGTATCTGTGGCGTATCCTAAATAAATATAAACCGTCAACAGAACGTAGAAACCGGCTTTAGAAAATATTGCCCCTATCAAGATGATGACCATCTTCAAGTAAAACACCCAAAAGAGTTTGGATAATTCTTTGCTGAAATGTGTTTAGGTAATATTGAAAATTACTAATGAATGATTCTAATTACCATCTAGCGAAATTAATTTTGTTATAGAAATAATCCTCCCAAGTGTACATTTTTATTATTTTTATAGAATTGAGCGTCTCCTGCGTGTTTTGCAGACGTTCATCCGTTTTTTCTGCCATCTTCAATTTTAAATCAGTAACCACCTTGCAGAGATATGCTAAAAAATGAACAAAAAAAACTAATTGTGTCCTTCTACACATTCAATACGAAACTTACCTTGAATGGGAAGGGAAAGAGTTAAAACCACGATTCCAGCCATCGACACCACACCGATTTTCGAGTATAACAGGTAGCAAATAAGCAATACTTCTACAGTGCCCGTGCATATATCGCTGATGATCCAAATTGATATTCGAAACGTGTGAACGTCCTTGGTGACCAAATTCACTATGTTGCCTACGCTAACATCGGACAGAGCCGCGGGGCTCAGTTTCAAAGATTTCCTGTATATCAACGATGAGAACGCGGCTTTTATTTCAATCGCCAGTCCCTGCACCCAGATGATCAGATTATGGAGGTAGATGCTGTGGAAAACTTGAATGAAAAGCACCAAAGCAGCATAACAGCACGCCTGCGTTTTGCTGGTATCGCTATGACCTGGTTTGAAGTAGGAGATGAGGTTGCTCACTGCAGCAGGTTCTAAAGAACTTGAATAAAAATAGAGTAGTACGTGATGTTAAGGCAAGAAATATGTACCTTCTAATAAGCCTCCAGGTTAGGTCGATGCAGCCGATGAAAACGTACTTCCAACCCCATCGATTCCACATCAGACGCGTCATCGAAGGCGATTTTTTCTTGAATTCTTTGTCCCATTCCGCCTCCAAAAGGTCGCCGGCTTTTTTGGACTCGCAGTTTTCGATCACTTCGTAGAGATCGTTGTCCTCCAGATCGTTTTTGTACGCTTGCTTGTAAAGCCTTCCTATATACCTGCATGAATTTTATGAAAATTAATCGATAAGGAATAATTAATTAATAATTTTACTCACGCGAAACTTAAAAGGGAAAACAAGTTGGCGTTTTCCCTGGGATTTTTCCTTCTCTCAATCTTCTCGGAATGATCCATGTTGTTTAGGATGTGAATGGGATATGTTATTTTATTTCAAACAATTACAATTTATAATATTTAGGTAATGTAATGTTTTATTTCAACAAGCGTTTTATAGTATTGAACTAAGTAGGTACATACTATTTAATTATCTTTGTATAATTAGTTATCAGTATGACAATAGATTGAAATTAATTATTAAATCTTTTTTTCGCTAGGTAAGAATGGATAATAAATATTTGAATGTTAATTGTAAAAGTTGTATTTAATGCAATAAAATAATATATATCACTGATGTAGAAATTCGGTAATTTACACCATAAAGTAACACGAATTTGTTTACATGCGTAAACATGCGTTTACATGCTCGTTTACATGCGTTTAGATTTACATGCGTTCTTAATATTTTTTTAGGAATTTATTTTAACAATTCTACGAACAATTGAATGGGTATTTAAAAATATACGTGCTAGAGTTAAAATATGAATAATATAATAATTCCAATAAAACTCTGATTTTAATCTTTAGCAAGACTATTTTATAAATACCCATTCAATTTTTCGTAGAATTGTTAAAATAAATTCCTAAAAAAATATTATGAAAATATGTATAACTTTGTTTACGCATGTAAACAAATTTTTATTATTTCATGGTGTAAATTATGGAATTTCTATATCAGTGATAGATATTATTTTATGTGTTTTTGTGCATGGACAATAAAATGTACTGAAAGATTCAAGGCTCGAATTCAGTACCTACTATGAAAATGTGTGTAAAATAGCTGAAAATTTCGCGACGTTTTCAGAAAATGTTTTTACATAAAGGTAGCAAGAAAATGTTGTGTATAAAAGTAGCGAGAAAATTTTGTGCAGAAAAGTAGAGAGAATCTTTTATGCATAAAAGTAGAGAGAAAATGTTCATAAAAGAAGAGAGAAAATTTTGTGTACAAAAGTGGAGAGTAAATTTTGTGTACAAAAGTGGAGAGTAAATTTTGTGTATAAAAGTAGTGAGAACATTTTATGTATAAAAGTAGAGAGAAAATTTTATGCATAAAAGTAGAAAGAAAATTTTGTGAATAAAAGTAGAGAGAAAATGTTAAAAATGTTATTCAAAACATCGTTGATTTTTATATATTAACGAGCATTGAGTAAATATACAGTTTGATTTCTGTAACTTTCCAATCAACTTCAAAATTAATCCTATAGACTTCAAACATGACCTATCATTCAATTTTTTAAGTATACAGTTTTAAAAGTCAACAAACGCCAAAAACATTAATATCATTTTTTTGTCAAGCACGCGGCACTTATCTAACGAAAGAACTACATCTAAATCAGGAACATGCAGAACAGAACGTTAATACATTGGAGATCGTTGGTGCTCTTCGGCCTTATATTTTGGTTCCTTTTGTGTCTGTTCGATTTCATGCGCAGCCCCTCCAGCTTCGTCCACGACGAAGGTAAGCAAACAGCAAACTAGACGGGCCGATGTGATCCGATAGCAGACTGAAAAACGGATTTATTTTCAGATCGATTGAGCAATTTCACCGGTCACGTTACATTCTATAAAAACGCTAAACATTTCTGGCTCCGGTACCGCTCTGCGATAGGAAACGAGAGTCCGATTCTCGCTCTGTTTAATCCAATGTCTTGATGTGGGGCGCAGCATCCGGGTCGATTGTGGTAATTCGTGCGCTTGGAGTTAGGGTTTAGTAGACATTTGCTGGTATTTTGGATCATATATTGGCGATATATGTTGTCTAAATTCTCACTTATCATGAGTTTATTTACTAGATACATTTGTATTGCTGATTGTAGATAATTTTATAATTCCTCCCCCATATATGCCCGAAAAAATGTCTCAACGCACGGATTACTATCGGCAATCCGGACGCTTTTGGTGATTCGATTTATATTTAGTGCTTAAATTGAAAATTAGAGAATGTCCATAATAAATAAGATTAGTAAAACTAATAACCTGAATGCAGTTGTTTATTTAGTACCATTAGTAAACAAATAAATAATAAATTGAAGAAGACTTGTTTAAAAGAATTTGTAATTCTCAGCTTCCAATTCATTCAACATATTTTTATTTGTAAATTTGGCCATGCTGGTCTTCCAAAAACAGAATTCAGTTTACTATAAAATCTACTTTAAAAATAAGAACCAAGAGAATACTTGTTCTTACCAGAAAACTTCAATCATTATCAACTTTTCCAGATTTTGACCGAATCTACCACGAATTATTATTGTATGAGGAAAGCTTGAAAAACAGCAATTCCGACCGGCAGTTGATGTATCTCGGATTGATAATTCTCCTATGGATTTCGATTACGCTTTTGTATTCCACATTGTTTTGCTGGGCCACTAGAAGATTTTGGTGGACATTGAACCAGTCGGTTAACGGGAGGAGGTACCGTAAATATCACGCCATTTTCCGGAGAAAAGCTTAGTTGAAATTTTCAAGGAACAACAGAATTACTACGACCGTTACGCTTTGGTCTGGATATCATCGCCATATTTCAGCTCGCAGCAAAATTCCTATCAAAATTCAAGCTTCTACCACATGTATTGATTTCAGGAGTCATTCTCAGGAATCTCTACAGGTTTTGAAAAATTACGATTTTATCGACAGCTTATTTAACTACATTTGTTTTAGCTATTACCAATTCCGAAATTTAGATGTTCAATAGATGTTAATAATAATGAGATTAATAAACTAAAAGAAGAATTTATTAAATCCAAAGACGTATCATCGAAGGCACTAAACGTTATATCTAAAAAGCTTGTAAATCTTGAGAGACAAAATAATTTCCTGAAGGTACAATTAGAAACCACTCGTAGTGATAAAAACATTGCCCTACAAGAAATTAGAGACTTGATTGCGGAAAAGGTACAAAAATTATTTATAAAATATCCAATATTTTTATTTTAACAATTATAACTGCAATATTTTAGGAGGATTTAATGAAAACCGTGGAAGAGATAAGCGTGATAATCAAATCGAATGTGAAGTCTAAGAAGAGGGACATGGGCGCGTACGATGAGCTCATAAAAAATTGCGATAATCTGGAACGGCAATTCCAGGAGTGCTCCAAAGAGAAAAAGGCTCTAGAAAAAAAGCTGCAACGCTTGCAGGAGGAGTACAAAGATTTAAAGGAAAATTTGAGTAGGAATTACAAAAGCGATTCGAAAATAGAGGAAGAACATTTCGAGAAATTTTGTTTAAGCGACGAGGAAGCCACTCCTTCTGAAAAAAGAGTTTGTTGTAGAAATAAGGCGATGGCAAATTTGGAAACGGAAATAGATGAATATTCTTCCGATGGGTCTGTCGATACCAATCGAATATTGTGTGTTAGTAAATCCAAACATTTTCAAATTTTCTTGAAAAAATACAATATGGGTTAAATTGGAAAAAACGAAAATTATGTATTTTTTTGCATTAACATTATTTACTACTTTCCTTTGTAACTATGTACATGTAACTGATATTTGAAAGATAAAAAAAATGTAAAATTTACAAGAAGAAACATTGGCATTGAAATAATCGATAATTAATATTAACTTAGGGGTAGGTTTAAATTTTTCCACAAAAACATGAGCATTCCTTTTTACGTATTTATTCTATATTTACACGAGTATTTTTAACATTTAAAGTTCATTCGGAAAATAAATACAAAAATTGATAGAGTAAAAAAATATATAAAATAAACTTGCGAATAATAATAACAAGCAAGTTTAGACATTCTTAGCCGTTTAGCGAAATATCTCATCGATAAAATGAGTAGAGTAAATTACATAAATAAAAATCGACAAAAGAGAATAACACGAACAAAAATGAAATCGAGCCTGTTAAGTAAATCTAGCCAAGTAGAGGATAAAATTATAAATAATAAATGGCAGTGGTATACAATAATTGATGAACATCAAAATTAAACTAAATTTACATCCTAAAATGTATAAAAAAATGATTTATCAAAAATATATTTCACACTTCTATTTGGTTCGTCCTCCTTTACAAAATATCCTAATCTAATCCTTGACAAAAAAACCAACGATATAGTTCAGACTTAAATAAATTGCTTTTAATACACTTAAATCGACATGAAGTCATGAAAAATCATCGAACAGTAATCATAGAAATATAATATCGCATTATTAAACAAGTTTAAATTTAGAGCAACATAAATCCCTGCTGAGTAAAATTCGGTATATTCAAGAAAATTCAAAATTATGTCTTTATTAAATTGTAGTAACCTTAAAATTTATAGCGGCGATATAAATAGTATTAATAGTATTTTAAGCATTATGAACTACATCGTTAGTCATAGTTTTATCATTTCTGTTTTTGAGCTAGCGTTTTGAACCAGAAATACGTGCTCACCAAGCAACTCCCCGTCAGCAATGTCATCAACGCAGACGAAGCGAAAACGAAACTCCTAGTGGACATGCAGACGCCTTGGTGCGGCAACTCGAGGTTCAGCAGATCCTCCTGCAGCGCCACCCGGAGGTGTTTACCCATGGTGACGCCGTCGTGGAGCGTTTCGTTCGCCCGGCCCAAGTCTCTTCTCCGCCTCCTGCCCGGCTCCAGCTGCTGATCCGTCGCCTGACACATTTCGCAGTCGGTCTTGCACAGCTCGATGTTGCACTCGATCATAATGTCCATCACGTCGGGGAACTTGAAGGCGTTGAAGTACGCGTATGCGATTATCGAGGCACCTGTTGGACATTATACGAACTGGAAATCAGGAAATGCATATCCCTCGGTTGGCCATACCTGAGTCTCCGGTGTTTCGCGTTTTCTGGAAGGAGCCGAACAGTTTCGGTTTCAGGATGCAGCCGTCGTCGTCGGTTAGAGGGACGACGTTATCGCCCGAGGAGTCCGTAGCCTTGCAGTCTTTCACCTGCAGATCGAAACCAGGATCCCCGGAGACCGACACCACCAGCGTCATGGGTTCTCCGATTTTCACCAGCCCGTTGGCCGGCTGACCGAGAGGTCCTGCAAAGCATTGTATTAAATTACAATTACAGGCGAATCGGAGATTTAGTTTTACCTCGACCGAGTAGCACGTCGAGCTTGGCCATGGCGGTGTCGCCGCTGAAGGTGACGATTTCCTGGGACAGCATCCCGACCATCAACTGCACGCTCAGTTGCTCCTTGAGGTTACCTTCCCACAGACACCGTACAGCTCGGACGGTGTCCCATACTTCCTGGATGCCGGCCTCGTTTTGGAGCACCAAGACGTTCTCCAAGTAGCTTTGGCCTTCGGTGTCGAAGGCGTTGATGAATTCGGTGCCTAAATTTTGGATAAAGTTTATAGTTAATTGGAAAGAACTAGGAGGCGAAAAATACTCACCGCACATGTTCAAATTGACTGTAAACGTGTATTTAGTCTTTCCGGAATTTTCTACGACGTATCGACATTCGGGCATGTTGTAGTAACCCTTGGAGTAAATTACACCGTCGAATTGCCTGTTGAATTCTATTTCGATGGTCATCATATCCTTGGCGCATTGGACGTCCAAAGCGTGGATGTGAGGAGGATGTTTGAGATCTTCATCAGTCGGTATACGGACTACGATTGGTATTTAGATTAAAAAAAAATACATATTACTAAAATTTATATTACCATCAGTTCCTTCGGTTTCTCCCGTAGACTTTTCTCCTCCATTAGTTTTTGGTTCACCTTGGTCAGTAGGTGTTCCAGGTGTCGGGAAATCCGGTAGATTCTCCGAAGATGATTCCGTTGGTCTGGATCCAGGCGGTTTAACCGTAGACAAACCACTACCTCCTGTTTCGTCTGGTTCCTGTTCCGTAGGAACTGGTGTTTCTTCCTCCGAAGGAGGTCCTTAAATACAATCATTTTTACGATATAAGTATCAATATATTACTAGCACATACCGACAGGACCGGTTGGATAACTACCTGGTCTAGAGGTGGGATAACCGGTCACATCTGGTGTTTCAGGAGGTCCAGTTGGTGAATCAGTAGGTTGAGCTGTGGGAAATCCTGTTGGGTAACCGGTAGGTCTAGATGTTGGGAAGCCCGTTGGTCGTCCTGTGGGGAATCCTGTTGGATAACCAGTAGGTCTAGATGTTGGGAAGCCCGTTGGTCGTCCTGTGGGGAATCCTGTTGGATAACCAGTAGGTCTAGATGTTGGAAATCCTGTAGGACGTGCTGTGGGGAAACCTGTTGGATAACCAGTGGGTCTGCTTGTAGGGAAACCCGGACCTTCTGGAGGTGAAGTGTATACGATGTCAGTAGAATCTGGAAAATCTGTTGCGGGACGACCCTCTGTGGGTTCCCCGCCCGGTGCTGGTGGTCTAACAGTAGGAAATCCGGTAACTCCGGGTGGAGGACCGGACGGGTAACCGGTGAATCCGGATGGAGAAGAAGTAGGGTATGATGGAAATCCGGTGTCTGGCGATGGTGAGAAACTACTCGAATCGGATGGTCTTCCCGACGTGTAACCGGTAAACCCAGATGGAGATGATGTCGGATAACTCTACAATAATGACGTGAATAATGTGGTTAATAAGAATTATAAATTTAGTACCTGAGTCCCTCCGGTGTAACCCGGAGTCACTTCTGGAATTCGTATTGTTTGGTCTGTCGCGCCTCCTGGAGGTTCTGGGTAAACGGTTTCGAATCCTGGATAACTAGGCCGTTCCGTGATTGATGGTTGAGTCGAGTAACCCGGTCTCCTAGTACTTTGAGTTGGATAGGTGCCTGTAAAATTATTGCCTTCTATAGTATATTGTCAAATGATGGTTTGATGAAGTACCTTCGGGTCCTGGACCATCATCTGGTTGATTGGGTGGAAAGGTGAATGCTGGTTGGGGAGTGTAGCCTGCTGGTGGGTATCCGGGGTCTACAAAGTTGCCGTCTTCGTCAACGCCGGTCCCCTGTGTGGATGGTCTCGATGTGAAAGGTCTGGGTTTTTCGCCAGGAGTTGGAGGAAGGTATTCCCTCAGGGAGCCTTGACGAACTAGAATTAGAATGAATTGAAGGAAGATAAAAAATTCACAATAAAAAATCGAAAATATTTTTTTGATTCATTAAAAATGTCAATAATAAAATATTTGGCAAATAATGGATTATTTGTGATTTGTTAAAATATTTTAATGCAAAATTATTTATAAGTTTATGTAATGTGCGTCTAGTATAATTAATATACTTTCCTATCAATACTGATGGAGCGAAACAAAAATCGAATTTTCGAATCGAAAATATTTCTTAAGAACAAAACGTTAATTATAGTTTATAGTGACATCGTGATTATTTTAACTTGCAAATCATTTTTTTGCATTCGAATGTTTACGGGGAAATTTGGCGAATATTATGAAAACATAAAATTTAAATGAGAGAATGTGCTAAATGTTAATTTTCGAAACAATTTCTCGTACCGCTATTGCATAATTTGGAATCTACATTTTGTTCAAAAAATATTTTATCGTAAGAATACACTAAATGATCGTTGATAAAAATACCCGAAAAATATCCCCTTACCTTTTCTACCCTGATTGCCGTAAACGTCTTGTAGCCATCGTAGAATATTTTGAACCATTTGATCAGCATTCTTGTTCAGTTGTCGGGTCGTACGATTACCTATCGAGACAATATTCATTTTCACATTTCACGAGGCTCCTCAATATTCAAAAATAATGCTCTTTACCTTCTTTTTTATCGCGTTTCGTTCTTACTCTATGTTCACCCGAAACCTCCAGCAGCAGAAAGCACGAGGTGATGGAGAAGACGATTCGTCCGGATATTTTCATTCTGAAACCATCGCAATTTGGATTTTTCATTAAATACAAAATGAACAAAATACAATTTACAAACAATATATGTACATATTGAATATTTTTTATCACCCAGCAATTCCTGTCCTTAGTTTTGCTAAATGGGCGAATGAATATTAATTAAACGTGCGATAAATATAAATTAAGCAAACGAAATTTTTATGTTCTGAACCTCCAGATTAATTAATCTGGTGTGAGACCCTGTAGAATAATGCCTATTATCAATAATTGCGGGATATTTCATCGCATTTCGGTGTCGCAATTCGTAACAAACATTCACCGTGTATATGATGATACGGTTTTTTTTCGACGCTGTTGTGCAAATGCGTGCCTTTCGAATATGAAAAAAAAAAGATGCGGAGATGCGCGTTGCAAAATTTTTACTCCACTATCGCGAGCTGAAATTGTCCGTGATTCGAGATTAACATCTGTTCGCAAAGGTTGATTTGATGTTTAAAAATAATTACATTAGATAATCTAATCGTTGATTTGTTTACGGGGAAATTTCGATATCACCGCTCGCTTTATCTTTTTGCGTGAAACGTTGGAGCAACCGGAGTGCTGGTAAAAGTTCACCAGCAAATACCGAGACGTTTTAAGAGGCTTTAATAATAGGAAAAATTATATTAATTTCGATGCACGTGCGGTGTTGTCAGATTGTATATTTAATAAGTTGATCTGCACCTAATTAAAGGAAGGGTAGTTTAGAGGTATGTACCTGTAGTATTAGGTGAGTGTAGTATCTTTAAATAAATTGTATATACAGTCATTATAATTGGTCGTTGTCGGTAAATGATTTTAGAAGAAAATTATGCAGTCGCTCCTAATTTGAAAAGCATCAAAATCGAAATCGACAGCTGTTCTTTCAGATAAATAACCGTTTACGGAGCCGCAATGCATCGTTAACCTTTGTACGCGCAAATTGCCCATAACATAAAATAACCGTGCTCAATTAATATCCATCGGTTTATTTTTATCCTAGACGTAAATGAATTAATTTTACCCGATTCGAAAATTACCGCAAATACGCACCGCTACTTCGTGGTAGGTTAATCAAATTAAATAATAGATTAGTTAATTAAAAAAAATCTTGTTAATTAGTAAAAAAATCGGCGTTAAAATAGAATCTCAACGCCGAAGAACAATGATTTGATTAATGGATGCGGGAAGAATACGAAGAGAAATTTCGATTTTTTTTCTCGTTTGCTTGTTGCATCGCAAAGAGCAGGAAAAGGTAAGGAGATGCCTACAGCATGTGAAGCAGACAACGTCGAAATTTTCTCTTATACAATGCGTAAATATATACCTTCGAAAGTAACTTCGAATGATAATAATTACGAGAAGATACTTAAAGTGACAACTATTACGTAAACATAGTTTAATTGTATATAAAATAGCGAAAGTCGTGCCCCGGACTTTTCTTCCCAAATGCTACTTAGTAGGTTCATCTGCCGGTTTAATACATATTTACTTTGTATTTTATCATTTCATTTTTACGTCATAATATGTTTCAACAATGCAAGCTTACAACAACCTAAAATTATATAACACTATTAATTTGAACCTGAATAAACGCTGAATAATTATTATGCACTTATCGATATGATTTGTTGGATCATCAACTAAATAAGGTGCGTGCAGGAATAGGCTAGAAGTGAATATGAATATATGCAATTAATTGACCTTTTCATTTACTTAGAAAGAAAAATGGTCCTTTGTGCTTAAAGGCAAACTAATAACTAATGTATAGCTATCATTATGTCATGTTATATTTGCAAGGATTGCTTTTAAGATATTATAATTTTTGCTGTGCAATCCAATCAATACAGCAAGGTTAAATTTGACACTTATACCATCAAAATCAAAATAGACAAAGAAAATACTTTCTATATTAAGTAAATCAAAAAGCGGAGTTACCACAATTGCAATTTTAACAGTGAGAAAATAAGAGACTTTTAACTGTTGTAATATCTGTAGTATTTTAGTAAATGCCTGGTTAATGTATGTTTCTTTTTATTTACAAACAATTTAATCAATTTAATTGTACAAAAAGACCATTTATTATCCGCACGGCTTGTAAATGTAATGTAACCGGGGTCACCGTTTTCTCGTCAATTTTACCCAATTGTCTGAGCCTAAATAAGACGATTAGTGTAACAAAATTGCACTTTGCAATATTAACATTTTACTTGGATGTTCGTCCTCGATTTTTCGTTGCGAAATCGTTTTAAAATGTAATTTTTCTTGGCCGAGCGCATGTAATTGAAAATATGATAATTCCGCACTTCAAAGTGGATAAATCGTTGTTTTAACGTAATTGCTACAACTTGTGTTAAAAATAATGCGAAAATTACAAAATAATAACGCACCTACTTTTAGAAATAAAATATTATCTGTTCTACATGAGTTTAACCATCGAAAATCGCTCTGTAGCGCTAATTGCTTTTGGTATTAATTAGTAATGAGAGCAGTTATGAGTACCTTTACACATACACACGAAAATATGTAATTCTCATTCATGCCCAGGTATTTCGACAAAAACTCGCAGCATAACCTTCAGATAGTGATCACCCTCGTTTGCGTTTCAATTTTCACACAACTTTGAGAATATATCCACATTCGTATTGTTTCCTAACGCGTTTGTTGCTCGTTTTTTTAGAGTTATGTGCGCTTGGAAAACTTTGAATGAATGTATCCTGCGGAATACAGGGCGTTTCGCGAACTTGTTAAATAATGTGAGTAAAACCGTTAATCCATAAGAGTTGAGTCGCTAAGCCGATTTAATTGTTGGATTACTCCAACAGAAATTTATGAGAAACTTAATTGAATTACCTTGTATGTTATTCTATCGTGAAATAACAAATGAGCTTATGAAAGATTATAGATAAGTGAACAAAAGATTATAACTTACAATTAATATATTTTGAATGGATTAATTTGTACACGTAGGTACTTTAATGTGTTGAATGAATTAGAATTTTTTTTGAGACATTTCGTAGGTTTTTACTCAATAGACAAAGCATATTATAATTGCAGTATCAGATATAAATAATTTATTAATTACTACATAGTTGTAGATACTCTAATTTTTATATGGGAAAAAATTATTTAATAAATTGTATTATGTATATGTGTTAATTTTGGAACGTCAAATTCTCACTAAAAACCGTGACATGTGACTTTCTCTGCTCATTGTTTGCACATTTGCGGTTATTGTAATTATATTATTACACTTTTCTAAACCATCTGTTGCAGCACAACATTTTACTTCAATTGATTGGAGCTCATTAGAATCGTTTATTTATTTGCAATAAAAAATTAAGTAGATATTCCTTCTGCATTTTGCAATAAAAATCCTGCTGCCGAAGATGCAAACAGACATTAGAAAAATATTAGGTAGGTAATAAAAAGAAAGTGAAAACTGTGAAAAGTAGAGAGTCCGAAAATTAATTGTTGTATTAAACAATTCGCTTATACAAGAAATTTTCAATGGGATGAGAACTTTGATTTACTCGTTGTGTTGATCCAAAGGCTATAGGTTAGGCTTCTTTAATTTATATAGACTTTTTAAGTTTTGTTTAGGTAATTATCTATTCAATAAGTATAATTTGAACGAGAGAAGGCTAATTTTTAATTGTAAATTTATCAAACTTATTATTACGTAAAAGGCAATCTACCAGCCCTGAATAATTGAATAGGATTCGTAGAAACGCCTACAAGGAAGGTAAAATAAATAAAAATAAATAATAGTGTGAAAATTCATTGAGATAAAAGTTACTTTCATTTTTATATGTTTGCATGTATTATATATTATACATAGTTCTCTTTTTAGTCGAATGAATGGATTGTAATCTAATTAACACGTTTTTTGAAAATGTAGTTTTCATTATATGTTATGTATTATGAGATTTAACTATGTAATTACATTTATATAATTTAAAACTTATTTTAATTTCTGGTAATTTTTTGGTTATTTCAATAAAAAAATATAAATATTTAAAAATAATAGCCTACAAAATTTTATAAAAAATTACAAAATATTAAATCATTTAAAGTTATATAACTTCAAATAATGAAATTGCAAAAAATACATTTTTAACTAACCATAAATTAAATTAAAATGACCTAAAAATAATAAAAAAACAATTTTTTATCTACATTCGATTGACAAATAAAAATTAATAACTAATACCCAATAAATCCTTTATAAATAAATTTAAAAAAATCATAATGAAGAAACTCACGTTCAATCAATTAACATCAAAAGATAAAACCCAGCAATCGATATTGTATCAGATATCCAGCATCACGGTTCACTTGGGAATCACAGTGATTTCTAACAGCAAACCCGCGCAAAACGAGCCCCCGATCACTAACCGACAAAAGAAATAGCACTGAAGCCTCTTCAGAGATATCTTCTTTATATACCGAACGGGAGAACGGAGGAGAATTGCGGATTGTTGTCCCCCTATTTATCTATTAACAGAAGAATCCGACTATTCGCTCAGTTTGGGTCTAAAACTGCATCATTTGTACAGGATGTCCTTTTATTCTATCCTTCGAACAAAAAGGAATAAAGAACGAAGGGCAGAAATTAAGAAAGTAAGAATAAATAATGACATGAAGAAAAAATAAAGGAAGGATGATTAAAGGAAAAAAGAACCTTTCCACGTATCGCCTACTGCTAATATTTTCCACAGCCTTATCCTTCGTCCTCTTCATATCATATCTTATTATCCTGTATCATACCGTATGCGGTGCTTGTAATAAATTGTTCGGAATTAATTCGTTTCTTTCGAATGACATTTAGCTTCTTACTGGGAACTAATTCGAAATTAAGATTTACTTTTCGATTTGCAATTATATTATCTGGACGGTTGTTTATCGTTTTATTGAGTTTAAGCGAAAGAATAAACGAACGGTCGTCTTCTTTATTGCTCACGAAAAATAAAACAATGTTGTTGAAAAGTAAAAGTTGCCGATTTAATGCGCCTAGACGCTCTTAAATAACGGAATTCGATTATAGAGGGTGTTTCATAATGCCATGTTATTATATTTGTGAATGAATTTATGCGTGATTTAAAAATAAAGGGTCATATATGGACATGGATCATGTTCACTTTCTAACATATCTGAAATACATACATAATAAAGTACCTACTCTGTAGGTACATAAAATTAAGTGTTCTACTCGCTTGTATCAGATTTTCTTTCTTCTTCCACCAAATTATTAATTATGCTTTTGTAATAGATTTTTAAAGTTCAGAATGGAAAATCGATCGTTAAAAATTGCCGATAAATTTTAATGAAATAAAAGGTATAGTTAATCGTTTTATTCATGAATTCAAGGATTACTCCATTCAGCATTAAATTATTAAATAAAAACGGTAATTAAGGTATAAATAATTTAAACGTTGCTTTTTTTTATAATTACAAATCTCGGTAATCGCATCCTTAAAATTACCTTAATGCTGGGATAAATGCTATTTATTGAAAGTGTAAGTCGTTAATTATTTAATAGTTGCTAATTTGAAAGCAGAGAAGATCTAATAATTGAATTGTTGATTAGCAGACTTCAGCTGAACGTACAGAGTGATTCGTGCGAAACAAACAATTATCATTGCACTACTTGCAATATTTATTTTTGCACAGGTAGAACTTTAATTTTTAGTTAAAAAGTACGCAGAAATATTAGATTTTTATTCCTGGAATTTTTGGGTCATGGAGTACCTAACAATATTTTGTTCTTGATATGTCTTAGAACTTACAGGTTACCCTGAATATATAATAGTTTACAATTTTACAAATATTCTCCGTTTACTGCAATTAAATATTGACATTTGATGCTGGGTTAACTATTTTGAAACGATTATGTTTTCGACAAGCGGCATTGAAATTCTTTTCAAATTTGGATGGTTTTGGGGTAGAGTCTTTTATATGAAATTGAGATTTTTAATAATAACTAAGTAGGTACATAAAAAATTTAATTAAGGTTTATAGAAAAGTATTAAGCAAAATCGTTAATTATTATTCGTTGAAATCGAATCCAAAAATGTCTAAGTAATAAATCGTGTAGGTGCTGGAGCTCAAAAATGACCATTGTACTTTCTCCGCGGTCATTTCGTCAGTGCCGTACTCGATTTTTATAAAAACATTTGCATATTAATCGAGCGTTAAATATAGAATAATAGTCATAAAACATAATTCAATAATTTTATAATAACGCGCCGTTTACATTCACTTTTTAGCGATTTAAATCTGGCGAGAATCTGCGAAATTGGGCAACTTTTATACCTCCCAAGCAACATTTACTTGTAATAATTATTATTCTTATTCGGGAATGCGTTCATTGTATAATCTATTATTATCTTATTTTGTGTACCACCGTGAAATGCTCCGTTATCTTCCTAAACAATCGAGAACTTGGATGGTATCGATTCGAAACGGACGTTGAAAATTGCGCAAACGAGTGGGTAATTGTGAATTTAGTACGAATCGAAAGTAAACAGATCGAAAGTAATCGAAAAAATATAATATCGATACACGAATCTACTTTATTCTAATACGAATTTTTGCTGGACCAAAGAGAAGCTGTATATGAAAAAATCTTGTTATTTTAGAAAAAATTTCGACGTGGCAACGCCGTATTATTCAACTTGTGATGTCATTCACATATTATTCTACTCACATTTATAGACTCTATAATGTAATTACATAAAAATATCAATTGTACAAATAAATCTTATTTTTTTAGGTTACCTAATTGTTAGGAATTTTTGTAAAATTATTAATAATCGTTCGAGATGTTAAATTGACGTCGTAGAATTCGATTGATAAATCATCTATCATTTTCTCAATTGGATATTCTCGATTATTCGTAGAAAGTCAGCCTAAAGTAATCTCTAAGAATTTTGTACAAAAAAATTAAATGTTCGTGATTTCCTTAGATTGTCGGAGAAAAATGTATACATTCGAAGCCATTTGAGAAAATTATTAGTGCGTTTTGTCTGGAAAAAGATTTTATAGAAAATTAATTTGGATATTATGTTAATGTTAATGTCTCATTTAAGTGCGTAAGTTATTTATTCCCGTATATTAATCAGAGTTAAAAAGCAGAGCAATTTAGGATCATTCGAGTGAAATGAATATGTATACTTACGAATAAATTAACAATATTGCTTTAATTACAGTTTTATTGGCTGATTTGACTTGCATTTTCGAGGATTCATATTTTTTTAAAAAGTGTCGATTTCTACGATAAATTCGCTCATAAAAATTTCTAGACCTTATAAAAGAAATTTTTAAATAAACACTTAATATTTCATTTGTATCTAAATTGGCTCTATCAATAAAATTTGTAACATTATTCGTATGAATAATTAATTCATATTAATGAGAGTCGTACACATTACTTTATCTACGCTTCATTAAAAATGTGTACCTAGGCGCTAGTTAATTAAAAAATACATAACCCATTAATAAATATGAAACTGCTTTTAACACTGTGGTATTGAACTAACAGAAACCTTCTCTTTTGATTAATGATTCCTGTTAGGCATCAGCCAATCCATTTGATGGAAGCAATTTTTAAACTCCTGTTAAAGACTCAAAGGCAATCATTTGTTAAGGTTATTATATGGAAGTCTAAGGTAATTGTAACATAATTTCGATTGGAAGCAAAACGTAAACAAATTCGCTTTCGGATGAGCACAGTTTTAAAGGTCGCAGAGTTCGTTATATGCCGAATTTAAATCTTCATCAAGGCCTTAGATTTAAAATTGTTATTTACATTAAGAGAATATTACGTTAGTGCAATTATTATTAATTAATTGAGGCAATTTAGAACGTATACAGAGTGGGGCATTACTATTTGGATACAGAAGTAACCTCGGATTACTTGGACCCAAATTCAACAGTAGAATTATGTACGATTGATATTTCTTTTAGGAAGAGTGAGTTTTGGGTATTCTATTAATTGCTGTCAACAAATAATCATTATTTATTGTGAATTGATGAATTGCAATTATCACGGAAAATGAAATATTTTTTTATAATCATGTTTTCACCATACTGTATATTATCAAATACCTATCAAAAATCACGAAGAAATGCGTCGCAAGTCAAACTTTTGATCACTGGGCGCTCATCTTCAATCATGCTTAATTAACGATTCGAAAAAAAATATTCTGTGCTTTTTCCGATCGTTCTTTGTCGACTTCATTTATCAATTAACGTCGAGCAATTACAGAGCGTTAGAACCTTCGCGTTTACAAACGAGTCTAGCAATTCCGACGATGATGTTAATGTGTCGATTTTGCCGTTTTCGTCGCTTTTGCGATACAAATAGCTCGACATAAAAATCTTGTCCTGGATAAATAATGGAGCTTCATATAGACGTTGAAAGAAGCGTCGCCTTTTTCGGAAAATTTCTTCATTAAGATCGCGTCCGAACAATGCAAGAAATTTCGAGCGGATTTTCGCGAAATAATCGAGCAAAATTTAACGAAAAGTACCGAGAGAATTTTACAAGTGGAACATCGTAATGTTTTTTTCGAAAATTAACAATCAAAACGTTCTGCAATCATTCAAATAATTAGTTAATAAACGTATAGGCGTAGTTATTCGACTGATCACATAATGTGGTCGTATAGAAATTACCTCAATAGATGTAATGAAGCAACAAACCATTTTAATGGGTTCCATGATCGTAAATCAAAAATGTGTTTGTTTTCTTTCACGAAAAAGTGAAAGTTCAATATATTTAATAAAAAGAAATAATTGTACCTATTTATGTGCAGATATTATTTCGCAAAAGTAATTTGGTAATTAAAGCACGAAATATAAATAATTGTGTCAATGATCATCCCTTTGGAAAAAATTCCTTGTTGCGTAATACCATCTTACCTAAGGGTTGTTTAAAGAAAGTAAATCTTACCCTTTGCATTTTGAGCAAAATGATGCGTATATAAGGTAATATAATAACATAAAAGCAGCTTTACCATTGCGGGTTATCTATAGTTATAGAAAATAGTCTCGTACACGACGCTTGAATAAAGAAACATCCATTGTCCAAATAACAATCGAACTATAAGGAAATAATTATATTCTATAAATTTTGCTGAGAAACATATTTTTACTTCGCGTTCGTTTCCTCATTGGATTCGACATTGGCAAGCTAAAGGTAAATGAAGGTAATTAGCCAAATAGAGAAGAAATTTAAATTTTATTTGTTCGTTCGACGTTGAATTCGTACGGCTAATTAGCGAGGATCTTTGAAAAAAAAAGAGGCACTTGTTCTTGTGATAACTTCTCTGAATTAATGAACTCGGGGCAATAAAATCGCCAACTAGAGTTCACAGAAGCAGTTCTACTGTTCAATGTATAGTAAAGTACTTGCGTGCAAGTTAATGTATTCACTGATGTATGATAGATGACCTGTAAGGAAATTTATACAGTTTCCAAGATTAGAATGTATTTTTTTTCATAGTGGAGTGATTTGAATTTTTAGACATTAAAATGCATTTGCAATTTTGCTTATAAAATAATGTTAGGTACTCTATACAGGATGCCTCGTATAAGAACCCACACAGAGCAGGGGCGTGTAGGGGATCCTAATATATGTTGTTTAATCCAATTTTGGGCTCACCTACATGTCCCTGCTCTGTGTCAGTTTTTGTGCGGGACACCCTGTATATTTTTCAAATGAAAAATACCTTGGCAAATTCTATTCAGTGGTATGAAACAACATTTCATACAGGTAAATCAAAATTCTCAATTTTCGATTTAATTTGTAACCAATTACCTAATTTAGTTCAAGCGTGTAGGTACACAAAATAAAACAGCAAAAAAATACAAATAAATTATATTAAGTTCATAACTATCATCAAGATCATTAAGAAGAAAAATTGAGATGCTTAGTAGGAGATTGGGTAGTGTAGTAGTTGAAGTGGAGTTGTAGTAGTCGAGACACTGGAATTTTCACTTAGGGCCTCTACCTCTTCCTCGTCCGCCACTGGTCTTGCCCTTTTTGTTCGGAGTATTCTTTTTATCTTCCAATTTCCTTTTAGCCGGCGTAGTGGAGAGAACCTTAAAAAAACCGTCCAATCTGCCCTGAGTGGAGGACCCTTTGGCTTTCAACAGCTTTTTGCAACCATTTCTGACCCGTTCTTCGCTGAAATTTTTATCACCGCAAAGATATTTCACCATGGCTTCTTCATCTGGATCGCCCCATTTCAGCTATCAAGACCAGAACAAAATTATATACTGTAATAATTGATGTTATTTTACTGTACCTCGAGGTCATTTATTTCAGCAATTTCGGGATTTTTAAACAGTTCTCTGGCTTCTGCGAAGTTCCAGTCCTGTGGTATGGGGTATTTCTCTTTGTCGATCGTGTTTATTACATTCTCAATGGACTTGTGCTTCCTGATTAATTCTAAACCTCTCTTAGGACCGATTCCTCTGATGCTATCTGTATAATCGCATCCTAACAATATGCACAGATCGATAAACTAAAAACATAATCTCAATCACTATATCGAAAGAGACAAATACTAATGCTCACTTCTTCCTGATTCAATTCCAGACCTTCCAACACTTTGTCTAAATGGATTTCTTGTATAGGCATTTTCCTGGCTTCGCTGAAGGTGAGATGTCTGAGAAGAACCTACAATCGAGAATGAATTCACTTAGCGAAAGCCATAATGATAAATAAAACCACCTTTGAGCCAAATGTTAAAGCATCCATATCTTCCGTAGCAGCTGCAAATACTTTCCCGGCCTTCACCAAAGCAGCGCATTGCGCTTCAGCTTCGCAGGGCGCGTCTACGTAAGGAACACCCATCATCTTCAACAACCGTTTGACTTCTTCAGCGTGTGCCTTGGTAACCCGCACGATCCTCCTGTTGAACTTGTCGATTTCGGCGGCGTCTCCGGCCTCCGTGGCTTTCTCTAACGCCTTCTGGGCCTCTTGTCTTCGCTCCTGCCGTTTGGTGAGTTCTCCGGACTTCATTTCGGGGGGTTTACCATCGAACACGTACACTGGTTTCAGACCGTTCTCTATCAAACGGATGGTTCGGTAGAAGGTGCCGAGGAGATGGGACGTGGTTTCACCGTCTGCTGATGTCAGCTGGGCCCCTTCTGTTCGAACGGCGATTAGAAATTGGTAGAGACACATGGAGGCATCGATTGCTACTTTGCGACCTGAAGATAATTGTTACAATCCGCTTAAATTATAGTGGTTAAAGATGTAGGTGTGTTATAAGGGTATAATGTTGAAGTAAAAAAGGTAAATAGTGGTTGAATAGAGTTGAATAAATGGTTACATTACCAAAATATGTTTTTAATTCATGTTCCTTTAGTGCGTGGGGTGCTATATCAGCCAACAATTTGGATAAATTTAAAATTCCCATGCTTTCAACTGATTTTACACATTTATTGATAACAGTACACAATTTATGTTTTTGTGCTTGGTTTAGGTTCAGCTTCAATTTGGTTTCGCGCTTTTTATTCTCCAATTTCTAACCTTAAAATTTGACATAAACGTCACATGTCAGCTTCTTTTTTATGGACTTCACTTTGAGCAATATTTAGGCAAGGAAGATAAAAAAAATCCATAAAAAAAGAAAAACACTCGATTATTTACGTATTCAATAGTGAAAAGTTATCTTTATAGAGAAAATATGAAACTACTTTCTTTCTTTAGAGGTATCTTATTGCAAATAAAATCATAAGCCCCAAATTTCAAGCAAGGCTTTAAAATTTTCAAAATTAAAAACTCGTCACTTAAAAACGCCGAAATATCCTATATTTTGTTTATTTACTTGTAGAAAACATTAAAAATAAATAAATGGTTTCTGATATGAAACATTCCACGTAAAGGTAAATTGCGAGTTTAAATCATTCACATTTTATATAAATAAGAATTACAATTATTCCAGTAACTAAATATTTAACAATAAATCAACTTATGAATTTAGAGCTAAATTACGGGACGTTTGGAAAAGATGCGTAAATCATTAATCATTAATTCATTATTCGACATTTTTGAATGTAAAACTAAAATGATACAATTTTAAAATAAACCAGCTTTTCGAGACGACCCATATAACAAATGTTCCAAATCAGAAAGCTAAAGGTAAACGAAATAGATTTCAAGAAAAACGAAATAACAATTACAAGAGTCATTAGGAAAACATAGATAGCATAACTGTTTTTATTAAGTAGGTCTTCGATTTTTTAAAGATTCAAAATACAATCCTAGGTATTTACAATTATACATTCTACAGTTCCACAGTCACAAAAACGTTCGTTTTTTTTTTAGTTTTGAATTCAATAGACAAAATAATTTATTATCCCATGCTACTTTTGAATCATGCCAGATAACTGTAAGTATCCTTTTGACCGTCGGTTCTTTCCAAATATTCCTTTTCTATTAGAATATCTATACATTTCTGAAACAAATTCAAAACAATTTATACAGTGTAAATTTAAATTTTGGTTAAAAATACCTTAATAATGTGAACTCTCGGTTTGAACCTAGAAGACAACTGATTAAGAACTTCAGCAACTAATTGCTGATGCTTCAAAACTTTCCTCATTTTCATAATTCTAACAATCGCAGCTTGAATTAATAACTTTCTATCTTCTTCTATGTGCTTGTGTGTCGTTTCTTGTTCCATCTTAAGTTCCGTCTTCATCGGAATATTTATATTAACGCGGAGTTTTTTGCTAAAAAAACATTGCATATATGGGTAAGTTGAACAAAGATTATTAAAATAACAGTTGTTAAATTGTGAAAGTTGCAGTACCACAATATCACTATTTTTCCTTTATGTGAGACTAGTGAAAGTTGCCTTTGTTGCACCCAGAGATCATATTGAGTATAAATTTGCACCGGATGCTATAGAGAAGGTATAAAATCTTACTTTTTGAAACCTAAATTCAAAGTGACCGTCGAATTCAATGTGAGATCGTTCTCGTCGTCCTCGCAATTGAGCAATTTGGCCTTGAGTAGTATTTGAACGACTTGAATTAGAAAATCGTTTTTGATTTGGGTGTTTTCTTCGAGCTGGGAAATCGTCCAACTATCAGCCACATTGTACTGCAGTAATACGGCCATTTGAAAAGTACTAGCTTGCAAAGTATACCTATACAAATAATATCGGTTAAATCACGTTATGCAACGATTTGATATTTTTATACTTACCTATTTTTAAAACAATTTGTATTAAGTTCGCCTTTGGACATGTTGTAGAGCCAATTTAACTTTCTACCTGAGTGCTGGCCTGAGTAAAAGTTGGTAAACCTATGTATGCTACGTTCCAACTAAAATACAAGTATAAACAAATTAATAAAATATTTAATTGGAAAAATGTAAATAATGCTCACCTCGGATGGCAAACTAAAAGTAAACGATTGTTGAAACGGCCAAGAACCCGACGATAGTACTTGAATGCTAAAATCTATTCCTAACGATTCGTTAGATTTAACTAAGTGGTTTCTAAATTGTTCGTTCAGATCTTTCGATACACCAATGTCCTGAAACGACGAATACAATCATTATTATAAAACACACGAAAAAAAAAATTAGCATTACCTGGAACATTCTTTGCAATTTCGAAGTGTACTCAAACCCACAAGCCTGCTTGAGTTTTGAGATCATAGAAGCTTCGGCATCATCGCTCGCAGACATGTGCTGGACGAGTCGCTTGGCAAGCATTTTACTGTAGAACTTTTGGAACACATCCTTGTCTTCTATGTACTTAAACACAACCATCTAAAAAAGATTTTTAATTTGTAAAAACCACGGCGACACGACTGAGCAAAAAGCTTTTGGGGGCTCATAGAATCAAGTGCATAGGAGGCATTATTTGGGTTATTTCATGGCTAAAATTTTACATTAATAAAGGGTTCTACATATAAGTTTTCCCAAGATTGGAGTGTTGTATTATAACTTAAGATTATCCTTTCTTTTTTTTATCACGAATTATTTTAATCCTCATCTGGATAATATTTACAAACACAGTGTCCATTAAATGATTTATAGAATCATAATATTTGTACTAGTACAAGTTTAAACACTTTTGTTGACCCCTGGCAGAAACAATGACCTTAGAACATCGGAAAAACCGAAAAACTACAGAGATCTAGGTGGTAAAGGTCACTGAAAAGACCGGTCCGCAAACAGCAGCAACAACAACAACAGTAAAATACTTACTACTTGATTTAGTGTATCTTCGAGTTCAGCCTCTTCTGCGTTTTTGTTTGATTTCTTTAGCAATAGATCACAGTACTTGGCGAGCAATTCGGGCGATTTGCTGCTAGAATTGGCCTGTTTAGTAACCGCATTGGCGTTAATGAACCTTCCGCACGCCTTGTCCAAAGCTGCCACGAAACCGCTATCGTTGCTAAACGCCACCAACACCAAAGCGTTGTATTTCTTGTGCACCTCGAGAATGGTGTTGACGTACACCTTCGGATCCTAAACAGAAAAAAAACGTAATAAATTAGACGAACGATAAGTGTAGAGAGTAAATTTACGTTGAGGGCGCTTTCTCCGCGTCGCTCGATGGCCGCCAAACCTTGGGTGGCGATGTGGTGTTCGAGCAGCGATCTCAATTCGCCCAAACCGTCCGGTATTCGAGCGACCAAGCTGTACATCCTGCCCAAATCGGCGTCCTTGTCGTCGTCCAACAGTTGCTGGAATTCGGCGTGGAAGAGCTCCAGGTGTTTCTTGATCAACACCTGTTCGCAGGTTTTCGCCAAGCGCTCGCTGGTAGTTTCGTGCAAGTACACTTGTACGCGTTTTTGCTCCTCCAACAGTCGTTGTTCAGCCTGTGATAATGTTAAGATTAACGCGCGATTGTTACTGGTATTTTAATAAAACATTGTCGTATACATACTCTTTTCATGTATTCGGTGACAGGATTTTCCGCCAAGAAGGAGGTACTCTCTCTAGTGTAAAAACGTTCGGTATCCTCTAGAAATACGTTCTCAAAACTGTCTTTGTATACGGATAGATTGGGACCTTTAGCGCCAGGCTCCTCTTCGTTAAGACCCAATTCCACATAGCAATTAATAACCCCCGATACTAAACGAGTATTGATCGTCTCACCGTTTCTTTCTTTTTCGATCAGCTTCAGTACAGCATTAGTGACCTAGAAATCATTTGGATGTCGTTTCGAAGTATAATCTTTTTGGCAAAACTTACGGCTTTATTGAGTTGCTTGAACAGATGATCTCTCCAGGTGACTAAAGCTAATTGGTATATTTCGTAAATGCCTTTCCTGCCTTCTTCGCATTCTCTCTTCACCCAATGCCTGTTTAAGTAGGCGCAAACGCCATCTAACACCTTGCTGCAAAACTGATAATCCTCCCATTGGTTCGTGTAGAATTTTAGTACGTCTTCGTCCATGCGATTTATTCCATCCTAATGAAATGATTCGATAAATGTCGCGCATCTGTTAGATATCACTCGCTATACTTACGCCTAATAACTTAACGAGATAGTTTCTTAGAAAGTCTCGCAGTCTTTTGTATAGCTCGAGTCCGACTAATTGAGCACCACCGCCTACTTGGTTCTTTTTGCTTTTAGAAGTCGCATTGGCAGAAGCGCGGCCGTTGTTTTGTTGGTGCACCGACGTGCAATAATTATAAACGTGCGTATACAATTGTATGTACCGAGATTTGTGCATGGTCTCTCTATTGTACACTTGCTGAATGCCGTCATGTAAATCGCCCCATATTTGATCCAAATCAAATTGCTTTAAACCGGGTGTATTGTTGCCAGTAAGCAGGGAGTTTTTATTCGACATTTCTTTAGAATACTCTAACTAGATCTTCCTTGCACTGTGGACAAAATAGAAAACGTTTCAAACTCTCGTCTGTTTAAGCATCCCGTTAAATATCGAGTCTTTATATGTGAGTTGCGGTTATTAAGGGCTGCGACGCACCTAAAACAAATCGACTGAATTGATTTTAAGCGAATTACGAAAATAATTTATTTTGAAATGTCTTTCACCTTTTGTTTGTAAGGATGAAACCATTATTGCGATTTTTTTCGTACTTACCATTCAATTATAACATAACAAAAATTTGTATAACAAGTACAACTCCTGATTACAACGAAAAACTATAAATTTACAAAAAATAGGTAGTTTTTATTAATTTTTCCTTATTTCTTGAATTTCAGAATCACTAAAAATGACACATAACTGACAGCGCACTGCACCAGCACGATTCACAATACTCTGAATCTGTAAAATCACAGAACCCGTTATTATTGTTCACCAATCAGATAATCGCATTCATATTCTCTAACATTGTCTATCATTTGACTTAAGAAAGGATCACAACAACGAACGAACGACAAATGACAGGTCCAATGTCCAATGATTATCGTTCTAAAATATTGAATATTAAAAAAAGGCCTTTAAAATGGTAATTAATGTATTCTATTAAAGATAATTGCACTAAATTACTAAATACTGAATCAGAACAAAAAGAAAATGATGATATTAAAATTCAAGAATATCTTCTTTTACAAATGGTAATCGGAATTTGAACGCAGAAATTCCTGTTCCTGAAATTCTTGACAGATGTGATGACGTTTAATTGACATTTGTTTTATCGTTTTACTTTACTATTTATTTATAATTTTAATAATGGACTTTAGTTAATTTTAATTCATTTTTGATTCAATATAATCTAATTAGTTATATTTGAATTCCTTTAAAAATTAGAATACATGAGTCATTTAACAAGGTAACGATTTCAAAACTTAAAAGATTCAAATTTTAATATTTCGGTGATTGAGGATGAGTAATTTTCAAAGGGAAGGGTCTATAAGGAAGGTTTTACCCGTAGAACGAAATGAAGACTTATTACAGGAAACCAGAGAAAATGACATACAAAAATTGTATAAAACATACAAGCAGGAATATGTGATTTTAGCTGAATAGTAAGTAACTCATATTTGTGTACATTCGTATTCATTCTATTACGTTACAGTAAAATGGTTCAGAACGAAAACGTACCAGGAGTATACGTTATACCTTCTAAAGAGTCTTCGCTACTATGGTTCGGAGTAGTATTTGTCAGAAATGGTCATTACAAAGATGGTGTTTTCAGATTTAATATATTTTTAGATGAAAATTTTCCAGACTCAGAACATCCTGTAAGTACTTAAATATCCTAATACAAGGGCTAAGTTAAAGTGATATTCTTTTAGAAAGTAATTTTTTACTCAAAGCTGTTTCACCCTGTGATAAACCCAGAAACGAACGAACTCAATCTATTAAAAGCCTTTCCAAAATGGTGTAAAGCATCTCAACATATTTGGCAAGTCGTTAAATTTATCCAATGGATTTTTTACGATATGGATAAGAGTGTCGAACATGCCGTTAATCTAGAAGCTGCAGAAATGTAAGTATAAAATACATTATAAAAGTACATTGTTACAAATTAAATATGCCTTGTAGGTTTAAAAATGACACCGAAAATTTTCAAAAACTTGCCGCCGAAATAGTTAAGGAAAGTAAAAATCGTTTGTATGATGAGCCACCTGTAGATGATGAGCATTACTTAAAATTTGAACCTTATGTACCTGATATTCATGATAAGGTACGCAGTGAAATGATCAATGGGCAATTCGAAACGAAATATTCAAAGAAAGGCCTATCATGGGTGTTGCCGGGAAGCAAAAAAGCACTAACGAGGCCTCCCACGCCTCCCGTGGAGGAAAGCGAATTATGACGAAAATGTATTTTTATATCAAGAAACGTCCACAAAATTAATTCTCCTATTGAACAAACCAATATTTTGAGTGTATTTAGTAGCAATAAGGTTCATATCTTGTATTTGTATATATTTTACACACACAGCAAAATAATTGTGATGAAATTTGCACATTAACGGTTCTTGTGCAAGTGGTTTAGTCTGATGCATCAAATATAAGCATGACATTTAATAATGGTTGACTAGTTTTAAGTAAATAGTATAATAATGTTAAAGTAAGTGTCAAATGTTCATTTTTAATGTTATATTTGACAGTACTTGGTCCTTTTTTATGTACAATGCTGTGACTTGCCTGTAAGCTTTTAGACTTTTTGAAAAAATCGCAATAAAAATGCCTACTTATTTAATTTTATTGTACAACTTTACCAATACCATGTAAATACATACATATTTATTTCTACACATTTTTCTTCACTCGTACAAACTTATACACGTACAAATGCTCTCCTGGAATTTTCCTTTCAATCACCAACTCGCTTGCAAGTCCAATCACTTTTGCTATTTTAACAATATCCTTAACGTTATTCTCCTTTAATAATATCATGTAACAAACGCCGTTCGAAGACAGTAAGTTCGGTAAGTTCTTTATCACTTTAATAATAAATTCCGACCCTTTATCACCACCTGCCCACGAACGATTCAAACCTATTCCTTTAGTTTCTTTGGCTTCCGTCACAACATAGGGAGGATTAAACAGAATGATATCGAAGAGGTTTTGCTTGAAGCTGCTCAATAAATCCATCGTAATGGATTCTACGTGAGTGTTGTTCAAATTGCTGGTAAATTTCGTGGCCAAAGAACATTGTGGATTAATATCTGTGGCGAAATAAACACACGAGGTACCAAATATTTGGTGCAATGCGGAAATGATAACACCACTACCAGATCCTATTTCGACTGAAATTAAGGGCTTTAGGGTTTTCAAATAGGAAATATCTGCTTCTAGCGCATCTAAAAATAAAAATGTGTCTTCCCTGGGTTCGTACACGTTAGGGAATTCCCCGAGGTTGTATAGAGGGGTCGAAAGATTCATTTTAAGTAGATTGCTGGGTCTCATCTAATACAACTCTTCTTTTTTGTGTTTCTTTCTCCAACGACACGTGTATTCTGTTCAACCTTTGCTGTGTAGTCTGCAATATGTTGCTTACGAGCGTAACCCTCTGTTTAGCGTTTATCAACTTCTTAACGTAAATATCCAATTCGGCGCAATTCTGTTGAGTTTCCGAGATCGCCTTCAATTCTTCGCTGAGACTTTCGATGCACTGCTTGAGTTCTAATTGCGATATTCTGAAACACGTTGCTTTTTATACAAACCAATATTTTCTCACTTTAACAAGCTTCTTACCTTGTAGCGCGAACTCTTTCATCCAATTGATCTACCGTAGGTTTTATTAGACCCATCAACCCTTCGGCGAGCGTGTCTCTGGTGGGATTGTCGCAAAAATTTTCTGTGTTGTCCTCTATAGAAGTGCCTGTGCTTTCTGAATCAATATCCATTTCAAACTTAATATCAAGGTGTAGGCAAATCGTTAACTAGGGAGTTAACACGAGGAAAGTTTGAATTGTTAATAGGCGCCTAACATAATTAGTTTAGAATTGGTGGAAAATAACTAAATCTATTTGTTTATTTTTTTTTTTGGTTGGAAAATCGAAGAATGTTATTTTTAGATGACTTTGACACTATTGACAGGGCGGTGTAGAAATTTGTCAAAGTCAAATGTCAATTTTTGTTGTAAATGTTGAAATGCAGTTAGAAATGGAACTTTATATTTGTAATAGAAACGATTATTTTAAAAAAATGTTAAAACTCATCTTGCAAAGTTAAAATGTTATTAAATTTGAACCAAAAAATGTATAAAGTTCATCAAGAATTTCATGTTGTCATCTGTCATTCTTGATTCTCAATTCTCGGGCAAATCCAACGAACAACCAATAAAATAGGCCTGTTCTCTGTGGATTAAATTCTCTAATTCTGCGGAAAAGTTGCGAGTTCGACAACACCGCAAAGTCGTTTTCCCAACAGGTACGAGACACCGGTGGGGTTACCACCGAAATTCAACTTACGAGCACGGGCTCGCGGGGCTCGACTATACAAGAATCATCACTTTAATAAAATTCGTTTGCAGTCTGCACTCTAGTCTGTATTCGAAGTTTGCATTGGGTGGTGTAGTGCCCTACGCCGGAATCCCCGGAATCGCGCGTTCTTGATATCCGCGGATAATTTCGAAAAAAACTGAAATTTGTGATTCTTGTTTGTGGTCGCTTCGAGGCTACTTTTTTAGAGATTTTAATGTCGACAAATTGTGGGGCTGCAAGTGAGTAGACACCTACTAATAAAACGAATATTTTTTGATTTATGTTTAAATCCATCGAACATAGTAATTTGAATATGATTTACAGACCCGCATGTTAATATTAATAAAATTATTATCTGTGTATCAATCTAATGATCGAGTAGGTATAGGTTTTACTTAACCGGTCGTTAGTAATTGATTTTTTTTCTATATTTGATTGATGTTTATGTATGATAATAAAAAAACTCGGTTATCCATTTTACATTTCAGTTTATGTAATTATCGTTTGACATTTGAATGACAGTCAAGGCATACTAATTTTAAATTAAGTAAAATATCAATATATATTGTATAAAATACATGAATGAAATAATGAATTAGTAAAGTTCAATCTTTATTGACTTTGAGTGTATGGTGTATGCAACACTTCCGATGTAAGTATGGAACAATCTGTATAAAGTATACAATTGCCGTATAGCTCAAATAAATAATTGCCCTAACAAAATGTTAGCTAACAAAAGTAAACAGAAGTTTACAAGAGTTTACAATTATTTTTGTGTGATGTTCTCTAAGTGATGATAAACACAACAAACAGCGGAATTCCTTTGATGGGTTGTTTAAAAAAAAACGTCGGATGCTGATAGTTTGCAGACTTTTTCCTGTTTCTCATCCACATTTGGATTTTCTTCCTTTTTATACTTACTAAATGTGTATAAGTAAAAAAAAACAATACATGCATTACATAATGTAAGTAATTGTTTTATGTCGCAATGATTTTTATCATAGCTATATTATCATCAGCGGCTATCTGTTGTTATTATTGTTATTATTACTGTTTTTGTTATTATGATGTAACGCGTTATAAAACGTAGGATGAACGCAGGTATTGTCTTAAAGAATACGTAAATTAGGTATTTAAAGGCAAAAAAACTTGCTATTACAACGCTCATTAAACAATGTTTCTCTATGAATTTTTAACAGCTCTGGACTTATTTCTCATATTTATAATCAGCAACTTCAACATTTCTATTTGCTCTATTAATTTTTTCAACCGTTTCCAGTTATGTACTCAATATAAATATCTATTTTAAATGTTCGAAACAATGCAATTTTTCCACAATTGCGCAACAGCTTCATTAGGATAATAATTAAAGTGCGTTAGGTCGAAGGACCGGCTCGAAAAGATTACAACAAGCGAAGAACCGGCTGGTGCGCGCCGTCATGGGTCAGCAAATGCGACCGTTATATTATATTGAAAACGTCCAACAGAACAGAACAGACGGGGAACATATCGAACATCTTCCTTTATAAGGGTAAAACGACAAGTCACAATGACTGACAAAGACAAATAAATCAAATTGTTCCACTTTTATCCCCGTCGCAATTAGTTTTCAACCGAATTTTGAGTGATTGACTGTACCGGATTGTCGAGGGGTGTTTTATTGGGGTTGTTACACTTATATAACAGAAGGGTGTCAACTCGGTTTGTTAACACAATACCTACTTATATCAAGAACAGTTCGTGTGTAGAGAACTGAACGAATTTAATATTTACACAAAAATATGATTGAATATAAAAGATTCTAGTTAGCAACAAATAAACGGCATTAAATGGGTAACATTTATCGCAACAGGTCTTCTTCTATCTGGCGCTTTTGTTTCGCGGAAGATTCTTCGAGCGATATACAGATTGAATTATTGTTATTACATAATTATAGAAGTAGTTTATCCAATCTTAACCGTAAAAGCAGTTATAACTGCTAGCTACAAAACTTATATTTTACATTTAACGAGCCTTTATGTAGCGAAATACAGACGTTGATAATTCTTTTTTAGCAGTGTAAGTAACGACTTTATTGAATAAAATCTCGAGACTTCTTATGAAATTATAATGCCTACATTTTTTGAGTATATTTGCATTTACATTATTACGACTTTCACTCAACTTGAGCCCAAACTAATTTTTGTTTATACGAAAATTTCACTAATTATAATTTCTCGTTTGAAACCGTGTAATTTAGGAGGATAACAAAAACAATAATTTAGATGTTTGAAATTGATTGCCATAAAAGTTAGAATTAAAACTACATTATCTTCAAAATAATAGCAAATTAACGTGTATTTCTTATAAAAACAATTGAATTCGTCCTACATATGTTGTACACAAAAAACATGTGAAACTCTACACCTAATAGTTAAATTAGATGAACAATCTTGTTGAAAATTTCTAGCTATTCTAAATATTTAAATTTATCTTTTTTTGTAATTTAATTTCTAATTAATTAGCCCGCTGTGCAAATTACCTGCACAATCTACAATCGAGTTTTATTCGGGGCAGTCTCGATCCACATTGAATAGAAAATTTAACGAAACTCCGTTATTTCTCACAGCTCATCGGCATCGAATTAATTACTCAATACATGTAATCGATATTTATCGGCTGTAATAACGATACGTTTACCTCGTTGCGCAATAGTTTTCGAATTACAAGCGAAAGCATCGAATTTAACGCACCCCCCTGCCGAGCGATTTAATAGTTTTCGTACGGTAATAATTAATTTTTCTATTAATTATTAACAAACACTTTTATTTCGTTACTTTCGATATTTTTTAATTGGACGGAATCCCGTTAAAACGCGCATCAACATCGATTACAATGAATAAATTAAGCGTAAAGTACATAATTTGTTGAACTTAGATACTGATATAATAGATAGTAATCTAGATTGAGACTTAGTAGGCAAGTTGATGGGGAATTAAAAATAACTCAGTTTTCTTAAATATCAACAGAATTATTAATACATACATGTAATCAAATATGTAATAACAGTATCAAATACCTATCTATGCGATAATCTTTCTATAATCCATCTATTTATCTTATACATGGCTACTTTTTCACATGCACAGACATTGGTATACAAATGGCATATATCGGCATTTTTTTGCTATTACATAAACAGTAAAGTAGCGGCTGCGAAAGAAAAATTCAAAAAGGAAAAACCGCTTTTATATTGACCTATTGTACATTTATACGGAAACGTAATGGCCGGAATAATCGAAGCAAATAGAATAATCATCTCCAAAGGAGTTGAACGTATTTAATTCGATGCGTTGCGGTTTTTGTGCGAAAGCAATAAATTAAATTAAACGGATATTCCTTGCAAGTTTTAGGTTTTTCTATTCATAAAATTCTTCAAAGTAGGTAGATACTATAAATTTTTTGCTTCTTCTCCTCAAAGTAGTCTCATTGTATTCTACATTAGTATTTGAAATAAAATTTGTAAATACATAATATTATTTGTGCATTTGTATTCTGTAGTTTGATGTTAAAACAACACATTATTTATTATGTCTAAGGGTTATCTAAAAAATGTAAATTTAAATTCTACTCGGAAGATCGCTTCATTTTGCCGTTGATACAATTAAAAAAAACCTTGAACGGGTCGGTAACCCGAGAATCTATTCTTCTTGCGTTTCTTCGGGCGATTTCTGGTTGCATGAACTTCGGTTCAGAGTTCAGGATGGTCGTTACACGAAAATTATGCTCGCTTATATTTACGTATGTAGTACATTCTTTGCGATTATTATTAAATCAATATCTGCAAAAATAAATAATCCCATAGATGTTCAAGAACTGAAGAGATTAAATAAAATAGAAAGAGATAATTTGTAGTAAGTCTCCATAGAACATAATTTTTCCTTTGCTTTCTATAAGACAAAACCTCTTTAGCATAAAAAGAAATTACCATTTAACTAAAAAGCCTTTAGCCTTATATCTACATTTGTAATTAACAGAAATATTGAATAAAATTTTAATTGACACTACCATCAGATTCAATTAATATATTTATTATTTTCATGGTTTTATCATAGACTACTTCTTTTTCGTAATTTCATTTCCTGTCGCAATCTAACCTTAACGGCTTTTGACCCGCCATTATTTAATAAAATCTTTTATTCTATATATTTGAGATGAATGCGTATCTGCATCGTGTTTTTCGTCTTCGAAATCTTCGAAGTAATGGCGCACAAATTGTTTTCGATTTTTTTTCCAGTCGGCTTTTAGTGGAGCTGTCTGTAGAATAAGATTTATGGAGTGTCTCAGATAACGATTAATAATTCATTCGTTTTGTAAAAATTAGTTAATTTAAATTCATTAGTTCGAATTTCGGTCTCAAGCGGTGCGTTATGGAAAAAAAATCTGATAATCATTCGACTCCAAATGGAGAAAGTAGAGGTGATAAATTGCACGATACTTTGTTCCTGCAATTTACGATTTACACAGGTGAGTTTAGCTTGATGATGATATTCCACACTTGCAAAAATACTTGGAATTTTTTCTTCCAGGATTACTCCCTCTGATATTCGGCGGGGCGCATATAACATGGTTGTCGTCTACCTACCCTAGCTTAATAAACAACAATAGCTCCATCAACCCTTTGACCGAACCCGCTGACCTGACGGATATCTCGCTCATCGGGGGTTTACCGATATTCGCCGGTCTGTTGGGACCACTTTTTCTCATCAAACTATCCGACAAAATTGGTAGAAAAATGTTCCTGCAAGCCTCCTCTTTAGGATTATTCGGCTGCACCATAGCCCTAGCGTTTGCTAACCATGCAGTCCAAATCCTAGCTTCTAGGTGTATTCTATTCATAATCCTCAACGCCTACGGGGCTATAATCCAAGTTTACATAGGCGAAATCTGCGAAGAAACAAATAGGTCAAAGTACCTTTGTATCATGGGGGTGTGCCTACCACTAGGCTTCATTTACGGGTATTACTTTGGTCCAATATGCTCCTACAGGATATTTACTATTATCCTCAGCGTTCCTCTACTGCCGTTTTTTGCAGGTTTCTGTTTTGCACCTGAAACTCCCGTTTACCTACTAGCCCGAGGGAAAGTTGAGTCGTGCTTCGAGGCATTAAAAAAACTTAGAGGGAACAAGAACGCCAAGGAACTTCAATTAGAATTGGACAGGATGCGCCAAGTTTTAGTGGAAACTAACGCCTCAAGTGCGGATAAAACGTTGCTGCACTTGGTCCTATTCCGGAGGAAAGAAATCCGTCTAGCAGCTCTGATTACTGTGGGTCTTGGTATGGCGCAACACACGTGCGGAATGTCCGTCACTACCACCTACCTAGGACCTCTATTAAACGAAGCTCGAATTAATTTATCAGAAAACACCATGACCGTTACTGTCGCTGTGATCCAAACGTTGGGAGTTTTGAGCACGTCTTTTTTCATCGCGAAAATCGGAAGGAAGGTCCTCCTTATTACGTCTAGCATCGGCTGTGGAGTAGCTTTGTTAGTTTGGGGCTACTTTTACTATTTGAAAATCGTTAACGAAGAGTTAGCGTCGTCGTTTACATGGTTGCCATTATTAGCTATAGTGGCGTACAACGTGATGTTTTCCGTTGGTTTGAGCGCTGTTCCCGTGGCTCTAATTAGCGAGATCTTCCCCAGCGATTTCGTGCCTGCCGGAGTTTGCTTGTACATTTGCACCCAGGGGGTGTGCGCCTCTGCTGTGGTCGCAACCTACCCCTTACTAGCCAGCAGTTTGGGGGTTTATAACTGTTTGTGGATGTACGCGGGTTGCAGTTTAGCAACAGCAGCAGGGATTTACGCGTTCCTGCCGGAGACCAAAGGGAAGAGCGTACCCGAAGTGCAAGAGATGCTCAGGAAATTCTAGATTTTGTGTTCTGCATTTGTATGAAAACAAATTAGGTATTGGTAATAGGAGATTGTTGTTGTTGCTAGATTAGCATGAAAGAATAATAAATTGTTATGTTTTCGTATTTTACTCTTATGTTTAAATTATGTGAAAATCCTCTATTTAAAATCCCGTTTAATAAAAATATTGATAGCCTTGGGTGTCAAAACTGACAGATATACCAAAATTTTGACACATAAGTGGAAATTTAATTATAATTAAATAGTAGCCTATGATGACTGTCATCAAATATGTCAAATTAAACTAAAACTACAAACTATTAAGCTTGTATATTAATAATATAATGAACAATATGAAAAGGAGAAATGCATTTAAAGCTACAAATTACAAATAATGCCCATAAGATACGAACCTACAATCTTCACATTTATACCTCCATGAATAATTAATTAAATTTACTGATGGATATGTCATGGATAAACTGGTCTTCCACTCTTTCAGATGACAGCCATTTAAGAGGATTGGTAGAGGACTTGGAGATGAGGCGGCGATGAGCTTGAATTCGGAAGGGGATCCACAAAATATCGATTTACATCCACAAGCATCCGCTTTCGATGTAAGGCATCCACTTGGCAATTTGTATTTTATCGTAGCTTTCTCGAAACAAATGTTTAGTATATTACCAGATGGTGCCGTTTTTTTATTACACATATCATCATTAATGCATGAATGTTAATCGAAGCCAAATATTAATTGTAAATCGCGAAATTTATGTGTATTAAAGAGTTTTTTTCCTGTTGAGAAAATAACCGTCCCCTCTCGAATAGGAATTTATCCTTGCTATTATTTCTTGAGCAATTATATTCAAATTTATTCCAAGATCACTCTAATACAATGCGATATACAAATCGGCGCCAATCATCCGTAGGATTCTATTTTATTTCGTTTATTGTTGTTCTTTAATCTATTATTAATTATGATAATTCCATAGATTTATATGCAGTTTGCATTAAATTGTGTACGTTTAGCGAATTCATATACAGAGTGTACAAATTATCAACGAATTTTCTACACTTATCTAGTAAAAATTCGCATTTACTCCTCACTCTCAAAATGTTATCAACAAACAGCTCGGAGCAACAATGAATAATTTAAAGTCCTGGGAAATGGATATACACATGTCTTACATCAAAATTCGCTGTTAATTATGGATTTCAATAGGAGAAATTACTCGGATACAGTGAGAACGAGCACAATTGCATTTGTTTACTAAAGTTTCAAATTACTGTGAAATTATAATTATGCTAATTTAAATGCTCGAACAACAATAAACATTAACTCACTTTGCCATCATCCGTCAACCATTGTTAACATTTTGAAAATAAAAGATTTTTTTGAACTTGCGAATTAATAGGAGATTATGATAAGGTTGATAATAATTGTTTTTGTTACAGTCGCCAGTTATACAGCCCAGAATGGCCCAATTAGAAACATTAGAAGCTAAGGTAAGCCTCATAACTTAATATGAAATTATAAACTAAATCTGAGGACTGAGAAATAAAAAATTGGACGCTTAAATTAGATAAATAAATTACTACTTAATTAGTTGAAGAATAGACAAATTAAGTACGCAGATACCCTATTGTTGAACATCGGTCATTTGGAATTTAATTGAATACCACATGTATAAGAACAGTAGAGCACAAAAAGAAAAAGTATGTCTACGATGTTGTATAATAAAGAAATTATTTGAGAAAAATGTAAAAACCTATTATAGCTGTTTGTGTTTTATAAATCTCTAAGTGGTACACCTTCGTTAAATTTATACTCATAGAAACTTGTCCGAAACGAGGTCGAATTTTTGTCAGGTACGCCGTAAATAAGAGGAAGTCATATTTTTAGTTCGAACTATCAGGTATTTAAATAATTTTAATTGACTTATTTGGTTTCAGACGTCTTTGGGTAAATGGATCAATTAAATTCAGTATAAACGGGTTATTTCATTACGAATTTTGTATAAATTATAACGCAGTTTTCGAACTCGATTCAGTAAATTTTCCTCTAGTTTTTTCCGAGCACTTTCTGGATTCCATTCCATCATTATATTTTTGTCTGTTAAGCGATCTCTTGTGCTCCATTGCACGAAATCGTATCATTAAATACCCATAGCATTCTTGAATATTCTAATATCGCCTCGAGCGAGGATTTCGTGTAAAAATGCCGCAACCCAGGTATATAGTTTTAATTTCAAGAGGTAGTTACAGACAAAAAGGTTAACTACCTTAAAAAAACCTCTTCTACCTTCACAACATTAAAGATTTAATGCATTTTTAATATTACTGATGGACTATGTAATGGGATATCAACAAATCCCTTTTCTTTTATACACACCATGCAGATAAGCGGAGCTGTTTCATTAAACAAAACACCTCACTATTTCTTTATCTTCCTCTTCATCTTCTCCGAGTCGAATAGGGAAAAAAAGGAAGAAGTAAAACCAGTCCGACCAATCTCCTCCCAACGACGAAACAATCGTAATGTAATGATTAGTTTCTTTTCGTTGTTGCGCTTCCCCGCAGTTGAAGTTGAAAAATGAGCCTCCCACATTCGAATGGCTTCACTTCGAGACTGCGAGAGCGCTCCGTCCACGCACTTTTGCAACTTATTTTGACGTTTTGCAATGCGCGCACCATCGCCTTTTGTATCCGAGGGTACTGTACTTTATTATTTTTAGCTCCTGAAGGATATAGTTCACAAGCGGGGATGGTAAATTGGGCGCAGAAATATACCTATCACTGAGAGCTTAAAATAGACAAATTGAGTGCAGAAATATATTTATTGCCAGAGAGCTTCAAATAAGTAAATTTTGCGCGAACATTTTTCCAGGTAGAAAAGGTGATTAAGACAATAGAAGGGCTTAGATGAGAGAACAAGAAAATATAGTAGAGTAGAAAAGAATAGTTTTATAACGTAAACAGTAGTCATCAAATTTCCATTTATTGAATTTTTTTGCATATTTTTGACGCCGCTGATTGGAATATATTCGAAGCACTTCGGGCACTGCCTACCTCATAGTTTACCAGCCTCGATTTTGAACTCCTCGCAATCTCGTAATCGTTTTTCCATGCCGTTAAAGGAGAATTTTATTGCCCAACGTAAAATCGCAACACTGTTATGGGATAAACATCAAACGGCGTATTCTAATGGAATTATGATTAGCGATAGGGCGAGTTGATCGAAATAACAAACGACCATACACTCTGCGTATAAAACGTGCCATTTAAAATCGCCTATGGCTCAAACGTGTAAACGATGTTCAACTTAAACCAGCGGTGACGTCACGATTACGCCATTACCCAGATAAAACAATATATCATTTGATAAAATGTTTCATAACTTTTCCAGATGGCCAGTATAGAGGTGTCCCTATCCAGCACGCCGAGACGCAAGAAGAACGGCAGCGTGTCCGGCTTGAGTCTCTCCTCCTCCATTCAGTCCATACCCAAAGAGCTGGCCGTGAAAGAGCTGGAGAAGCTCCGGAACGCTTTGAGGGACAAAGAGAACATCATACAGAGCCTCAAGGGCCAGCTGACCATACCCGGTTTGAGATTGAACGCGCTGCGCAACACGGGAAGCGGCGGCGCCAAAGAGCTGACGGAAGTCGAGAGAAAACAGGCGGAGGCCCGATTGAGCCGGCTCAAAACGGACATCGATAACAAGAGATTGACCATCAAGAATTTGAAGATTGCCTTAGAGCGACTCGACATTACCGAGTAAGTCAAATATCGATTTTATCAAAGTATGAAAGAATATCATCTATTAAAACAATGTTTTCTACTTGAACGAATTTTTCAAAATTATACAGATTTTAAAGAATCGAATAAAAGTTTACAGGAAATAAAAAAACTTTTCATAAACGTACGTTATAATTGAATAGTAATAGAATGGTGGCAATAAAAAAGCTTAGTGTAAATTGGGCGCAGAGTCCCCAGAAAAAGCCAAAAATAATTCTTTTGATGATTGAGAATGTTTATTGACAGCAAAATATTTTCTTGCACATATTCTCTTTCAAAACAATAATTATAAAAATTAGAATTCCCATGTACACTACACTACTCTCTTCTACTCTACACTACTCTACTCTCTTCTACTTTTACTATACTCTCCTAATACTCCTAATACTCCTTCCTACTCTCTACTAATGTACCTACTCTTTTCTAATCTACACTGCTCTTCTCTCTTCTACTCTACACTACTCTTGTCTTTTCTACTCTACACTACTCTTCTCTCTTCTACTCTACACTACTTTTCTTTCTTCTACTCTACACTACTCTTCTCTCTTCTACTCTACGCTACTCTGCACTACTGAATACTACTCTACACTACTCTATCCTAAATTACTTCTTACGCCCAATTTACCTATAGGATTAAAAAAACCCTTATAACCCCTTATAACCCTTATATTATAAACCCCTTCAATTTACCACCGCTTGCATAAAATCTACCTTTATAATTCCATAATTCAATAAATTATTTAATTAAACTTTTTAGTAACATCGACGTTCGAATACAGCAGGCAGAGCTCGAGTACCAACTGGGCAGGGAAGAATTGAATTTGCTGACTCTATTGGAAGAAACCAGGGCGTTGCAATTGTGTATCGAAGAGTCTAACAAGAATTCTTCGGAATATCACACCCTTTACAGGTTGGGTTCCTACTGGTTAAATTTTAGAAGCATCGCTAAATTATTTCTTTTTAGTTGCGTAAAAGGTAACGAAACGGCGACATTGCAAGCCATACAGTTGGATTACGATGTAAACAATCCGAAGTTCGGAGCGGGGCCCAAAGATTCGATGCCCGGCCTGTACGTAGATTGGGCTCTGGAAGAGACGAATTTGTGCAAAGGTGACAGGTAATTTTCTAATTAAAATTCAATTATACAACATATATTACGTCGAAAGTAGCGGAGAACTGTCCGAGGGGGAGAAGTATCTGTTAAGAATAAATACTATACAGGTGTGTATAGTGTGAACAAACCGGATACACGGGTGGCGGCCCTCTTGATTGCCTTTGTTGTTCTCATCGAAATAATGGGTGTTCCGGTGAGCGCTTTATATAAGGCCCCGTTGCCAAGCCCATCTTCCATCAAAATGCTTACCATTTCTTAAAGCACTATATTTATGCAAATAATACTATTATAAGAGGTGATATTATATCTAACACTTCTATTTGCACGTTTTTAATCACATATTTTCAATTTATTAAGACTTGTAAAGCGCTTACTTTTGCACCCAGAAGTTTCGGAATTATTTGGATTTTTTTAATTTCCGGAAAACTCTATTTTCCCTATAACTTTTCTCTCCGAATTTTCACGGATGTGCTGTATGCGAAAGGTCATGTGGGATATTAAGAAGAATGTTGTAAGAAAGTTTAATCAAACTCGACTTTTCAGTTTACGACAAAAACACGAAAAATAGCCTAAAAAATGCGGTTTTTCACCCGGAAGGAAACTTTCCAAGGTTTTGAAATGTCGATTTTCCGATAGAGCGTGTCGCTTTACGCCGGGTAAAGTTATTTCCCGCACAATTTTCCTTCCAATAAAGCCGCGATAAATCACCAATGACTCAGCCTATCAATCACCGAATGAATAAATGACCATAAATAAACCTATACAACCGCATTGTTATACAATACAATAAAAAATCTGTTGCCAAAAAAATTGTTTACCCGTTTCAGATTGATTGAATTAAACGGAAAAATCGTCCTGAACAAGAGCCGCGAGGATTTGAACCGACTGCTGGCGGCCGCTCCCGATCCCGCTCAGATCGTAGTGCTCAGAAAATTCCCCGAAAACGAGATACCGCTCAACGGCAACGGCTCCTCGAGCGAAGCAGGCGCCCTTCGAGCTCAACTCGAATCGCTCAGAGACAGAGCCGACGAAGCTCAAAAATCCAAAGAAGGATTCAAGCAAGACAACATCAGGCTCACGCATCGAATCTCTTACTTGGAGGAACAGGTAATGATAATAAGATAAATACGGTAGTATCTTTTTAATTACATTCCGTTCGTTATCAGGAGATTGTAATAGAACCTAAATTTGAATGCGAAAGACTCGATGAACTTTAAGGCATTTATCATTGTGTAATGGAAATGGTTATTTCACTTTAGCAGTGCCTATATTGTACTGCCCCAAGAAGGTTTTATTACTATCTCCTGATGGTGAACGGAGTACAATATAATTTACATTTATTTGCTATATTTTATCTCTTAGGTTTCTGAGCTGCTCAGTCGAAAGCCGCACGAACACGAACCTAAGCAGGTTCCTCCGGCGACTTCATCTATATCGAAATCCAGTCACAACGTGACCAACATCAACATCAGAACCGAGGCGACGGCGAACCAACACCGGCAGCACGTCAAATCAAAGGACAAAGAGGACGTTTGTCTGCCGATGAGATCCAAAAGCAGCCTCTCGAACGTCTCGAACACCACCATTTCGACGCCTAACACCGACAAACTGGCGTACAGAAAGCACCACCATCACCGCCACCACAGGGACTCGCACGCTCACAGAGAAAAAGACTACAGCTCGGAGACGAATTCCGCGGTCGATCCGAGACACCAGCGACACCACCAAAGCCGAGTCGGGTATTCGGCGGACTTTGCGCGCGCAAACTCCGAGAAAGAGTACGCCGGCGGATCGGACGTGGTGGACCAGAGCTACAAGAAAGCCACGCAGATCGTGCAGGAGCTGACGCGCGGCCCCGACAACCGGGACGCCCTGTACGAGAAGCACCGCAGGCGGTGCATCGCCGCCGCCGAGAAGTACAACGCCGATCTGCTGCGGCATTACAACGCCAGGAAGTCCACGTCGGTGCTGGATTTCCGATCGGAGATCCGCATCGGGCCGAAGAACGGCGAGGAGGCCGAAACCAAAAACGGGAATACGTGCAGGAGCGTTAAATCGCTCGATTTCGACTTTGACAGCGACTGCAATTCGACGAGTAATCATCGCAGGACCGACTACACGTCCGAGCCTAACAACAACGAAAGGAAGTCGTACTACGAGCAAGGGTCTCAAGCTCACAGGCAAGTGCAAGTACCCGTGCCTCCGAAGAAACCGCTGCGGTTGTCTCTGTACAAAACGCGCAGTTTCCAATCTGTAGAGGCTAACAGGAGCAGCGATAATAGGAAGTCTGCCAAGCGAAACCACAAAGGAGAGGCGACTGTTGCGGACTTGATGCCGCAGTACAAGAACGGTTTGGATTATCAGATAAAGTGGAATTGCAGAAGGAGTTTGGATAATAATTTGGAGAATGGTAGTTGGTGTTGAGTGCAATTAAATTACGAACTTCTTGCGAATTCGAAGTTGAATCAAACGCAATTATTTTTTTCTACTGATTATAGAGAGCCTTTTTAAGTATTATTTTTATTAATTCTACGAGATTATTGTAAATATATTTGAAGTATTTACCTATGTATTTTTTAAATTCGATCATTATGGACTCAAATCGTACAAAATTATTTATGTAGGTACTACAATACTATTTTTTTAATAAAATCCTTTATTTTATAGCCAGCACTAAATATTTTCATTTCATTACGAGTTTGTAACGAATAAAAATATTTTAATTTAGTTATTGTGTATTTTGCCTTATTTTTAATACAAAGTAGGTATTAAATGAGATAAATAGTATATAATTGCTATTAAAAGTATGTGTAAAATATCAAAAGTAAGCTACTCATCATCTTGAGCCTCTTCAGTTTCATGTTGATCAGGGTAAATTCCATAATGAATTTCGTTCGTTTTCCTGTAAGCCCAAGCCATTTTTTCGCTGGTAAAGAAAACACCGACTTTTCCTTCCTTATCCAATGTAATTGCTCCTAAAATAAATAAAAAAATTAAGTTCTTGTTCAACACACAATCCCAATTGTAAATTTACCTGCGGTATTTTTTAAGCGAGCCGTCATTTTCTCCAAAACATCCTTTGTAGCCTCCTGAGCTGTTTGACCGTGCATAATTTCCCTTATGATAGAACTAGCCAAGCAAAATTTAGCTATGGTCTCTCCGTGGCCTGGAAAATTCTAGCAATAGAATTTTATATTGCTAAATAGAACTTTAAATCCACTCCTTATAATTGAGTACCTGTTGTGGAAATAGCCGCAACTTCATCATCTGCGTAAGTACCGCTGCCTATAATGCAAGTATCGCTACTCCTACCCACCATCTTGCCGTTTATACCGCCTGTGGAAGTAGCTGCAGCCAAGTTTCCATTTTTATCCAGAGCCACGGCGCCTACGGTGCCCACATCTCCCGGATTCTGGAAGATAACTTAAAGTATTTCTTTGTGGGAACCGAGGAGAGTATTTTGAAATGTATATTTCACATAGAATCTCGAGATTTTGTACCTACTTTGTGACCGATTTCCGTGAGTTTACCGCCTTTCTTTTTGAAGTTTTCCAAAGCTTCTCGCGCAGCTTGCGTCACTAAACTACCGGGCGCGACCGTCGGTACTCCGTTTTCGCTGGCAAACTTGTTTGCACCAGCGCCCGCTAGAAGAACGTGAGGGGTCTTCTCCATAACAAGTCGAGCCAAACTAAAAAAATAGTTCAAAATAATACACTTATGTGAAAACAAAAATGAAGTACCTGATGGGATTTTTGATGTCTCTGACGACCGTTACAGCACCTGCGCTTAGAGTTGAACCGACCATTATGCTGGCGTCCATTTCGACTTCTCCATCTAAGTTCAATACCGAGCCATACCCTGCAACAATATTCAATGATAGTATTAACTTACAAAAAAAATAATGGAAGTACCATAGAAGACCATCTTGATAGTCATGTCTAATACAAGGAACTCCGAAAAAGTACCTTTGTAAGAACCGCTTGTAAGTATCTTAAAAAACTTTCTTCACTTACCGGCGTTGAAATTTTCATCATCTTCCATATACCTAACGGCGGCTTCCACCGCATCCAAGGCAGTACCACCGTTTTTCAAAACGTCGTACCCCATTCTCAATGATCGTTTGCAACCACTTATTTTCCCGGGTACCCTGGCGTCTGGAATGTTTCCAGCTCCGCCGTGAATAAGCAATATGGGCTCCATTTTGCTCCCGTTACAGACGCTGCTAAACTGAAATCAAAACCACTCTGAGATAGGCACAAACACAATGTGTTAGTTCATGAATAAACGCCGTTAATTGTGAAAAGCTATTAGAACGGAATCGAGCTGATAAATTATCGTTCTACCTCCGTTTCGAAACGATGCAGGCGAGTTCGAGCGACCATACACGTAAGAAATTGCTCATTTCGTTTTCCAATAATTATATTTTTGAGTTACTGATGTATTTATTTTGAATAATGGCATTAAAGTCAATGTCATGTTTTATAATTTGTTGCAATAGTGAAAATACCTGTACAAACTTCGTCTGATTTTTGGTATTTTTAATGCCTAACTGTACATTCTATTTTAATTATAAAAGTAACTTTTATAGGAAAGATAAACGCTAATTGATTTTTAATACCGAATACTTAACTTTTTCGTGTATGGATTGCTTTATGCACAATTGAGATAAACAAATAGAACAAATTAAGATACGCGATAAAAGATAATACATGTAAATAAAGTTTGTGGACTTGTGGTAAATGCTCCTTTTCATACAAGTTATCATTAAATAATTCAATCAAATACAAACTTTATATAATTTTTATTTTTATCCTGCGCAAATTACTTTTAAAACTTTTGAAAACGACATTTTTATTATGTTGTAGATTTTGCAAAACTTTCTTATAGTGGTGGATAATAAATTTTCCTTGTGATTCAACTTAAAATGTACTTTTCTAATTTGTTAGACTATCTGCGGAATTATCAGGACTTAATCAGGATTTACCTAATACCACGAATCAGGCAATGGAGTAAGGAACAGAAATCTTTACAGATTATTAGAAAATATCTAGGAATTTTCATAAACCCGTACCTCTGCATTTATATTAAAAAAATTACAAATTTTCAAATTTTTGAAACACACCATACCATCTCTACGCCTCTTTAATAAAACAAATAAATCATTCATCATACTTATCACACATTTACTGTCATTTCGTTCGTACTGCTGAAAAAAAACAACTACAAATAAAATAAAAAAGTATACTCGTATAATATAATCCTAAAATACCCGATGCACCAGCGTTACTGAATAGAACTCATATTTCAAATAATATAGTTACATAATAGAGCAGATTTCGAAATGATCCGAGCCCATTGAGCGGGCTCTCGTTCCGCTCTCCCCGTCGGCCGCCCAATCAATACTGCGACGCGACGCCCGACGTCGAGGATTTCCGAGCGCCGCGGCGCTTCTCGCCTCCTCCTCCTAGGCCCCGACATCGGCGGTTTCGGCATCATTCGAGCGATGGCGAGCCGGAGTCGGTGCGTCGCCGAGAAACGCGAACGCGAACGCGACCGTCGCCTGCACCACCTCCTGCTCCTGCTACGCTACAGTGTCAGTGCGACCGCTTCCTCGTGGCCGGTGGCGCCGTAACCGAGCTATGCTACGCGATCATGACGCCGCCTCCGACGGTCGACGACGACGACGACTTGGAGGAGATCGGAGGGTGGTTGGAGAGGAACCAGGACGCCTTCGAGAGGTGCGTATGAATTCATGGAAATTCACTAATTTTCTCTATGCTCTAATAGGATTATATGTGTGTTTGTGTGTTTGGGGTTGCTTTGTATAATGTATTGAAAATGTCATACAGTTTTAGAGGATTTTACAAAAAAAATGTTTTAGGTCTGTTTATAAATGATTATTTAATTTTGTTACCAAATATTTTGTGATTGTACAATTCGCACTGATAATTTCTGATAAAGACGTGTTATGTTTTCTTTATAGTTGAAATGTAATTTGCTCGCCAAATTGGGATTGATAAAGAGGATTTTATGATAGATTTTTTTTAATTGTACTAGCTCATTTGAAAATTTCTATTAATTTTTGTATGTCTTAATAAAAATTTAATTAACTTATTTGAAGAATTTACATATATGAGTAACGTATCTGTGTATTAAAAGTATTAGATAATTTAAATGCTATAATTTAACCTATAACTTTGGACATTATTTTATTCTATGCAATTTGTATTTTCCTTTGCATTATTTTTTTTATTAGTCTAGGTCCTTACATTGTGTATTCTACTTTCTCAATTCCCATACAATTAGTGTTTCATTTTACAAGTAGTATCTTTTAATTATGTGCTTATTTTATATTATAAATAACAATATTCCTTTCCCTGATGATGGTTGTATGAAATATAAAAATTGTAAAAAAAATTTACATTATTCAGGGTATCTACTGGAATAAAACTTATAGCCAATTTTAAACAAATCTTACTTTTACAAGTCTCCCTTATTATGAGTTCAAAAATCAAAGCTTCAAACTAATAATCTTTATTTTAGCCACAATTTATACCCCTAAAATAACTTAAATTCACTAAAACCCTGTATATTATAAACTCGTCCATACAATATTACACTTCCCTTAGGATTTAAAACCCATCATCAGGCGGAAAACTCGAGCCATATAGCCGGTTGGTTTTGAATTGAAGCGAGTGAAGTATTTTGTATTATTTTCAGGTGGTTGAAAGAACAAGCCTCTCCGGAACTGAAACAAAGAGTCCGAAAGGCTTTGTCGCCGGAGAAAGCCAAAGCGGGGCACGTAGCCAAGAACTCGAATATATCGTCTGATATTTTCCAACTCTGGTTGGCCGCCTCGCCGGCTAACAACAATCAGCATTTACAAAACGTCCGTCCCGATCACGATTATGAATCCCTGGAGGTATGTAAAAGAGTTATCCGGACATTGATTATTGGTATATTCCTACACCGTCTTACATAATTTCGCTCTTGGTCGAGTTCAAATATATAGTTAATGCGTCAAATGAATTTATCTAATAATTAACTGTATTTTTATGGCCGATATATTACTATTATGTTTGGCATTAAGTTTCTAATATCGAACCGGCCTCATCTCATGAATTTTAATGCGAAACAAAAGCCATTAGAAGAAAATATATGTACGTTTTGTGTACACGGGGTATTCCTTTATTATAGATAATTCGTATGTACGTCGTGTATAAATAGTATTTTTATGAGCGACTAAATATGATATTAAAATTAACGATCGGTTGGCGTGCACTGGTCAGGATGTACCGAAAATGGATAATTTTGAGTCAAAATGGTTAAGGTTGTTGCAATTTGTTTCAGTTAATTTCTATACGTAAGTTTATTTACTATACACTAGTTCTAAACTTCATAAGTTTAAAGTAAATATAACTAACCTCTGTTATTTTAACTTTAAAATTTGCACTTACCCGTATATGGTTACTTATTTTAGAAGAGATAAAGATTTTACTTGTATATTGAGATTTCTGGCTAAAAAATCATCGCAAGGATACTTTTAAATAAAGCATAAATATTTATTTTGGCCGTTAAAATACCTACCCATTTTCGTATAATAAAGCAAGAACGCAAAGGGATTTCTCCGAGCCCAAAATCGTTTATTTTAATTTACGTTAATTCTCTAATTAATTTCCTTTTCGAACTCCCAAGTTTCACCTTTCCCACCGAAAGTTCGTTATTGTAGGGCGGGGCTAGTTGAGCATACGGGTAAGTTGTGCAATCGAAATATCTCGCAAACTATTCACCGTACGCATAAACATCTTATGGCGGAAAGAAGGGGTCGGGGGAGACCTAATCACAGAGCTATTGCAAGTGGCGCCTCGACAAGCGAGTAAAGCCCCCGTGCGTTTTGTTTTTTTTGTGACCAAAAAGTAAAAACGTCGTCTATCGCAAGTTTTCGTCTGTATTAGTCAAATATTATCCGTTTTCAATGGGGTAAGGGTTAATATTCCAGAAAATTATTGTACTTTTGATATGTAGAGATGTTCTGGTTATAATTCTTACGATTTCTTTATGACCTCACTTTTATTTTAAAATTGCGGGTTGGGGTTAGTTGAGCAACTACTGCGAAATTTACCAGGAGAAAGTTGGATTCACTGCCAAGCTTGCAGGGAATGGGCACAAATAAAATGTCTTCCAGGTGCTATGGTCTTACTTTCATTTGTATTAATTGCAACAGTAACAACGACCAAAACTTGCTAATATATTATTAATATTTTTTTAAGCTATTTAATTCTGATTTTAAACAGAAAGCTCGTAAATTACTTTAAGTTTTGTTGTTTTGTCACTAAATCACAATAAATAAAGAGATGATTATAAAAATAAACATATCCTATATGTAAACATACCGTTGCTCAACTTATCTCACCTATGGGGTACATTGAGCATACTTGACTTTCTGCATTTAAACAGCTGTAGCTCTTAAATTCAACTAGCTACAAAAAAGTTACTATGGACACTTTTGTTAAGGGATAAATTACTAATCCATCAAGCCACATAACAAGTCATTCACACATATCATTGATGAGCTATATCCGCTAAAGTGAAAAGTTGCTCAACTAGCCCCGCCCTACCCTATTGTATTCCGTAATATTATTAGGTACATTCGTGACATAATTAATTTACGTGCTAGTTATTAGGGCTAGGTAAATAAAGGGAAATTGGTTACATAAATGTAGGTACGCCAAATTTGCTCCCGTTTTTAAAATTATAAATACACTGGGCGGATATTAACGCAACTTTAACAAAAATCATTGAGTAGTCTCATAGGATTAATTATTTGTACAGTGTGTCCCTGTATCGAGTTGACGAGAGGAAGAAAATTACACTGTAAAAATGAAACGCAATGCGCAATGATTTTAATAAGTTCCAGTACCGTGTTATTTGGTGTTCTAAGTAAATGTTTGCTGTTCCGCCAAAATTCGTTTTTTGTTTGGATCATGAACTATTCGAAAATAAGTATGGTTATATCAATTTGTGGTTGTTCATAAATTTTTGTTTAATTACAATGTAGTTTTAAAATATGGAAATTATTGACTTATTTGGAGCTATGGGCGAAAGTAGTTATGATTAGTTATGATGAATTATCGGAAGACGATTTTGAAGAATTGTTGGAAGAAACGCAGAGGCCAAAAACTTACAAAAACAAAATTATATCGAGGAAACCGTTCTTCAATATTCCGAAAATGAATTCAAAGAACATTTCCGTATTACAGGATACCTACCCAACAACTGCTCGAGGTGTTCCAGCAAGAAATGCTCCAATCTTATAACGAACTTGTATACATCAGGGCATGCACAATACAATACTGATACAAACATAATTTGAACATCATGCTGCTGGAACGAACCTAATATTTAACGCTTTGAGTTATCGATATAAAACCTCGTGTTCTCCAGGAATCGGAGTTGTTCATGGAGCTCATCCGCGACGTGGCCAACGAGCTGGACATCGACGTGCTGTGCTACAAAATCCTGAAGAACGTCAGCCTGCTGACTCACGCCGACCGGGGCTCGTTGTTCCTGGCGCGCGGCTGCGGCGACGACAAGTACCTGCTGGCCAAGCTCTTCGACGTGCGCCACGACAGCTCCTTCGAGGAGGCCGTGCGGCTGTCGCGCAGCGAGGAGCTCAGGATACCGTTCGGCGTCGGCATCGCCGGCGCCGTCGCCCACTCCAAGGCGCTCATCAACATCAAGGATGCTTACAAGGTGAGTTTTTCCATAGGATTCAGTAAATTACCCTTTCTACTTCCCAAACCAGAATTTGGGGAATCTTTCGTATGAAATCAAGGCAGAAATGAACCTGCAGAACTGCTCATACTGGGCCGGAATTTAGGAACATACTCCAGTTGTTGTGCGTTAGAGTCCTTAGCTACATATTCTGCGAAACTGTTATGCATGTAGGTACTATCTCAATTTCAATATTTAACTGGCAGAAGACATTATGGGCAACCCGCAAAAAATTCTGTATTTTTTGCTAAATTAGGAACAACGCCAAAAACATATTGCAGAACTGATGGTATAATAGTAATAGGATTTTCCTGCTCTCTATCGATTCCTGCGTAGGCGAGATTTTATATAGGTAAATGACAATGTTGAAATTACTTCCATGTGAGTGCGTAAATAATACTTACCTATATGCTGTCTTTTGGTGCACAATCGTGAAAATAATCGAAATTAAATTGATTGACATAATTAGGGGTTTATTGGAGGTTTTAATTACCTAATTAGTGGGAGCTATTTTTAGTCCTGAAGTTTTAATCGTAAATTGGAAAGGCGAGGACGATATTACCTTTTGTAGTCGATTTCATAAGATTTTTAACGAGTTTATGAAATTGAAGGTTTTTTATAGTATTAAATTTAATGGATCAATTAAATTGTTACTTTCGAAATGATTGTATTCTGGTAATTATAAATCGTCCTCTAAGATAATATCATTTGGAAATTTTGCATATTTTATTTATTATAACTCAAAAAACAATGTCAAAATATATCTAGGTACTTTTATTGTCTATTAACATAACGATCTTCCTGTTAAAATTAACGATCCGCCGTTTAATTAAAACGTATTAAACCACCCCATTCGGCGCGGAATATAGATAGATATTCCTGCGAGGACGCCGATATAGCAATTTCGCGAGAAAAACTCAGCGCCCGTATTAATAGATGTCCCGAGGGAGGTTTCTTCTCTTCGGTCCTCTAATAAGGTCGCACGTAAGACGAAAGCTCGCCCCAGCTATGACGAAATGGAATTTATGAATATTTTAGTAGAAACATTAGAGGTGTTAGCTTTAGCCGTCGGCTAAACAAGGCCAGGTATGAACGACTTAAAGGCGGACGAAAACGTTGACAAAGAGGAACCTACCTAATTAAATCGGGAAAATTTTAATTAAAAGATAATTGGATTGATGGCGTTCACAAACGGTTTCTCATTGTATATAAGTGTACCTACGCTAAGTTGTTAATATTTTCAATGTATACTTTGTTAGTATACCTCATCAAATGTAGCTTGGCAACTGGAATTTTTAAGAAGTTAGATGAACCGTAGCAAAATTTAAAGAAGGTAGGGGTACTCCTCGTTTAAAGAGTAAAGATAGCAAGATTTCCAGTGATATAGTTGACTTGTAATACTTATATATTTTCTAAGTGATTTAAAAATTTTCTTTTTATAGAGTTCTGTTAAAAATCTTCTTATTATAGAGTTTAAAATTAATTTATCCCAAAGAAGGCTATTGTAGCACCTAAAAGGCATGTTTATAACCATCCTTTTCATATTAAGTTTTCCAAACTTTATCAAATTATTGTTTGTTCGTGTAATTAAATTACAAACTATGGAAAATACAGGACAGTAACGTATTCGCTGCCACTGTAAAAAAATAGTACCGTCCGGCAGTTTTTTTAATCCTCTTTCTTCCTAATCCTCCTTTCTTCTAATGCAATTTTCAACTGCAGAGCTAAATAAAGTTTTTGGCGAATGCGCTAATGCAATTTTCAATTGTCAAGTTACATTTGCTGAAGTTGATATTTCAATATTTGGCGAATGCGCTCGACTAATCGCGTATTTTTCAAAACAGGATCCCCGATTCAGCAACGAAGTGGACCAGCGCACCGGCTACAGGACGAACCTGATCCTCTGCATGCCGATATGCAACTACGAGGGGGACGTCATCGGCGTCGCTCAAATCATCAACAAAACCGACGATTCGCAGGAGTTTACGCCGCACGACGTCGAAGTGTTCCAGCGGTACCTCACCTTCTGCGGCATTGGCATTCAAAACGCCCAGCTGTTCGAGGTCTCCGTCTTGGAGTACAAACGGAATCAGGTATGTAATTGTTTCCATTGTAATTGGGGACCTTAATTATTACTTTTGGGACACCCTATACATACACACACTCAAAAATGTTTTGCATGAATGAATAAATATTGAATACAACGAAATATTTGTAAAATTACTTTTCAAAAATAGTTTCTGTATCATTTACCAAAAGGCATAAAAATCATTTAAAATTAACAATAAAAACAATTTAACAAAAGAAATTTCAAATAATAAATGGCCAGTGGTATTTTAACTAATACGCAAAACATTTTTGAGAGGTGTGTATAGAGGCGAATGCGCTATAACGCCTCAATTTATACAACCTTAACAAGGTGATGAAAGATGAAAGCGATAAATGAAACAAAAAAAGTTAATACGTCTACCTAATAATCACCAAATTATCCAATTCCACGGTAGAATAAACGTAATTTTAAAATCAATAAACCTGTTAAATAACCGAAGAGTCGTTTAAACGAACGAATGAGGATCAACAAGGAAAAGCGAAGGGGATGGAGGAATGTGCAGGTTTAATCGCGTAAATCATTCCGCGGATTCGGAACATCAATTAGCGTGCGGGTTCGTTTTAATTGAAATTAATAACTAGGTATAATAAAGCGCTAACGAGAATAGAGTGGAGAGTGATAAATACACCCGAAAACCGAAATTACTGTTTCTAATTATAACTTCAATCTTGCCACGGTTTTCTTACACGTTTTTTTTTTCATAAAACCCTCACGTAATTACCTTCTTAATTTATTCATTGCGCGCGTTAAATGCACAGATTCTCTTTAATTGTTCGGCGCAAACAGGGACCCAATTAAAGCAAGTCGCGTTCGAGTAATTAGAGATTTTCCCCCTGGCGTAATATCTGGATGACGCGAGGGCTTTTTGTTGCAGATTTTGTTGAATTTGGCGCGCAGCATATTCGAGGAGCAGAACAATTTGGAATGCCTCGTCACGAAAATAATGAGAGAGGCTCAAGATCTGTTGAAATGCGAACGGTGCGCCGTTTATTTGCTCGACTTGGATTGCTGCGAAGCGGTAAGTTTAGCCTGCTAAATGCACTGTAATTATAAATTTACAGAAAAATTGGATTGACTAAAGTGGGATAAATACCTATCATATTAAAGCTGATTGTATAGGAGCTTAATTTCTATAATTTTTGTTATTATTCAGTGAACCAAAGTAATATGAATATCTTATTAAAGTTTCTTGTATAGGAATAGGAGCTTAATTTCTTTAATTTGCGTTATTATTTTCGTTCTCTCTATCCTATTTTCGCTGTTATTATTATTATTAATATTATTCTTGACCCCGTTCGTTTGATGTTGGCGGAAGACTAATTTTAACCGTCATATATATAGAAAACTAATATGTGTATCTATTTACTTTGGTAACGTTTTTATTATTTTACCCGCACCTATTAAACGGAAAAACTCACTCCATTAACTAATTAACTGAAAAAAAATAAATACACTTCACCGTTTACTTTATGTACGTTATCAAATAATGGAATGAAATGTTAGTACTCATGGTGGACATAAGAAAGATCCTGAAGATATATATTTTTTCCTTAAAAATCATAAGAAAAATGATCATTTTGCTAGGATTGATCGATTAAAGGAAAATAAAGGATTCAATAGAAACCAATTCATTCTGTCACTTAGTAGGTCAGGTTTTTTGCAGGACTACGAGTAATATGTTATTGTTTGCCTTTCTCTCTAATGAAATGCCCACGATACATTACGCCCGCATTAGAACTGCTATTTCTAAAAATATTGATTCCGTAGCGAAATAATAGCACCATCTTTAATAAAGCTCACATCTTTGCACGCCATAAGTTTCGCGAAGAGGATAAATTATATCTACATAATGATACAGATATTACCAATTCAAAAGCTCCACCATCACCATGAATCTTTACTCGCCAATCCATTTAAACTCCCAACTTTTTAGCTCACGGTACAAATCTATCTATCAGTACAAGTAATAGCAATTTCGAATAAATTCCAAGCCCCATATAAATCACTAATCCGCAAAATTAACTACCCGTCGGTTCATCGACTAAGAAACTCGAGCATGGATTCGACTTTTACCGTTCTCGATTCGTTCCAGAGCCATTTAGAACACATCGTTGAGCGGCCCGGTAAATCCCAGGAGCGACACGCTCCTCTGGCTCGGATGGAGAGCGGCAATTTGACGGCGGAAGACATGAGAGAAAACGGATTGCGGAAACCCACCGTATTCAGGACGGTGTTTGAATTGCGAGAGTGCGGAACGCAGACCTTGGTTTCCCGGTAATTAAATCTCCTGTATTGTATGCACTCTTTAGCGCCTATCACTTGACAAAGTCAATTTAATCATATCCTCGCTTCGATTCTCGTCGATCTAAGTTTAAACTTCCATCACCGATCTAATTAGTTAGATTGGCGAACTCCCGGTCTTTGTAAAATGTTATACTTGTTATTACAGGCCGTCGTCGTTTGATTTAGCTAGTTCCACTTTAGCGCAAATTGCTGGTTACGTTGCTTCTACGGGGCAAATTTTAAACGTGGGAGATGTTAAATCGTGGCTCAAAGAGCAGCATAGCGAAGGAGACGCTGATACAGCCAGAACTATTCTTTGTATGCCTATTATCAACGGAAAGAAAATGCTAATAGGTAAGTTTTACCTCCTCTAAGATAATTTTTTCATCATATTTTTATATACAGGTGTAGCTCAATTGATCAACAAAGAGAACAACGCATCTTTCACCGAGTGCGACATCTCGCTGTTCGAAGCTTTTGCCATCTTCTGCGGCTTGGGCATCCACAACACCCAGATGTACGAGAACGCCTGCAAGCTGATGGCCAAGCAGAAGGTCGCCTTGGAGTGCCTGTCCTATCACGCCACCGCCAGCAACGACGCCACCGAGAAGTTGGTGAAGGAAGAGGTGCCGTCGGCGAGCAGGTACAATTTGTATAGCTTCACGTTCATCGATTTCGAGCTATCGGACGACGATACTTGCAAAGCGACCATTAGGATGTTCTTGGAGTGCAATTTGGTGCAGCAGTTTCACATTCCTTACGAGGTTAGTTCTATTTTCCATTTATTAACTGCATTTTTTGTTTTGTTAATTACCTTTTAGGTTCTGTGCCGATGGATATTGAGCGTAAAAAAGAACTACAGGCCTGTGAAGTACCATAATTGGAGGCATGCTCTTAATGTCGCTCAAACCATGTTTGCCATGTTCAAAACCGGGAAAATGGAAAGGTAATACTTCTCTGGAATACCAACAAATATACTATAAATTCTGTATTGCTGTAGATTCATGAGCGACTTGGAGATGTTGGGACTTATAGTAGCTTGTTTGTGTCACGATTTAGACCATCGAGGTACCAATAATGCCTTCCAGATGAAGACCGATTCGCCCTTAGCAGTTTTGTACTCTACCAGTACCATGGAGCACCATCATTTCGATCAGTGCGTCATGATACTTAACACGGACAGCAATAATATATTCCAAGTAGGTGGGTTAGCTGTGATGTGTAATCTCTAAATGGGATTTCAGCAGATTAAAGGAAGCGTCGAATAGGTTGGGTTTCCTAAAATAATTTTTTGCAGGCGTTAAACCCGGACGATTACCGTAAGGTCATGCGAATCGTGGAGACCGCGATTTTGTCCACGGATCTGGCCATGTACTTTAAGAAGAAGAACAAATTCCTGGAGCTCATCGATAACGGGGAGTTCGATTGGCAAAGAGACGACAAAAAAGAATGTATAGATATTGATTTTCTTCATCTAATAGTTATAAATAAATTGGCGTTTCTTTTAGTGCTTTCTGGAATGATGATGACGGCCTGCGACGTCAGCGCTATAGCAAAACCTTGGGAAGTACAACACAAAGTAGCTAAATTAGTAGCAGACGAGTTCTTCGACCAAGGGGACATGGAAAAAGTGCAACTCAAAGAGCAACCTATAGTAAGTTTTCACGATATTTGTGAGCCCAATACACTCAACTTACTACTCGTAGGCTCAAATGGATAGAGAAAGAAAAGATGAACTTCCCCAAATGCAAGTCGGTTTCATCGACGTCATCTGTCTTCCACTGTACAGGGTGTTGTCAGAAACGTTTCCTTGGATGAAGCCTCTTTACCAAGGAACGCTGGAAAACCGCCAGCACTGGCAAGATTTGGCCGAGAAAGTGGAGATGGGCTTGACGTGGATTGACCACGATACAATAGACAAGCCCGTCGAGGCTTTTACAGGTATATTTTTAATTATACAAATGAATTAAACTATTGAATAATTGTATATTTTAGGTCCTGATGAAACAAAGGATATCGAATTGACTGTTCAAACCCTCCATACTGTGACGTCTTCTCCTCCAATTGAAATCAAAAAAAGGCACAGGAATAAATTCTGTTGCATATTGTGACGAAAAGTAACACAAATAGTTAACGTTTAGGAGTTATTTTGTAAAACTATAGATCAATATCGACGATAAGAACGCTCATACTTCACATTCCCTCACTATATACTCTCCTCATATGCATTCTACTACATACAATAGGTGAGCTTTCTAAAACTCTACATTTATTAAGTTGAGAGACGTAAAATTTAAAACTGTTGGTTGAGGAAAGTTGACTGATTGTACTTATAAAATCAAAGAGGAAGGACTTGATATTATAACTTGAGTCTTTTTCTATAAAATATAAATATAATACCTGTAAAGAACGGGTATTTTGTGTAAAATTGTAAATAAAATTCTAGCCTATTCAAATTGAACTGTAAATGTTTCTTTATGAAAAATTCTTCTTTTAAATAATTTACTTTTTATATGTGGATATTTTCGAAATTCAAACTCTAAATAAAACTGTTCTATCCGACTATTTTAAACGTTAGATTTTTGGTATGTTATTTAATTCAAATATCTAATTGGTATATTTAAATGTTACACTTGTTAAAAATTATATGAATATCTGGCCCTTCATCGCACAATCAATGGTGTTCTAGGACATTTTATAAATAACTCAAGATTTATACGAGTAAACCAAAATGTATATAGGAAATTTCTTTGATATTAGAGATCAAGTTTTCGATTTCTTTACCTTTATGGAACATATATTGGTCTTATAAATATTTATTTAATTGTTTAGATTAAACAGATCTCCTTCCTAATTTTTTGTAAACTTTTAAATAAAGAATTATAACTTTAAACTTTGTATCACGGGTTTTTCAGAACATCTTTCTCTATGTTGAACCAATCCATCTCCAAAACATATGTCACATCATTAAAAGTAAAATGAGTAGGCGGTTTTGATTCTCCGTTATCGAATTTGAAAGACTTGCTGAATTCTATAGCTAACTTCGAAGCAACCAATCCTACTGAACCGGTTCTTTCCGGAGCTGGATGGTACACTCTACACGTTTCTGGAGACATTATGACTTTATTGGGAAGGAATTTAGTTGTTAATAAATCTCCAGCGTGATTGTGGGCCAAAAGGAGGTCATTTGAATCCGGTTTTTGAATAACATGTGTGAAAACTATTGGTCGATCGTCACATCTCACGAAATTTCTCTCTCTTCCACAAGGAGAAACGTAAGGAAATTCCGTATATCTTCCTGTTGTATTGACTCTCAACTGATTGAAGAAGAACCTTATAAATTTCTTCTCCTTGAAACACGAAGTGAAGTTTTTTATGCGGGCATCGTCTAGAAATAACTAATTAATACGTATATTTGTTCAGTATATTTTCAAAGTGTTTGCTTACCATTCCTTGATGGTCTATGTAGTAGAAGTATTCACGCACTTTGGGTTCGGGGCTCTGGCCCTGGATGTATGTAAGATTTCTGAAAAATTGTTTTAAATGATTTATTTTCGTCATAATTTTAATTTTATATTTTCAACTAGTTCAAAGTTCAAAATTTTTATTTTAATGTAACCTCACTTATTCTACTTTTTGTCTACAAGTAAAGAATTTGTGGCCTTTGACTATAAGAGTCAAGTAGTAAGGGCTTGCATTTCTGAACGTACTTTCGATAAATCCGATATCGAAAGGAAACAATATTGTGACAGTTGACAATTGACGTTCACTTTAAGAGTGAAAGATATTGCACAAGGAAGAATTTTTCTTCCAAAATTATCTTTTACCACCAATAATATAAACTACAAGTTCCCGAGCCGATTATCTGTAAGATTTTTGTATATTATATATAAATATTATCAATTAGTGATTATATTCGGAATATAGTAAACATTTAATTAGTTTTTTTGCGGTTTTCCAATTACGCACATGTTAAATAATTAATTGCACCCGGTGCGAAGTCCTGAAAGTTAAATTTAGTATAAAACAATCGCGAAAATTTGAGTAAACAACATTCGACTAGTATTTTTTGTCCAGCAGAGTGCTCACAGCAAAAAAAATCCACGGTCCGTCCAGTGAGCCAGGGGAACTAAATTATCGATTTCTTATTTCAGGGCTGAGGCGGTTTGAGAATGAAATTATCGCAAGCCCGTTGCCTGGCTTTACGTCTTTCAGTAGCTCAGGTAAGTCGTTAATTCCAATTTGACTAATCTCGTGAGTGTTATGTAATCAGCAATGTGACCCAAACTTTTTAAATGCCAAATATTCGAAAGCACAGCATTGCCATTAATTATAAATTAATTGCTCATTATACATAAGTAGGTATTTTGGAAAATAGTTCGAGTTGTTATTTGAATAACGAACTCATTTTATGCGCATTAAGAGTAATTTTTTTACTATCGCAACCATTTAAAAATAATTGTAAATTTGGCTCGTACGCTGATAATTTTCTGGTATTTTTATTTTAGATGCGCTTGTTTAATTCTCATTTATCTTATCTGTCATCGACCCTGTTACTGTTTTGACTTTGGATTAATATGTAAAATAAATTATTCCAAAATTTTAAATATTTTGAATCAACAAAAATATTTTCGTTTTACTAATTTGTGTATTATTTACAGAGTAATGCACCTGTAAATCGACCGGCGGGCAAGCTTGTGCCGAAATCGGCAATTTTACTTGCTGGTTTGGGAATCGGAGTCTCTTCATTTAGTCTGAAGCAGATGTTTCAATCGAAGAGGCCGAAAATTAGCTACCCTTATTTCTAAGATGGCTATTTCATCTGATAATATATTATTCTATTAATCGCCATTAAGTATATTGTCGTAATATGCTTCTGTAAGTTTATTTACTATACAAATTCAAGATGTTTAAGATATTTGCAATATTTGCATGGAAACGGTATCGATTTAAATTTATATTTACTATTAATTTAGTTAAGTGAAAAGGAAATGTCGGACGATGTTTGTTATAGTCTCTTAAACTACTTGAAATAAATTGGTCGTTAATTATGTTTTGTTTGTTTTAATCATATCCCTAACCAAAAATGTACCTATGCTCTGATTAAATTTCAAAGTATATTGATTGGTGTAAACCTTGTTGCCTAGTTGTCTGGCGAAGAAATTGACTGGTTGATGCTTAAAAAGTAGGCCACTTCATACGTCAACTTAGACATTTGCAGTTTGCAGTTCACCGGGTGAATTATCATTACATTACATTATCAATAAAAATAAATAGAATGACTGCATTTGAAGGTAAGTTTTCTTTACTACAGTTTAAAGGTAACAATTAAAAACATTACTTGTAGAGTTCGGGGTGTTGCCTGAAATTGCAAAAGCTCTAGATGAGCTCGAATGGAGGTAAGTACATTGTACTATTTTATTCATTTTAATTAATTATCCTGCTTTTGCAGTTTGCCTACTGATATTCAAGCAGAAAGCGTGCCGTTAATACTGGGTGGTGGAGATGTGCTCATGGCTGCAGAAACGGGTAGTGGAAAAACGGCTGCATTTTGCTTACCTGTCATACAGGTCGTATGGGAAACACTCAAAGACATACAGTCTGGTAAATTAGCCAAAACCGCCAAGGAGAGCACTTGTAAGCACACTTACTCGCCTATTTTAATAAATTTGTTTGTTAACGTAATCACTTTTTAGCCCTCCCGTGGACAATGTCCACATTGGATAGAGGCAATGCCATTGCTGTGGCCCCCGATGGTAGACGAGTACAGTCAAGAGAACAGAAGGAATGGCACGGGGTGAGATGCACTCGGGGAGTGAAATCGGGTAAATGGGGATTCGAAGCTACTGTAACTGACGAAGGTTTGTGTAGAGTCGGTTGGTCATCGTTGAGAGCTAATTTAGACCTAGGTACCGACAGGTATGTCTCCTAATCTAATTTATTTTAATTTCCTAAACGCTTTTTACTTTTGTACAGATTAGGATTTGGTTTCGGGGGTACTGGGAAAAAATCTAATAATAAACAATTTGATAATTACGGCGAACCGTTTGGAAAAAGCGACGTGATCACATGCCTCATAGATTTCGATAATGGCGAAATTAAATTTTTAAAAAACGGTGTCGACTTAGGGGTAGCCTTTCGAGCTGACAGGAATATTATTAAAGAAGGCATGTTCCCGGCTGTTGTGTTAAAGGTAAACAACACAAAAAGTAAATAAAAAATGTATACATACGTAATTTCTAATGTTTTTAGAACGCAGAAATGGACTTTAATTTCGGACATAAACCCTTCAAGCATTCTTTACCCGCGGGGTACAACCCAATACAAACCGCAATTGATAATAATTTAGCAATAAACACGAACGGAACTTTCGATGAAACCGGTCAGCATACTAAAATTATAAACAATGCGCCACAGGCTATAATTATCGAGGTTTGTTTTGAACAAATATTGTAATAAAATAATTAAAAGCACAATTTTTCAGCCTTCAAGAGAGTTAGCTGAACAAACGAGCAATCAAATTAAAAACTTCAAGAAACACCTAAGTGACCCTGCAGTTAGAGAATTACTAGTAATCGGAGGAGTGAACGTCAAAACTCAAATATCTGAGCTGCAAAACGTAGGCGCAGATATAATAGTCGGTACACCGGGAAGACTAGAAGATCTCATTCAAGGAGGTTAATTATATGACTTATGATGTTGTTAGCAACCTAAATTACCGTTTTTTAGGATACCTTTCGTTGGCTAACTGTCGGTTTTTCATCCTCGACGAAGCCGATGGTCTGCTCAAACAAGGCTACACCGATTTCATAGAAAGACTGCACAAGCAAATGCCTAAAATCACTTCTGACGGTAAAAGGCTGCAAATGATCGTGTGCAGTGCGACTTTACACGCGTTCGAAGTAAAAAAAATGGCCGAAAAATTGATGCATTTTCCCACGTGGGTCGATTTAAAAGGTGAAGATGCGGTACCCGAGACAGTCCATCATGTTGTCGTTAAAATTGATCCGCAAAACGACAAAAGTTGGCACAGATTGAAAAGACGTATAGCCACAGATGGTGTACATGCTCAAGACAATATTGGGCCAGGTTACAACAGCCCCGAGACGTTAAGTGAAGCAGTAAAAATATTGAAAGGTAGTTAATTCATCATTACCTGTTCTTGCATCACATAAGTATCAACCACGTTTTAGGTGAATATTGCATTAAGTCGATTGACAAACACAAAATGGACAGGGCCATCATTTTTTGTCGAACCAAGTTGGACTGCGACAACTTGGAGAAGTACATGAGGCAAATTGACAAGAATCATTATTCCTGCGTGTGTTTACACGGTGATAGAAAACCGAATGAACGAAAAGCCAATTTGGAAATGTTTAAAAACCAACAAGTGAAATTCCTAATTTGCACTGATGTAGCAGCAAGAGGTTTGGATATCTCCGGTTTGCCCTTCAGTAAGACTGCTCAAATGTAGTTTGATTTAAACAACTAAATTGATTTTTTTTAGTGATTAATGTGACGCTACCAGATGAAAAATCGAACTACGTCCATCGAATCGGTAGAGTAGGAAGGGCTGAAAGGATGGGGCTCGCTATTAGTTTAGTTAGTTCAGTGCCGGAAAAGGTAATGAAATAATTGTTTCAATTTAGCTTACCTTTAAAAAAATAATTAATTAAAGGTGTGGTACCATGGACAATGGTGTCCTTCAAAGGGCAGGAACTGCTGGAATACCGAATTAACAGATAGAAAAGGCTGTTGTATTTGGTACAATGAACCACAGGTAAACATTTCAAAACTCTAGACATTATAAATTGATAAAAATGTTTTAGTATTTGGCCGATATTGAAGATCATCTCAACATCACCATAACTCAAATAGGAACAGATTTGGAAGTTCCTCAAGACGAATTCGAGGGTAAAGTAACTTATGGCGAAAAACGTAAAGCCATGGGCTCTTTGTATGAAAACCACACAGCTCAAATGGCCCCTATCGTGAAGGAATTAAGCAGATTAGAGAGCCAAGCTCAACTAATTTATGTGAAGAGACATCTCTCCAAATTGGCACGATCATATTAGTTTTAATATTTCCTTATAATATTAAATGATCGAATCATTTCTTAAAGCCTCTTTAATTTCTAATCTGTTTATGTAAAGCTATACATTTCAACAGCTACATGTAAAGGTAACGTCATCGCAGCATTAACTTGAACATCGTTTATTTATAAAATCGTTATCAGTTTTAAAAGTTTGCCAAATAAAAAACACCTATCCAAATATTCAACACGGATATTTATGCATATTAATAGGTAACCTCGACCACTATTTTTAAATCGATTTAAAAAATACACTTTCCAATACTCATAGAGCAATTAGCATGGACGTCGATAACTTGGTAACTGCAGTACAAAATCTGTATACCTCGAAAAAATGGAAGAAAATTTTAAAATTAAACAAAAATTCGAATGAACAAAGTGCATTGAAATTATTGTGGGTGTGGCCCGACGAAAGTAATTTATTCTTCATCAAAAGGACTATCGTGGATTTTGGTTGCAGAGGAATTTCTTCGATCGGTTGTGGCTGTGGATTGTTGGAATGGATCATTAACGAATCAACCGGTTGAGTAATCTTTCACATACTTTAAAAAAGTGCACGATAAAATTTATTTACTGCATTTACAGGTGTTCCGGTTGTGGGATACGAAATAAACAAAGAATGGTGGGAAAGTAAGTACTCTAATCCGAAATTTATCAAACTGAATTATGTAGAAGATAATGAGGTATCGTTAAACCCGGCATATGCATTGCTCTTTTGCTATTTCAACGATAAACACGCTTTTCAACAGTATGTAAGAAATTACAAAGGTGACTTAGTGCTCATAATAGGACCGGGAAAAGGTAGTTTAAAACACACCGAGCCTGAACCTTTTAATGCAGACTTTGGTTGCACCAAAAGCAAATGGATTTTGTATAACAGCGAAGAGGTGAAGAACACTAATGATTTTATCGCTGTGTATGTAAGAGATAATTCCAATTACGATTGTATAAATTAAAATTTTATTTTACAAGCACTAATTCACTGAATCTGTCCTTTCCGATTCCTTCTCTTCATTGAAAATAAACCACTTCTTTTTATTCACTAAAAACAGCATCATCAGTAAAGGCAGATGGATTAGAGAAAACCTAAACAGTTTTCTGGATGTCGAACTTGAAGCATCTTTGTAAAATCGATATGCTAAAAACACACAACCATTTATTATTTATTACAGATTCTTACTATTAACTTACCTAAATAAATAAAATACAAATTAAGAGGAGTAGCTTCCAATAAAAACCACCAATTAGTCGTATCTAAGAATGGCGCTGCAGTGCACATTGCTTGCAAGGCCACTGTATGCCTCAAAGCCACCCTTTTGCACAAACCCGGATCGGTGACTGCCATCATCCTGTAACCAGCCCTTGAATAATCCGGTCGCAGATTCCAGGAAAGTGCATTGAAATGTGGAAACTGCCAACTGTACAACAAACCGGCCATCAACCAGGCTCCGGGGCCTAGGGAGTCAGCGCACGCAGCCCATCCCATTAAAGGCGGTATGGCCCCCACTAAAACCAAATACAAACTGCTATATTACTTTTGCACGCATATTTTGCGAGATAATAACCTATAGAGCCTATCCACGTATTTGAAATGCTTATCCTCTTCATGGGAGTGTAGACCGAAGTATACAAAATTAAGTTTGTAAGTCCTAAACCCGCCGTTAAACTATTTACACCGTAATTCAATATTGCTAATCCAGAAATGCTGGCTGTTAAGGCGAATGCTATGGCATGTAGAGGTCTAGAAAACAACACTGTATTAAAAATAATACCCTAATATTATATTCTCGTAAATAACATACGTTAACCTTCCGCAAACTAATACTCTGCTTTTTGTTCTCGACATTTGAGCGTCGAAAGGTACTTCATGGAACTGGTTTACTGAATTAGCGCTTGCTGATAGTAAACCAGTTCCAACTGAACATAATATGAATGTAGTGAGCTCAAAAGGTGCAGGTGCTACTGCATATCCCGCCATAGAAGTTATTACTACTAAAGCTAAAAAAAATTGAATAATTTGCTTAATATGCAATATTAATATAGTAATGCATATTTACAAGTTAATCTGATCTTGGATAGTTTCAAGTAATGTCGTAGAAGGTTTGAAGCATCGGTAGATGGTGTCGGTCGAATGTCTGGTGGTACTTTAGGCTTATCGGGCATACAACTGGGCAATTCATGATGTACTTGTACATCGTGTTCGGCTAATTGAGCTACAATAGGAGGTGAAGATTTTGCTTTGGTTTGATTCACGTATGTCGTAGTCGGAATTACGTTGTAGCTGTTCTTATATTGCTAAAATATGAATGAATTAATTACTACTTCATTATTTCATATTTGTGTTTACCTATATTGACACATACCTTTATAAATAACTCGGTAGATCTGGTAACAGGGCATTTATGTAATCTTAAATTAAACAGAACTTTATACATATTACAAATAAGCACGCAATATCACAAAGTCAACATTGATTGAAGTTTCTGTAAATTTTTAGTAAACGTAATAAACATTATTTAATGTATTTAAGCGAATGCAAACCATTTTAAGAACCTGATTTTAAATAATTTGAACTTTAAGGTTAACTCAAAAACAGGGTTAATGGCAAATGTCACTGTCACTGTCAATAATGTCAATTGTCATTCTTCACATTCCATAAGTACGTTCCTAAAATATCCAGAAACATATATAGTGGCGCCGCCTCAGAATGGTAGCTTGAACTAATCAATGATTTGCATTTTGGTGCCAAATTTGAAAAATTACTTTCTAGCTATCCTCCTATAATGTAGGGTAGGTTATCTGTGGTTATTCTCTCCACAAGTTAAAACGGTACGAAATTGGAAGATTTGATAACTACATATTAATGTGTACGATTTACGATATGAAATTCATACTATCATAATGCATGCAGTTCACTTTGATGAACTTTCCTTGCGCTCAAATCTTTAAAGCATTTAATTTAATGTATTTTGATTTACATCTAGTGAAATAAAAATAAAAAATGTTTGTAAAAAAATCCATTTTTTTAAGATATATTCTTGGCCATATTGGCCTAATTATACCAATATTATCTATAGAAATATTAGAGCAAGTGTATTGCTTAAGTTCAGCTCAAATTTTTAAAAAATTATTGCAGCATATTGCGAAACAAATAAATTTGTTTTAATTTCTGAAAGAGGAAAATATATTTAATTGATTTTATGAGTGTGTGTTTAAAATACCAACATTATAAGGATTTTTGAAGATGTTTCTTAATTTGTCAAGTGATTTGAGAACATTTTGATTTTCATGAGGAATTCATGAGGTGTTTTTCATCTACAATAATACAGTTATAGTGAAAATTTCTCTAAATACTTTTTGATCAAATTTTCGAAGATATTATTTTGATTATTTCTAAAGAATAAGATTTAAAGATTAGATATTATTGTTTAATAAGCATTTATACCTATCTATTAAATCCCATTTTTCGAATTTCCACCTCCAAAATTGACAACTCAGTTTCATACGTTATACACCACTTAATACAACAATAGTCACCTCACCCCTATAATTTAAGCTCTCATTATCCGGCGCTCACCCCTCCAAAAACTCATACCTCTCTATCTATATACGACACAAAATGATGACAAAACGGAGAGACCGAAAACGGGCCAACACAATACACACAAAACACCCCTAATGCGTATCAGATTTCGCCGCGACAACTCTATTTGTACACATTTAGGGTGCCTTCACCCCTCGATCGGTCCCATTGGCTCGAGCGCCCGACCAACAGCCAATCGCAGCCGCCCCCAGGCGGAGCCAACAACACTCTACCTCCGCCCAGTAACGGTTAACCGGTTATCATTCATTCCATAGTCCATATCTTGACAGTCCAGTGACAGTTCGAAGACGAACACAGGCAGAGGCCGGATCAAACAGTCCCAAATCTGGCTTCGTTCAGGCGCGACACTGTGGGTGAGCCCGAGTGGTGTGAAGACGACGGCGGCGACTTCTCCGAGGAGGACGTCCACGTCGGCAGGATGATCGAGGCGTCGCGGCGCCAGCGAGACGGCGCCGATCTGGGAGCCGTGCCGAGGTTTTTCGGCGACGCGTTCCTCGGCGGCGGCAAGGCGCCCGCCTCCGGCGGTACGCTCTTTACCATCGACAGCATCTTGGCGCCGAGGCCGAAGGCGGCGCCGCAACGGCCGCCGGCCGTCGTGCATCACGCCGCCGTGCCGTTGGGGCACTTGGCGGCCGCCGGCGCCGGATTCGCCGCCAATCCGGCTAACTTTTTGGGTATGTAAATACTACAAATAATTATATAAAAAAAACAGAAGCTTTGTTCGATCAATTAAGAGATTTTAGTTCTCAAATCGAGGATTTATGTGAATAATTACCAAGAATATCTAATATTTCTTTTTTTTATTACTTCAAAACAATTTATGAAATGGTATCTAATTGCTCCATAATAAAGTGAGATCTAAACAGATCTAAAAAATGTCTCTCCAAATATTCGCGTATTATATCAATTTAGCTCATATTAGGAAATTGCAATTAAAACAAAAGTTGATGAAAATGCAGAATTACAAACTTTGATGCTTCTATAAAAACTTCTGTAGAAATTCAAATTTGGCAATATAATTATATTATATTAGGTATATGTAAGCTTTAAAATGAGAATTCAAATATGATTCACCTCAATCATAATTGGTAATGTTACATTTTACATTTTTATCTATATTTTACAATCCTTCATTATTTCTTAAAAAATTATTAGAGGTATAACCTACATTATTATATTATCTGCATCATCTGCAATTATCCATCAAACATTGATATACTTGTATTTCTTTGTAATAGAACTGATTTGATAGAACTGATCTCAAATCATGGCAAGATAGCTACCAATATATTTTTACAAATCCTATAAGATTTGTAAGTTGTATTCAAGTCAGTGAACTACACATTAATTTGTTATAATTTTTATTTTATTTAAGAAACTTGTCTAGAATATCCCCACATTTTATTCATTTAGAGCTAGAATTTTATTGCGCCTCGCGCATTAATAATGCCTTAGAAAGTTTCCAAATTAAAAATAATGTATAAAGCTTTTAAACTCGAATCCCCGTAGGTCGAAAAATCGTCTTACGCAAAAACGCCGGAGAGTTTTTTAAGTCGCTTTCTTTTAGTGCTCTCATGCGTGCGACGGGTAAAAAAAAGGGAAAAAACTTTTAGGCGCTGCCTCAAGGGCGAGTTCCAGATGAAAACATGAATTATATAATTATTTAATCGTCTTCGATACGCCGGAGGCCTTCCGCTGTGTACCTATAACTTGTATCGACGGAAAATTAGAATTTTTTTGCATATATAATTTTAGGCAGATTTGAGATGAAAAAATATTTGCAGGGAAAGAAAGTAAAATTAAAATTAATAATTATTATGCAATATTGTTTACTGGAATGATTATGGTAACTTCATAATTTATATACAGGGTGTTCATAAAATAGGCGGAGATGTTTTAGAGGGTGATTCCTTGTTAAAAAATATGAAAAAAAGTTTCTATAAACATGGGCCCGGAAATACAGTTTTCAAAATATAGGATGTGAAAAAAATGGATTATATCTCAAAAAATATTTACTTGATTCTTTTGAAATTTGGCAATGTTATTGTGTTGCATTAAGAGGCTGATTTAGCCCCGAATAGACTAAAATTATTAAGTCCAGTCCTTGTGATTTTTTTAGCAAAAATTCACATCACATCACACATCATCATATATTTTATCATTATTACGTCAAAAAAATACAAGAGGCAAAGAAGTTGTATTTTTAGATGCTTATAATAAGAGAAAAAATATTAAAGTTACAAAAAAGGCAGTGGGGTACATTTTTTGCCAATAATTTTCGCTTGGTTGACGCTAAGTGACGCCACTGGACTAATTTTAATCTATTTAGGGCTAAATTGGACTCTTAATACAACAAATAACATGTTTATAGAAACTTTTTTTCAAATTTTTTTAACAAGTAATCCCTCCCTGTAAAATAACCGTCTACTTTATGAACACACTGTATATTAACAAAAAATTAAGTATCTATAGATAAAATATTTTTATAAATGTCTGAATAAATGTCTATGTAAATGTAAGTAGGTACCTATAATATTTTTTGTATTTTGTTGATATTTTCAAGCAATTTAACGCGAGCAAAATCTACAAGAGAAAATCCCAACAGAGCGGTATGGAAATTCATAATACCTTTCGATCGTTTTTAGTTCAGTTTAGGGGATGTGGTGCATTTTAGGATTTAAGCAAGCGTAAATATTCACACTTGATCAGCTTCCAATCCTCGGCACATTAACATTACTTTCACAATCTCCACATACTTACCGGATTTGCACAACACTTATATCGATTTTTCCGTTTGTTAGGTGTTTTCTTTCGCCTTCTTCATTCGCACCTTTCTTATTCTTGTATACCTACTCGCGTTTTCGACCGATATTCTGCATTCAAAAACGTTATGTTAATGCCGCTTTGTCGCTCCGGCGGGTCCGGAGCTAGAGGTGTTTCCTCGCTAAGTATGCTATTTGCAGATTTATTTACCGTATATAAATTTGGTCTTTGTGTGCTTTTATAAATGACTTTTTTGTATGAACCTATACACAAAAAATATTCAGTAATATATTCTTAGTTTAGAATAATCAAGTTTTCTTGGGAATCTGCTTTTAATCTATTATTATTTATTCAAGAAATAGTTCAATTAGGACAAAGATCTGAAGAGTTAGAGATAAATTGGTCCATATGTTGCTTTAATTTGAATTTGCAAATGTTTCTAAGTTTCAATAAATATATTGAATAATAAAACTCTATGGCAAAATGACAGGTTAAAATTATATTAAATACTTGTCAAACGTCAAAATTGACAAATGTCGAGAATAAAATCGAGTACGAATTTCACGTTATCATCATTGGCCATGAAAATATTTCAAAAAATGGCCAATATATGATGTAAAATATACACCTTGCTTCATTTGCGATTGCAACATGGGCATTTCATATGAGTTGAACAAAGAAAGATTATTAAAATAACAGTTGTCAGAGTGAAAAGTTGCAATGACATAACATCACTCTTTCTTTTTCCTTTATAAGTGTCTAATTGAAGTTGTCTTGGTTACAACCCATAGCCTATGTTGCAGTGAAAAATGGAGCAATCTGTATTTATGATTATGTGATAATATAAGGTCTCCATTCAATTTTTTAACCGAAATTTGATGATTAAATCTATTAAATCTATCTATGAAAAATTACTACACAATTACAAACACTATGGGAGCAACGAAGATAACTTCTTAGTCATAATATAAAGAAAAAGAAAGAGTGATATTGTAGAATTGCAACTTTCTCACTATAACCACTGTTATTTTAATAATCTTTCTTTGTTCGATTCATATAATTGCCCATATTGCAAACAAATTTTCACTTATCCGTATATAGGATCTAGTACTACTTTACAAGTTCAGCTTGGCACTTGGGATTTTTGTATCGTATACGAAATCACGTTGGTAAATTTAATGGGTGAGGGAGAATTGTACAGAGAGCTCAAATGATAAGTATCGCTGTCTATCTTCCTCGTTTGCGCATCCGACTCGATTTCTAAGTACCAAGCTGATTTTGTCAAGTTATAGGAACACATAAGTATGCTATTTCAATGGGGATTATTGTAATATGGTTGGCTAATTTTTGATCATTTTTTTCCAGCCATGGCTTATCCGGGTCTCTACCCGGACTACGTGCACGCGTTGGCGGCGGCGACGCAGGCCGCCTCCCTGGTGGGAGGCGGCGGCCATCACCACCACATGCACCAGCAGCCGAAGCGGAAGCGCCGCCATCGCACCATCTTCAGCGAGGAGCAGCTCGAGCAGCTGGAGGCCACCTTCGAGCAGACCCACTATCCCGACGTGGTGCTCAGGGAGCAGCTCGCCCTCAAAGTCGACCTCAAAGAAGAGAGAGTCGAGGTGAGTGATTATCTAATTAAATTTCTAATCGGTTTTATCAATCCAGCAAAAATCCAATTAGGAATCGTGTTTTTATATCCCAATTTAAACCGTTTAACAAACGTTCGGGAGAAGCCCGATAAAAATATCCCTATAATTAAAATACGTACACAATTAATTACGTAATCGAACCACCGGCGGAATTATCGCCCGTCTATATAAAGTTCCCCGAATGGGGCTTCTCCGGCAGCGAAAACAAATTCGTCGCTTTGGCCCCGTGACACTCCGTAGGGGCTCTAAAAGGGCTTTAATGCTTCGCTGTCATTAGGCTGATTGTGACTGAGACTGACTGATCTGCATCTGTGTCAACAATTCATCCCTCATTAAACGACCGACGGGGCAATTTAATTACTTATACGCGAATCAATTAGAAAACCAGTTTGTACGTGTTGTTTGATTGAACCGTGGGAAATTCTTTGGCAAGTTGTACCCAATAAAGAGAAGTAAATTTGTAATAATGATTTAATTCCAATAAATTGTGAACAATAATTTTATTCATTCGGTCAAAAGTTGGGAAATACAGTGTGTCCCTGGATGGAGTTGACGTCAGGATAAAAATCGTTATTTTTAATTTAACGAAGAAGTCTTTCTTCAAGTGAGAAGTATTTTGAGGAAGTTAATACTAAATAAAACAAAAGTATTTACCTATACTGACAGAGACGTTAAATAAATTGGTTTTCTTGATTTTTTTTTAAATTGTATTTAGTCTTTGCTTATGTTATCAAGAGGTTTGTATTAAGAGCGAATAAAAGTTGAAAGTTCGAAATTTAGGAAAATTTGTATTTGCGTATTAATTTGAATGAAAACTATTTGTTTTACTTATAAAATTTTGCTATTAAAATTTGTAATAAGTATACTTCTCTCTTGGCTCATTTTAACGTTACTTTAGTGATACCCTGTATATAAAATTCAAGATTTTATTACAGCAAAAACTGATTTTTTCAACAAATAATAAGTAGGTACTTTTTTCTTCTCGTCAACTCCATCCAGGAACGCACTGTATATTCGCCGGATTTTTATATAATTATGAAATGAAACGTACTCCGGGCGGATTTTGAAAAAAAAAACAAACTCGAATATTCAACGAAAATAATCCAATTTTCGGCGGGTGTTTTCAAAACAAACGTTATCTATAGAGCCTAAACTTAGAGAGATTTCGGGTATATGAGCGCGTCCCGGCGGCTATGGACACAGGCGATTATACGCCTCCTTCGAAGGACCACTTTTTTATTTTTTATCCGACCGGCATCCCCGGTTCCACCACTAGAGATCCATTAACTACGTATATACGTCGGGGACTCCCTTAAGTGGATTACGGTTAGTTTCTTTTTGGAGGCGGCGGAAGTTTTCCCAATTTTGTTTGGATTGGTTCGATCCAACGTCGTTTTAAACTTCCGATTTTAGTTGGAAATTGCCATGTTAATATTAAATTCGCATTTGGGGGTAACTCGCATCTCGCATCATCTACAAATAACGGGTGCGGAGTTGATGATTAGATTTTTTATTGATAAGGAACGTTAACCGGATTTACGTAAAAGAATCATTCCGATCATCACCATAAAGTTACAAAATTGGAAGGTTTGATGATTTGAAAATTGAAATTATTTTCAATATGCGCATCGGTAATAGGATAGCTAACAATCTGAATATTACAAAGAAGTTCGCTTTTGTTATTCGCTATAAATATATTTTTCTGCGTCTTTTCCTCTTCGAAGCGACAATTCGAAAAATTGAAAACTGCGAGTCGACGACACGGGGAATATCCTCCACCTAAGTAGTTATATTTGATTTGGAATCCTCGTTGCCCGAAGGTGGAGATATGGCGTTGCTAGGCGTACACCCAACTCGCTTACGACGCCAAATTGAACTTGTTGCTTTATACGAGATGTACGGTGAAGTTTGTAGAATGGAAACATTATTTGATTAGCTACATATATTATCAAAAACGTCAATCTTACATTTTCGCGAACAAAGTATACATTGTGTTATCACAGTTGCCTGCAAAAGTACTGGTTACTTTGAGGAATATCGCTTATATTTTTACTGATATTTGTATGCAGGTACCAAGAAGATCATAAAATATTGATATAAAAAAACTACAGTGTGTCTACGTAAGTTGGCGGCATATGGGAAACTTTTTTTATTATTAAGTCCTCGAAAAATTATTCTTTATAAAAAGTTCTGCATGGTCCAAAACCCAAAATGCAACCATCAGTTATCAAATGCGATCAGTTATCAAAATTTAGCAGTTGTATCGGTTTGTCAAAAAATGTGTTTTGTGCTCAAGAGTAAGCCTTATTTTTGAGCCTTATTTTTGACAATATCGAAGATTATTGCAAAGAAAAATGTTTGAAATTAAAAATAACTTTTAAATATTTAACATCCACAGAATTTTGTCATAATGACACATATCCTAGTAACAGCAAAAGCCGCCTAAGGAATCCTAGCAATTATATATCTACCATCTATAAAGAAATATACACCTTGCTCCATTTCCGATTGCAATATGGTCATTTCTATGAGTGGAACAAAGAAAGGTTATTAAAATGACAGTTGTCAGAGTGAAAAGTTGTAATGACACAAATGTCACTCTTTCTTTTTCCTTTGTAAGTGTATAATCATAGACCTATTAAGTAGTTAATAGGTCTATGTGTATAATGGAAGTTGTCTTTATCGCACCCATGGCCTATGTAACCTATATTGCAATCAAAAATGGAGCAACCTGTATATCTATCTTTTAGACTGTGGGAATTGATAGATAGATTTTCATCAATTTCCTTTTCCCATTATTATTCCGAATTATTGGAAAGCAATTATTCCACCTGTGAACTATTTAATGATGATACCTTAAACGATATATCGGAACTGGTAAGGAACGCGCTCGTATTTCCAATATTGCTTCCATATTTTTATTCCATTATATCCGTACCTACTTTATTTGCGTCCACAATGTAGAGCGCATATTCGGCGAAAACAAGAGGGTAATTTATTTGTCGATATGCGATACACATTTTCCGGAAGAGCGGCCGGAAAGCGCGCAAACGTCAAACGAAACTCTCCGCATATACAAAATACATATCGTATAGTAGATGTATATACGTGTATTATATAGGCGGGATGTCATATATAGGTTGGATTGGTAGGCGAAAACGGTACACAGGTAACAGACCCAAAACAAATTGGAATTAATTCCGGATGAGTTGTCGGGCGACAGTTTCGTTGGAAAATCTCGCCTGGAAGCGCGGGATCAAAGGATATTCGACGTTTGACAAAGTCGACAACGCCGGCTTATTATTGTATAAAACATGACTTAAATAAGTCTTTGACGTTCAAATAAGCGGCATAATTGGAATTATTTATTATACGCTGCCTAATTGAGAAATGATGAAAATGGGGAACGTTCATGTTTCTATGTTTCCATCAATACCTGATTTAATAATTGTTAACAAGCGTTTGGAAACGAGTTAGTACACCAGACAAGTCATTATTCATTTCGTTTTGATCATGCATAAAATAGGTTTAATATCTATGCAATTTTAAGTTATTTTCGACTAAACTTTATTTACCAATTATTATTACTTGTATAGAAAATAAGACAATTTTATATTTTAAAGGTTAACGTTGACAATTTCATTTCAGTAATTTATAAAAACTGTTCAATATGGCCTCCATTTTCATTCCTAATCGGTTTTTCCCATACGATTCGTCCATTTAATAAATAGATTAGTTGTTCAAAGGGAGTCATAAATTTTAGCAATAATTGTGTTGTATATTTTTGGATAAAACTTAAGCAGTTCATCGAAACTTATTAATATTACTTTATAAGAAAGTTATAAAACTAACCAGATTTTACTCTTCTTAATATATTCAAAAATAGCAAAATTTCTTCTCTTTCGCCTATAGTCCTAGACCAGTCATGCATAAATATTAATAATCTTTCTCAGTATTCCCTTAAATACAAATAATAATAACATTTAACATTCGACAATTGAGTTAGCTTTATCTCAATATTCCTCAATTCCATTTGCTCTACAGCTACAGCTAAAAATTAAAGGAGCAAAAAACATATTTGATGTCAAAGCAAAACAAGCTTTTTTATATAGAAAGCAAAATGTCAGCGCACATAGTAGCGAATAAATTAGATTTCTTTCACTAATTCACCAAAATAGGAATGTATGGATTCCGAGATCGATTTTCACATTACTCACAATACGAATAGATGTTTACTTATTTTCGAGCGCGTAATTTGCGTGCATAAGAAGAAGGGCTTCGGCGGGAATAAAGCGCGATAATAGGGAGGCTTTTATGAGCGCTGAGGTTTTATTATATATGGAAAGGTCCCTTCGAGAGGCCCCGCGGCGGCGTTACCGCTCGCTCCGCGCGCCCCCCTGCGCAAATAAAGCGATTTACTTTTAGGGTATCGAATGTCGCCCTTTCTCGTTAAAAGTATATACCAGGCCGGTAATGATGACAAAAATATATATACTAATTTTAAGTATCTACTGTAAAAAACAACTATAGAAAGATGGACGAGTTGAAATTTTTCTCATTTTTTTTTCTCTTCTTATAACTCTCACCTACTTCAAACGAAAATGCTAATCTCTAGCTGTTTACCTGTCGAAATATAAATTCCAATTCCACCGTATGCACACGGACGTAATATCCTCGATTTGTTTGTCCAAGCTCGAACGAGTCGAGATTCCATAATATGTCAACAAACTACCGAATCTATTTAAAATTCTATTTGTCCACAATTATATCCGTCGAGATTAGTAATTTCACTAGATAGTACGAGTGTCTTTTGGAGTGGTTCTCTCTGGGTGGTTTCGACATGTGTCAGCACCTTCGATGTTTGCACGGCACACCATCGAGTGGCCAAATCATTTGCATTTCGATGGACTAAGAGCCCGAGGCCCGGCTACTGTCAACTAATAACCGTATCAGCGCATAGAGAGATAATC